ATTGTAGTTTCAGTTATCGCTATTATAGCTCTCTTATTGCTTTATTATACCTCTTAACCTATTCTGTTACTCTTATTTACCGCAATTAAACAACCTGAGGTGATAAAAAAAGTGTGCCCATTTCGGGGGTACAGTAGAGATATAGCGCGCTCTAACTCCGAATGGGTAACACTTATTTATAACTTTAGGATCTGGTTAGCTCTTTAATAGATTTACTATAACTCTTGTCTTAGCGCCTAAGTGTTAGTTCGGATATAACTTGAATTAGATAGTATAATTAATGATTCATTTAAAGTGATTAGTTTAATAATGTCTTTAAACATAAAGCACATTCATTTTTTTTATTAAGCTATTATTATTTATTATTTAATAATAAATTCAACTAGAGAATTTGACCTAGGGAGTTAAATTTTAACACAGGTGTTGTTTTTAAGACGAGCCTAGGCATGAAGAACTTTTACGTGTTCACATTTTTTTTGGTTTCACTTCTATGGCATGTGAACAGCACAGGGCCATTTTTTTTAAAGCAGATTGTACAGCTGCGGAGTTTTCTTGGTGGTACACGATTTTCAGGAATCGGAAAGGGGGTGAGGAACCCCCCTTACCTCCTCTTCACACCAAAGCAAATACTGATTTTAGAAATACTAAAGTTTAAAATTTTGTGTTTCTTACCTATTTTTCCAATTCCTTACATTTACACTCTAAGGCCAGTTTGTAAATTACATTTGAGCTGCAGTGACCTGATTTCGAAATTGGTCAACAAAAAAAAATATATTGTAGTAGACTATGTTGTAGAGTTAAGATTTGGAATTCAGGGAAATGAAAAATCCGACCAGTTAGCCAAAGAGGCAGTGCATTGTGGTGACGTGGTTCCTTATAAATGTTATATCCATGACTTGCTATTTCTACCATTGTGCGATTTGCGAAATGAATGGCTTACAAGTTGGACAGGTAGTGCACAAATAAAAGAAAAATACTATTTTACGATACAGCCTACTATCCCTTTAAAGCCATGGTTTCGTAAAGCTAATCTTGGTAAGACTGCTACTAGCATATTATCGCGCATGAGACTTGGACATGTTACTACACCAGCACATCTCTCTAAGCTTAGAATTAATTGTCAGCGATCCTGCTTGCAGGTGCGGACACAGGGGATCTTAGCCACATCCTGTTTACCTTTTTTTTTTTAACGCAGGTAAAAAATCTTTTTACAGACGACGGCGCCTTTAAGAGGCACACCGCCGAACGGACCTCACACCTGGCTCCCGCAAGTCTTACAGACCCCTCAGTGGCTACCCACCGAGGACCCCGCAACTCTTACGGGCGCTTTACAGCATAATATCCGCTAAAAAGGTCCTGCGAATACCTCTACACTGCTTAGTGCGGAGCCGCAGGGTCCCCGTTAGGGATTCTATCACGGCTCCGCCCCCAGCAGATTCCCGGCCTAGCCAGGGCTCCACGGCAGGGGTCTCCCGCGGTATTACGGGGACCCCGCAGACGTGCGCAAGTAGGCCCGCGCGTGGGGACTGGATACGCGGCCTACTGTCCACCATACCGCCCCCCATCCGCTGCGGAGGGGACTCCTGGGCGTATCCGTCCAAGAACCCTCCGCCACCCCGCTTTGTAGGACAGAACTACTACTGGGGGGGCCGCCGTTCCTGGGAGGGGGGAACGGGAGGGGAAGCGTAGTTCTTCCCGTCCCTCTCCCCTCCCGGTCGCCCACGTCTCCTAGCGTCTTCTCCTAGGAGAAGAGGAGGAAACGCGGGCGACAGCATTCATGGGGGGTCCGAGCGGCTCAGGCTATTCGGACATCGCCCCTTCTGAGGGCGCCCGTACGGGCGCCGACGCCTCAGAGGGCCCTTTCTCGGGAGGCTTGCCCCGGGTTACCGGAGGGTCGCAGCTCCTGCTCCCCATGACGTGGTCGGCAGGCCGACCACTGTCCGCACACACTGCGCATCGGGACGGGGCGGCGCATATTGCCGCCTTATGTCCCGTCTTCCCGCACCTGAAGCACAGGCCACTGCGATCCTCCCTTGACGGGCACCTGTCGGCAACGTGGCCCCTGCCCATGCACCTAAAGCAGTGCGTAGGCGGGGGGCCCAGGACCGTCACGCGTGCAAGGCTCCACCCCACCTTCAGGCTGTTGCCCTCCGCCACCTTTCTCGCGGCATCTACGGGGCACCTTATTTTGGCGAACCCGTTGCCTACCGGTCCGGGGTGTATTTCCCCAACCTCCACCCTGCAGGCCTGGCAGCCCCCTTTTTCCACCGGCCTGCCGACCTCCACGAACTCTGACATCACCTCACTGATGCGTTTCGCGAGGGCATCCGCTTTGGTGGGGCTGTCCGGGCCTGGGACCACCAGGAGTTTGGTCCCCACCCGGCTTTCCCGGATCTTAAGCCCTCCCTCTATGCCCACTTCCTGGAGCCTCATCTTCCCCCTGGCCATCTCCAACACCTTGGCGTAGGTGACGCCTCCCTCCTTCGCGGCCGGCGTTAGCCTCAGGGTCACAGCCGCGGTGTTCGGTACCCTCATTTTCGGCTTCCCGCCCTCCGGTCGCAGTGGCTTCTTCTGCGCTGGCGCCTGCGCCCTCGTCACCTCTGGCACCGGAGCCACCCCAGGGCCCGCACCCTTCTTCTTGGCCTTCTTCCTGGCCACCACGCTCCAGGTCTCCACCTCTGCAGACGTCCCTGTCTTCAGACCACACCGGTCCGCCACTAGGGGCGGTCTGATCCGCTCCGACGGGGGCAGTCTTCCTTCCAGAGAGGCCAACCGAGTGCTGACCATCTCCCCTATTGAAATCATAAGGGAGCGCTTCAGCTCCTCGACGGCCTCTTTCCACTCCGGTCCGTTGGTCCTGTCCTTGCCCATCACCTTTTCGTGGAGGACCCGCACCTCCCTGCGCAGCTCCTCCACCTCCCCCGCCAGAGAGGAGTTCTCCGCGCGGAGCCGACTCACTTCAGCGTCCGCATCCTCCAATCTCTCCCTGCACCGATCCCTCTCAACACGGTACCGGCGAGCTCTCTCCACATAGGAGCCTTCCACGCTAGCCCTGCTGAATATGCAAACCAGGCTCGCCTCCAAAGCCTCAAGGTTGTCAAAAATCCTGACATACCGAGGCTTTTTCAGCTCTTTGGCATCCCTGGCCTCATTTACCGCCTTTACCACTCCCTGTATGATGTCCATGGTATCATCGCTCACCTCCTTCCATGAGCGATTATCTTTCTCCTCCTCGTCGTCGTCCATGGTCGGTGGTTCTGGCTTACCACTTGTTTCCATCGGTCTAGTGGAAGCCGCCGCGCTTCTCATGCCTCGACGGGCCGTATGTACTTTGGCGGGGGAAGGCGTTATATCCCCGCCCTCATCCGCTCCGCCCCTCAGTCTCAAGACCTCTGCTCCAAACTCCTCGGTAACTAATTTAACACCAGGGGTACCGGAATCCCCCTGGCGCAGGTGGCCAACCGGAGCGCATAGGCCGCTGCTAACAAATTTCACACCCTGGGTAGGAGCTTCCCCAGGGCGCCCGGTGTCAGCGGGATCGCAGGACAAATAACACTCATTGTCCCACATTTTCATACGATTTTCCCTCTTCCGGGCGAGGGAACGCTACCTGGCCTTCTTCAAAGGTGATTTTTGAAAAGGTTTTCTTCCTTGCAGCCCCCACCCCGAAGGACGGCGGCCCCCGGCCCCACACTGCGTGCGGGGTTACGGGTTGGCCGGAAGCGACGCGGAGTTCGCGCCGCAACCGCCCTCACCAATGGCGTTTCCGCCTTAACCTATGGAGTCTCGACCACCGCTACCCGGGCTACCCAGGGCGCCGGCCGAGAGACCCCTCGGGTGATTTTTTAAAGAGGTTGTCTTCCTCGCAGCCCCCTCCTCCAAAGGAAACAGTTCCTTTGCAGACGGCGGCCCTCGGCCCCGCACTATGTGCAGGGTTACGAGCTTGACTCGACTACCGCTACCCGGGATACCCAGGGCGCCAGCCGAGACCACCTCCGGGTAATTTTTTATAGAGGTTGTCTTCCTCGCAGCCCGCGCCTCCAAAGAAAACAGTTCCTTTGCAGACGGCGGCCCTCGGCCCCGCACTATGTGCAGGGTTACGAGTTTGACCCGACTGCCGCTACCCGGGATACCCAGGACGCCAGCCAGGTCTTCACAGCTGGGTATGGTCCACGCCGGCCGAAGCCGGTGCCTCCCATCCGCCACCCGAGAGGACGCGCCCGATAGCAGACCCAGCCACACTGCCACGGGCCATCCTGTTTATCTGCCCTCCATACGATCAATATTCTTTTTTAAATGACCTCATTTCCTTAGATGTTCCTTTTCCAACATCCGTAATAACCCTACTCTTCTCTAATAATTTACAGATTTATAAATGTATAGCATTTTGCATAATGTTAAATAACATTAGAGTTATACGAATTTTATGTATGTCTATTTATTTATGTAAATATACAAATTCTGTCTCCTGAACCTGTCCTCTAAATTCCGATCCAACATGCATCAATTTCCTACTAATGTTTCCCTACCTTTGACATTGGCAATGCACAAACTGTGTTCTGCCATTAAAAATAAATAAATAAAATAAGAGTTTTGGCGGGATTTCATCGAGTGTGTTTGGCGTCTTATTTTAATTATTCTTAAATTCGTTGATAGTAGATATTGTGAAATAAAATTGGTGTGATTTTGTGTTACAACTATCTGCGTAACTGAAGAATTAGTGGAATCTTTAAAATATACGCTATTCCGGCAAATGTGGACGTGAGAACTTTATTGTAGTGTGGACTACCTCACAGAAGCTTATCTAGAAAGCCAACTTGATACTTTTCGTGCCAAACACTCCAAGAAACATTAGAATGCGTCACACGGACATTCTAATGTAAAAAAAAAAGAAAATTTATGTAACTAAAGAGTAGGCTGTATGGGCAATATTTTGCCTTCCCTAAAAAGGGATAATCTTAAAAAATGCAAATGACAAGTCAAGCAAGCAGACAATTGTCAAAAAAATTACGATTGCGAATGTTGCGAATTATCGAGACGAAAAGTAGGATAACTGGCGACAAGTAAAACCAGTAATATCTTCATATTATGTCTGATAATGACGATGACTATAACATGTGCGAAGAGGAAGAAGATTACGGTTTGGTAAGTTCAAACAAATTGTTGAATAAAGTTGCATTTCACGTTCGCTATAATGTAACCAATAAAATTATTGTTTATAATTTCTTCTCTTTCTTACCGGCAATTTCAGCAAGTAAACTTTCAAGAGTTTACCCATATAATAATAATGTTGGTTTCGCTTACATCTTTAAAAAGGATGGAACGTTTCGCTGTTTTTCTTTACTAATTATGACATTTCAGGCGATACAGTTTTTCTTTAGCATCAAGAAGTCAAAATATCATTAAATTGTTTCATTTTGATAAATTTACTTATTACAAATGAATTATAATTTGGTACAGAAATCCATTTCATTAAAATTGTTATAAGAAGATAGTCTTAAATTTTTGATAAAAATTGAACTCTTGGAGCATGTGATATAGTTATCAGCCCCCTATATTCTTAGAAAAGTATTTCGATTTCTTTCTTTTTTTCAGTTGCTTTAAGTATAGAACTATATAAGCAGCAAATTATAGTTATTTTTTTTATATGTAAATCATAGCTACTAAATAACAAAAAAAAATTTGACCTATAATTACAGGAATATTCTGAGGACAGCAACTCTGAGCCTGATGTGGACTTGGAAAACCAGTATTACAATAGCAAGGCACTGAAAGAGGATGAGCCGAAAGCTGCACTGCTCAGTTTTCAGAAGGTGCTGGAGCTGGAGGGTGGTGATAAAGGTGAATGGGGCTTTAAAGCACTTAAACAAATGATCAAAATCAACTTTAAACTTGTAAGTACTTAAATATTCATATGGCAATGTATTGGACATATACATATGTTTAAAAAATATTTACATATATATTACAATAAGTGTACACAATGTCTTTCTTCTTCTTCTTCTTCTTTCAACGGGCGTTTCCACAACTCGACGTCCTTGTGGAGCCTGTTTTGCGTTAGGTTAAATGTCTTTCTTAATATTATATCAATATTTTTGTAAAACTACAGCCAAAACAGGTATTACAATTTTAAAGAAACATATAACTTTGGATAATAATATAATTGTCATATGTATGTATGTATGTAGTATTGGTATGTGTAATGTATATGAATTTGTTTTCTTATAAATTTTCGAAAAAAGAAGTAATAGTTTATCACGAAAAAAAATAAAGTTGGTAACGGTTCGTTGTTATAGACAATGAATATTGATATGGACTACATCGATATTCATGGCCTATAAGTTGTTTTTAGTGATATGTCCCTATATCCAACAAATTTTTAGGTGGTTTGTTTACTCAATGGTTTTTAAAGGGTTTTGGCCTGGGCCTTGCTAATTGGTTGTAATAACTGACCAGTTGTTTTAAATAATGTTGTATAATTCTTATATTTTAAGTATTTGTTTATACAAGCAAAATATGATATTTATCTACACATCTGATAAAAAAACACAAATGATTTACCAAAATAAAAGGTAATTTTATGAATATTTTGTGTATTTAATATTTCTTTTATCAGGGTAATTTCGCAGAGATGATGACAAGGTATAAACAGCTTTTGACTTACATAAAAAGTGCAGTCACAAGAAATCACTCCGAGAAGTCTATAAATTCAATTCTAGATTATATATCTACTTCAAGAAATGTGAGTATTGTTAGTCAAAATTTTATTTTATAATATAATAAATCTGGCCTTAAATATTTCATATAAGAACAAGCAAAAATATTACATTCTATATATGTAAGGCTGAACATAATATGTTCATAAAATTATTGAAAGAAATATTTTTACAGATGGAATTGCTGCAAGATTTTTATGAAACAACATTAGAAGCTCTGAAAGATGCTAAAAATGACAGGCTTTGGTTTAAGACAAATACAAAACTGGGTAAGCTCTACTATGACAGGGGCGACTTCAACAAGTTAGCCAAAATATTGAAACAGCTCCATCAAAGTTGCCAAGTGAGTATTGTACAGTCTAAACATGTAAATAAAATCATTAAATTCGTAAGATTGTTTGTCAAATTATATTCTTCTTGTTAAATTATTCATTACTTTATGAGAGAGCTCTTTGATGCAAAGCCAGTACTTCTACCTTCTGCCCCAGAGGTCCTGAGTTGGAATCCTGAGCATTTATTTATAGTATAAGCTGTTATTTATTATTATGTCTATGTATTTTTTGGTGCCCAAAATATAGTGACTAGTTCACCAAGACTCAAGTACGAATTTTTGACAGTTCTGTAATGTATTGCATCGTCAGTTTCTATGGAACCTAAAAGGAGCTCCTATCGGACATAATAACAAACTAGCTTTTTCCATACAAAATTTGTCAATGACGGTACGTTATGGAGCTGTAAAAAATTGTGCTTGGACCCCCAATACCTAACTAAACACTTAATATGATTTAAACACATTAGACAGATGAAGGAGAAGACGATCTCAAGAAAGGCACACAACTTTTAGAAATATATGCACTAGAAATCCAAATGTATACAGCACAGAAGAACAACAAAAAGTTGAAAGCTTTATATGAACAGTCTCTACACATCAAGTCTGCAATTCCTCATCCTCTCATTATGGGTGTTATAAGAGGTGATTATTTACTTCTTTATACCTATTATAATAAAAATTATTCAAATGTTTTTTGTCTGCTCATTCTAGATGTAAAACATATATCGTTTTGGGTGTGAATCTATTACTGTAGCTCAATGGCAAACACCTAAAAGCTTGATTGGTGAATTATTCATTGTAAACTGTTTAGCATATGATGTTGAGTTTTGATGTTCTAATGATCACTGAAAAAGTCTGCAGCATGTAAGGATTTGCCCCCCTGCCCCCCCCTCAAGGTAGGGCATTGCCCCATAATGACCCCCTTGTAACATCCCTGTGTTCAGTTTTTAAGTTATGTTTATTTTCTTTATTTGTAGAGTGCGGTGGTAAAATGCATCTTCGTGAAGGTGAGTTTGAAAAGGCTCATACAGACTTTTTTGAAGCTTTCAAGAACTATGATGAATCTGGTAGCCCAAGAAGAACAACTTGCTTAAAATATCTTGTACTAGCCAATATGTAAGTAGTACTAGCAAATAAGTAATTAAGATTTTTTAAATCAACTTTGCAACATTTGTAATATATTGAAATACTTGTTTTATAGGCTCATGAAATCTGGTATAAATCCCTTTGACTCTCAAGAAGCCAAACCATACAAGAATGATCCAGAAATTTTGGCCATGACCAATCTAGTAATGGCTTACCAAAATAATGATATCAATGAATTTGAGTCTATACTGAAACACAATAGAAACAATATTATGGATGATCCGTTCATCAGAGAGCATATTGAAGATCTGCTCCGTAATATTAGAACTCAAGTTCTGATCAAGCTTATAGGACCATACACAAGGATACACATACCATTTATATCTAAAGAACTCAATATAGATGAGAAGGAAGTGGAAAATCTTCTTGTCACATGCATCTTGGACAAGTAAGTAATATCATATTATAACAATGTAATATATAAAGACTATTATAATAGCACAGCTCATTAATTTTAACTGCGCATTTTTGTGATATTACGTAAGAACTATCGAGACTCCCACCCCCACCTCCTTGCTCCACACACACACACATATATAGGTATATATAGTCGTGTGACGTTCCTGACGCAATTCCGTTTCATCTTTTCAATTTACACCCCATCTGAAAAGAATTTCAATACAAAAATAAGTCATGGTCGACCCATAGAGGTATAAGAATAGAGTGGGGAAGGCGGCACTAAGAGTGTCCATCTAGTAGAAAGAGAAAGGAGACACCGCTACCTGTCTCGCTCTCTTGTGACGCATGCGCAATCGTCTGTCCAATAGTTGGTCCAAGCATCACATCGAAATAGTAAGATGCTTACGGTTACCAATGCGCATGCGAGATTAGAGAGAGAGAAAACTAGCAGTCTCTTATCTTCTCTCTTTCTATTAGAGGGACACTTCCACTTGTAGTAGTCTATATCTCCCCTACTCTATTCTTATACATCTATGGGGCGACCCCCCCCCCCCCCTAAATCGTCTTACATAATAAATTAATGGCCCCTAACGAGATCAATGGATGATATATTGTATCTCGTATCCAGCACGATAAGCGGACGCATCGACCAGGTGAACTCAGTTCTGGAACTACAGAGCTCGTCGAGAGGTGCAGCGAGATACTCGGCGCTCGACAAGTGGACAGCGCAGCTCTCCTGTCTGCATCTAGCGCTGGCTAACAAAATGGCCTAACCGATACCCTCACAGTGCCATCGACAATACAAACACAGAGCACCATCGGACTCGAGAAAGATTTTTTAATGAAATACTAATGTGTAACCATGGTCCTCCCAAGTGTTTAACAGAGTACCATCAGACTTAGAAGGATTTTTTAATGAAATGTTGGTATCGATACTGGCATGACTCTCTAAACCTAAACTTAAAAACAATAGTGCATCCTTATCATTCAGAATGAAAAGGAGAGATTGATGTTAAATTAAGTTTTAAGTTTGGAGAATCGTGCCAGAATCGACGCCACTTATGTTTAACCATTGTCCTCCAAGTCCAAGTGTTATCAACTTTATGAAAAGAGTGCCGTCGGTCTTAAGAAAGATTTTTCAATGAAATATTACTATTGTTCTTCACTGCTTATGAATAGAAGACGATTACGAAAATGGAAGCGTAAAAACCACAGACATAGATTTAAGTAGATGATGCATGCTTCAAATTGTATGAAAACCAAGTGTCATATTTTGAGAACACATTGGGTGGTGGTAAATCATGGACCACAGCCGTCTATTTCAATTTCTTTCGTGTCTACAGTTTGAGTTGGCACATTTAAGTATATTTTTTTAAATATTGCGTTTGATGTCTTGTGGCGAGAACGTTGTGTATCTCTATTTCAATCTATGTCTGTGATAAAGAGACATAAACAAAATGAGAACACATATTTTTATCTGTCTTTGGTAGTCAAAATCATTTGTTAATTCATTCATGTATGTGTGAACAGAATAACTATATAACAGGTGTTAAGTGGTAGCAGTTTCCAAGAATAATTATGTAGAAGTTGCTATCTAACCAACGATTTTAAAATACAAACTTCCTGCTATGCGGCTTGGGAGACAAAAGAGACACTTAGAAATTAAAATGCATGATTTGATTATTTTGACTACCATATTTTTATCACCCAGGTAAAAGATGGTGGATTAAGCAATGTTTAACATTGTTTTATGGTTTTTTATTTCAACATTAATTAAACCAAGATATAAACTTAGCGGCTCTATTTCAACTATATAGATCAGTTTGATTTGATTGGTCATACTGTATGTATAAATTTCAATACATACCTACTGTAATATGTTACAGTAGGTACAGTACATTGTTATTAAATCCAATTATGAATTGCAATAAAAAAGCGTACAACGTGCAACACAATCTTCACATTTTAGTTATTTAACTACTTTGCATACATTCAGAATAAAATAAAAAATATATAAATGAAGTTTTTATTTAATTTTAAAACCCCCAGAAACGAAAATGCTGTTATCATGTCACAAATACAGTAATCCAGACAAAAAGGTTTGTTGTGTACTTCCGGTGTTTTTCAAACACTACTACCGAAATTCGGAATAAATTGAATCGTAACTGCGAAACGTTCAACACTTACGCTAAAAGTTTAACTGTGAAGGTAATGGAGTAAATAAGAACTGTTACAATTTAATTCTGATAGTGATTAACAGTTTCAGACATGTTTTCTTTAATAAATAGAGATACAAATGTCGAATACCTTAAAAACCGTAAATGAGTTCTCAATAACATAAAATACACGCGTTTGTTAAAAAAAATACTGAGTTGCTCAAATTCGCCAAATAATTTATAATTCATTGATTTTACGCTGGATGGAAATTGTACTTTAATAATTTTAAGAGACATTTTATAAGAATCCGTGGGTCAATATTCAACAATTTATAGTGCTTGCAATAACAATATTTAAAGAAATAATAACCATACTTTTTTGGGTAAACAGTTTGTAAATAATAATGTAACACTTCGTCAAGTTTACAAAGAGGATATCATGCTCAATCTGATTGTGGAAATTAGGTTGTAAGCACCCACCAAACCTTGGGCCTTGGTTGATTCAAACGCTCAAATCCAGTGTAAAAAGTAATGAATTATTTTGAAAAAGCAGTTACTGTCGTAATAGGGATGATGACTAATTTTTTTTCTTCGTTTATCAGGTAGATTATCAAAAAGTATTGGACACGTATTTTTTCTTTTTTCACATAATATAAACATTGCAGAGGTATATTGATTTGAAAAGTCGCATGAGGTCACGTTTGAGTACACTTATAAGTGAAAATTCACTCAAAAGTGACGTCACGAGCCCCTACTCCCAAACGATGATCGCCCAAAGAAAAAATACGTGTCCATTATTTTTTGATCATCTAACTGACGGACTAAATATAATTTCGTTTACTGTACCCCGTCATCACCCCTATTGTGGTGCTATATTTTGCAATAATAAATCACTTCATATTGACGACCTCCGTAGCCGAGTGGTTTGTACGCCGGGTTTCATGGTGTCGCCGACTCGAGAGATCCCGGTGGGGCAAATGTTTGTGTGATGAATACGAGCATTTGTTCCAGTTATGGATGTTCAGTCCGTATTTCTATATAAATATAATTATATATGTTCAATTTAACAGTATATGTATTCTATCCGTTACCCTAGTATCCCATAACACAAGTCTATAGTGCCTATTTTGGGGCTAGGCTAATTTGTGTGTTAAAAGAGAAAAAAATATGTAAAAATATTTTATTTTTCAATACAACTGTAATTATTTTATATTAACATACATTTTTTTGCTATAAACAGCATATAATTAGATTGGACGGATTTTTATCACAGGTTAATTTAAAATAAACAGGGCTTAATTCTGATTTGCCAATATAAAATTAATAAATATAAATTCACAAAATATTTCTTGTGATGTTTGTAAAAAAATTACATTATCAAAATACAGTACCTTATAGGTAATTAATTTGAGAATTAATTCTAAGGAAGTTAGTACAGGTTCGTTACAAACATTTAGACATTTAACTTAGCTTATTAGGTAATAGACGAGTATGACTGTAATGGCACTTGCGGTTCATAAGTGCTGATATAAGTATATTATTTTCTATTTGATCTGCTAAATAAAAAAAATATACATATTCAAACAACTATTGATATGATTCTTACTTAAGATATCTAAACTTTTTAGTGTGAACACAATTCGTCATAAATTCATCAATACAATTAAATTACAAAATAAAATGATATAATGTATGTATGAGTAAGAGAGGTGACTTAAGTATAGGAATAAAAAATACATAATATCAACTTAATATACTATCAGTAAAGTTCTAATAGAACTGCTCTTGTGAAAATCTACAATCAAATATATTTTTTTTTTTTTTTTTTTTTAGTTAGGTCCGACAAATGACTCCACCCCACCTGATGTTAAGTGAAGGTGAAGTCCAGACGCGAAGATAGCTGATACAGCAGTTCTACCTGCCACACCAGCCATCCTCACCCTGCCGGCCTGCATGTTGCTTCTTCACGCCTCTTTTAAAGGATCCCAGGTTGTAAGAGGGAGGGAACACGTGAGCGGGCAGAGCATTCCATTTACGGATAGTGCGACAAAGAAATGAGTCACCAAATTTCTTTGTACGCGTTGGAATTGTGGCCACAGTAAGACGGTGACAACGTAGGCCAGCGCGCGTGGTCCTCTGAAGGAAAGGGGAAGGTGGGATAAGAGAGAATAACTCCTCAGAACACTCGCCGTGGTACAAACGATAGAACGCGCTTAGTGACGCCACGTCACGGCGTAATTGAAGAGGCTCAAGGTGTTTAGTCACCTCCTCATCGCCTATGATGCGGATCGCGCGCCGCTGTAACCTATCCAAAGCATCGAGCAAGTACTTGGCGGAGCCATCCCAGAGGTGCGAGCAATATTCCACGCAGGACCGCACTTGCGTTTTGTACAACAAGCACAGTTGATCGGGCGTGAAAAAACGCCGCACCTTGTTCAGGACTCCGAGTTTGCGTGAAGCTGTTTTGATCACGGTTTCGATGTAGTCCTTTGGATTCAGGTCTGAGCGAACTTCCATACCGAGCATGGAAATGTTGCTCTGCAGCGGTAGTGTTGTGCCCTGAAGAGATGGAAGGGGAAGGAATGGCGATGTTTTTGCCGTGAAAGCGCAAGCCTGAGTTTTCTTGGCATTGAACCCAACCAAGTTCCTGGTACCCCATTCGGAAATGTGGTCCAAAGCCTGATTGAGTTCAATAATATCACAACAACCGTCCTCATACAAATATTGTACGGGTAAATTGAGCTATTATAGTTGAAAAGTTTGAATTTGTATATTTTACGTAATTAAGAAAGAGTAAAAACTTTTATGTGATTTAAGTTACGAACTGTATAATTTTGACTCCTCTTCCACTAGTTACAGAAAGGCACACGTCAAGTTACCACAAACTATAATTTTATTTAATAGATTGTGAATCATAAAACAAGCATTATAAAAATCACAATGTCTCATTCTATGTGAATATCTAGAACAAGAGGATCTCTATGGCTCCGTGCTTCGGAAGGGACATTAAGCCGTTAGTCCCGGCTGCATCTGCAGTCGTAAACACCTACCAATCCGCACTGGGCCATGTGGTGGGTCATGGCCCAATCTTCCTTTTCCATTACTTGTTCTGAGCTAACCTCTCTGTTGGGTGCGACGGTTAAATACTCTGTTATAATACGTGATACATTGTAAGCAAATATAGGGGTGCGGTCCGGCTGTCACCTACATAGTGATAATACGTAATGTGAGATAATGGGCCGTCAGTGCGCAGGTTTGTCGTGCAACCAGGGCCGGAACACGGGCAGCGTGCTGGGGTAGTGCGCGGGCGGTTCCTCGTCGGCCCCGCGGAAGGGGTATGTTCCTATCAGCACCGGCAACTGCAGCTTCACGTCTTTCTCAATACTCTTCGGCTCTATTATGAACTGGAAACCGATAGATTGGATATAAAAACTACCTGCATGTCCCTATTGCTTAAAAATTTACAGATTTCACCGTCACTTAACTTCAGGTGGGGCGGAGTCATTTGTCGAACCTATCTATATATAAAAAAGAAAACTGGAGTTCTTTAAAATGGCACATCTTGCAGGTTATTAAAGAGAGAGTCCGCGTGGTCGTGGAGCGTTTTTTCCGGCTATAATAGCTATTGCATTGAACATCAGCAGTGCTGTTTTGTAAGAACAGACTCATTTTCACCTTGGAATTCGCGTTGTAATTTGAATTTATAATACGAATTTCAAATCACACCGCGAATTCCGCGGTGAAAAGTTAGTTTGTTCTCACCGAATAGCACGGCTGGTGAGATGAAGTCTTTGAGATAACAATAAAATAATAAATTGGTACTGGGTATTGACATCTCTCTCAAATGTAAACATTTAATATATTGTTGGTTAAAAAAGCTGAGAGAGGTAGGGCATAGCGGAGTTTCCACTTGACTTGGAGCGATCCGTCTAGGGAAGTACCATCCACCTTACAGAAGATCACAATAAAATTACATATTACATTAACTTTTGATGCTGTTGTACTTCTGTCGGTAAGATTCCAGGGCTCTACGGGGTAGGGGATTGGGCCAAAGCGAGTAAAAGTATCGGTACTTACAAATACGTCGTACTGCACGTTGATGAGTTGGCAGCCTCGAAGTGGGGGGTAGGCGAGGTACGTTTAATACTTCCGCGCGCCATTCGTCGCGTCTCCCTCCCTCTCGCTGTAAGTGAGTGTATCTGTCTCTTTCTCTCTCGCTCTGTGTATGTATGTACATACTTACAAACACGTCGTACTGCACGTTGATGAGGTGGCAGCCCCGCAGGTTGGTGGGGGGTAGGGGAGGTACGTATAATACTTTCCCGCTACCGCTCTCTCGCTGTGAATGTGTTTGTCTCTTTCTCTCGCTCTGTGTATGTATGTATATACTTACAAACACGTCGTACTGCACGTTGATGAGGTGTGGCAGCCCCGTAGGTTGGTGGGGGGTAGGGGAGGTACGTATAATACTTCCGCGCGCCATTCGTCGCGTATGTTTCTCTATTGCTGTGAGTCTCTCTCGCTCTGTGTGTGTATGTATTTACTTACAAACACGTCGTACTGCACGTTGATGAGGTGGCAGCCCCGCAGGTTGGTGGGAGGCAGGGGAGGTACGTATAATACTTCCGCGCGCCATTCGTCGCGTATGTCTCTATTGCTGTGAATCTCTCTCTCGCTCTGTGTGTGTATGTATTTACTTACAAACACGTCGTACTGCACATTGATGAGGTGGCAGCCCCGCAGGTTGGTGGGGGGTAGCGGAGGTACGTATAATACTTCCGCGCGCCATTCGTCGCGTCCGCCGGGTCTCGTTCGTCCGTGCGCGCGCGATGATAATTCGCGTACTTCTTTAGCTGCAACCTTCCCGTGCGCGTAGTACTGGATCGTCTACGAAAATTTGTTACTTTATAGTCTCAAATAAAATTATTTTTATTTGTAAATACACAAATAATAATAGAGTACCTTATTCCATATTTTACCACAAGGCAAGGCAGACAATTTAAAATAAACAAAAACATCCATTTATGAAGATTTAGGGAAGAGCCCCAGGCACGTACGCGCCGCGATCCAGAGACACGCTGCAGGACACCACGCCCCGCCGGTGATGCTGCGCTCCTACTGTTACCTCAGTGAGAGCCGCGCGCGTGGCCTTGATGGTGGTGCGCGAGTTGTTGAGGATGCGCGCCGTGAGCACGACGCTCTCCCCAGGCACGTACGCGCCGCGGTCCAGAGACACGCTGCAGGACACCACGCCCCACCGGTAATGCTGCGCTCCTACTGTTACCTCAGTGAGGGCCGCGCGCGTGGCCTTGATGGTGGTGCGCGAGTTGTTGAGGATGCGCGCCGTGAGCACGACGCTCTCCCCAGGCACGTACGCGCCGCGGTCCAGAGACACGCTGCAGGACACCACGCCCCACCGGTAATGCTGCGCTCCTACTGTTACCTCAGTGAGGGCCGCGCGCGTGGCCTTGATGGTGGTGCGCGAGTTGTTGAGGATGCGCGCCGTGAGCACGACGCTCTCCCCAGGCACGTACGCGCCGCGGTCCAGAGACACGCTGCAGGACACCACGCCCCACCGGTAATGCTGCGCTCCTACTGTTACCTCAGTGAGGGCCGCGCGCGTGGCCTTGATGGTGGTGCGCGAGTTGTTGAGGATGCGCGCCGTGAGCACGACGCTCTCCCCAGGCACGTACGCGCCGCGGTCCAGAGACACGCTGCAGGACACCACGCCCCACCGGTAATGCTGCGCTCCTACTGTTACCTCAGTGAGGGCCGCGCGCGTGGCCTTGATGGTGGTGCGCGAGTTGTTGAGGATGCGCGCCGTGAGCACGACGCTCTCCCCAGGCACGTACGCGCCGCGGTCCAGAGACACGCTGCAGGACACCACGCCCCACCGGTAATGCTGCGCTCCTACTGTTACCTCAGTGAGGGCCGCGCGCGTGGCCTTGATGGTGGTGCGCGAGTTGTTGAGGATGCGCGCCGTGAGCACGACGCTCTCCCCAGGCACGTACGCGCCGCGGTCCAGAGACACGCTGCAGGACACCACGCCCCACCGGTAATGCTGCGCTCCTACTGTTACCTCAGTGAGGGCCGCGCGCGTGGCCTTGATGGTGGTGCGCGAGTTGTTGAGGATGCGCGCCGTGAGCACGACGCTCTCCCCAGGCACGTACGCGCCGCGGTCCAGAGACACGCTGCAGGACACCACGCCCCACCGGTAATGCTGCGCTCCTACTGTTACCTCAGTGAGGGCCGCGCGCGTGGCCTTGATGGTGGTGCGCGAGTTGTTGAGGATGCGCGCCGTGAGCACGACGCTCTCCCCAGGCACGTACGCGCCGCGGTCCAGAGACACGCTGCAGGACACCACGCCCCACCGGTAATGCTGCGCTCCTACTGTTACCTCAGTGAGGGCCGCGCGCGTGGCCTTGATGGTGGTGCGCGAGTTGTTGAGGATGCGCGCCGTGAGCACGACGCTCTCCCCAGGCACGTACGCGCCGCGGTCCAGAGACACGCTGCAGGACACCACGCCCCACCGGTAATGCTGCGCTCCTACTGTTACCTCAGTGAGGGCCGCGCGCGTGGCCTTGATGGTGGTGCGCGAGTTGTTGAGGATGCGCGCCGTGAGCACGACGCTCTCCCCAGGCACGTACGCGCCGCGGTCCAGAGACACGCTGCAGGACACCACGCCCCACCGGTAATGCTGCGCTCCTACTGTTACCTCAGTGAGGGCCGCGCGCGTGGCCTTGATGGTGGTGCGCGAGTTGTTGAGGATGCGCGCCGTGAGCACGACGCTCTCCCCAGGCACGTACGCGCCGCGGTCCAGAGACACGCTGCAGGACACCACGCCACCGCTTACGCATCCTACGCCTAGCTTGTGCTCAATGCTGCACTCGAATTGTTGCTAAAACATAATGAAATGGTGGACCCAACTGTTATCTGTAGGTGTATGTCGCGGAAAAGTCCTTGATAAACCACAGACACATAAACTTGCGCAGTAGACGTTTTCGTAAGTATGTATAGGTGTCCTTGTCTATGGTTGTTGTGAAGAAGTTTGCCAGGATGTATACTGACCCACATTCTTAGTACAAGCAAAGTTGTAGGGTGCATATTGGGCATGAAAAATTCATTAATATATAATTTGTAACAAATTTTATTTTGTTATATTAGCTAACTCTCTTGCAGATTTGTTTACTGGTTATATTTATGGTTTTTATTTGTTTTACAACACTGACAAAATAAGAGTGATGTTTTTGTGAGCTCATGTGCAGTTTTGTATAGGTAATTAAGTTTATACAAAACAGTGGGACAGCACCTGGTGAAATGGGATGAAGTATAGATGTATTGCAATGTAATAAATAAGTTATAGTTTCTTTCTATAAGTTAAGTTTTTACCAAGTCACTTTAATTCTCTGAGTTTGACAATATTCTGTGTTACAACAAGTAGAGTAAAACTGTGTTTTTAAAAAAAGTTCAACATAATAATATTACTATATTTTTTTGTCCTTAAAGCACTTCCAAAATTAGAAAATTTCATTAATTTACATGTTAAATAATTTTATAGCAGTGATATTGAATGAGACCACAATTGTTTTTGTTTCCATAAAGTATACTGTTTTTCTAGAATTTCATAGAATATTACTTCTGTTTGAAGAACAAATATTATGGGTGTGTCACTTTTATAGTTGCATATCAACAGTGGAAAAGCAAAATTGCTAGTACTCAGTGCTGTTTAAAAATAACATTAAATAAAAAAATAATTAAACTCATTTTTAAGCATCACCAAAGTGGCATATAAGCTATTTTGCTTTTCCACAGTTCAGATCTCATCTTATTAATAAGCAAATTTAATATATTCTAAAATGAAATCAAATAGCGTGTTTTTTGCTTGATTTCCTTTTCCACAAAATCATTCCCACAAATTGCAAGAAAATTAAAAAAAAAGAAAGATGTTACACATCAAAAAAGTTTCCTCTAGTTATTGAGGTTGTGATTAAACACTAGTATTGACTGAAGATAATTTATAAATTCAGAAGTAAAACTTACAGATAAAACTGGTGGTTCCAAGTTCAAATCAATGGGATTCATAACAATGAAAACCTGTTGATTTTTATGTGTCAAGCCATTTGGTTCCCTTAATGCTGCTTTGCAATAGTATTGTACCCAGCCATGTGTCCCCAGGAATGTAGAAGGCAGACCCATAGGCAAACCCAACTTAAAGGGAAAGCTATGTATACCTGGAGATAATATTGAAGCACCATTTCCTAAAAATAATTATAATTTTTAATATCAAAGGCAAGAGTAAAAAGTTTTGTATAAATGTTCAGTTTATGTACTTCATACTCAACGATAGTAGACAATGAAATAAAAAATGCTATGTAGCAAAAACTAGAGGTAACAGTACAGCTACATTCAATATAGTTGTACAATAATACCTTACCTGGTTCACCAAGTAACCGCATTCTGAAGTCTATATAGTTTTCTTTATCGAAAAGACGCTCATGACGACCAGAACCAACCCTCACAACACCTTCTCCAACAACATGGAAGTGTAGACCTATGATAGAAAATAATATTAACAGAAGAAAAGAAGTTGAAGTTTAATATCAATTAAACAAAATTTTTATGTAAGTAACTTACCCAAAACTGGAGTGTCATCCTGTAATTCCATCAACACTTTTCCAGAAAGAAACTGACCAGGAAAATACAGTAATGATGTATTGTCAAACACTATCAGGAACTTTAAAAGTTTTCTTGGCATTGTTACGGTGATCTTGTACACTAACCTTTTAATGAATTATGCAAAAATGTACCTGCTGACCAAGGTTTCTATTAGTGTTTACTATTATCCAATATTTGATGATGTATTAAATTATGTAATTAGCCTACCTAGGTATTTCGAAATTGTTTGCCTTCTTTCTTAGATCAACATTAGTTCAAAATTTATTTTCATGTTGCATACAACATGACCCTTGTAGTGATGAAAGTTACACCCACAATAAATACTTTATACTCAATAGCTCTGACAAACGTAGGTAGCAGCCTTTAGAAGACAGACCACTAAGTTGAGAAATAACTCTGAACTCCGAAGGCCATCAAGTATGAACTAACAAAGTTTTTAAATGTCAAAATTGTCCAAATACGTACGTCCCTTGACTATGTCTACCTAGCAACTACAGAACGATAATTTAACAAATCTATTAACACTGAGCCGACTAAAACATTTAAAACTTTTAAAAATTAATTCACAAAACCAGTGAAACCACTGACACACACAAGAAACTTTTTGACAGTTTGACAGTGTCAATCCAAACCATAGAGAAAGGTAAATATACCAAAAGGAACAAACCAAACTGACAAGCGCATTCGGACGACTAAAGCCAGAAACGTATTAACGTGTCGCGTCGTGGCGCGCCAGAAGCACATCGGTTTCATATATTTACTGTGGTTAGAGACACATTTACGAGTCGTATCGTGTCGACGCTCTTACCTCTCTCTAACCCATTATAAATGTATGAAACTGATGCGTCACGAGTCACGATATGCCAGGACACGATAATATGTTTCTGGCTTAAGAAATCACAGAAAAATTTAGTCTATATAGTGAGATGTCCACTACGGAAGTCTCTTGTCACTGTTTATCATAGATGTTATAGATTGCGCCAAACTTCTCGTTCACTCTGAAGTTGTTTCGCACAGGTGTACAGACCTAAACAAAACCTTCGTCCCTTTAAATACGCACTACGACCTACGCTGCCTCGTTAAAAATTAAGTTGGTTGCCCTGATTCCGGGCTTTAATCTGTAGCCAAGTTAATGTCTATGGATGGCACAAATCTGTGGTTGTTTTGTTTGCAAATGAAGGCGGTTGAGTGGAATTGGTTTTGAGATTTGCAAAAATAATTTGATTTATTACTTTTTTATTGTCACACTAATACATTTTGTATCTACAAAATGCCGAGTGAAATGATTACACTGCAGCTTGGCCAGTGTGGGAATCAAAGTAATGAAAACTTAAACCTGATCCTAAAACATGATAGTGTTTTGATTTGAACCTGCTTCATTATTCTGTTTGATTGCAGTTGGATTTGAATTCTGGAAGCAGCTCTGTATTGAACATGGTATATCTCCAGAAGGTATATTGGAAGAATTCGCTTCTGCTGGGTCCGATCGCAAGGATGTGTTTTTCTATCAAGCTGACGATGACCATTACATACCAAGAGCAGTGTTACTTGACTTAGAACCTCGTGTTATACATACGATAATGAACTCTCCATATTCTAAGGTATTGTTCATTTTGCCAGATTTAAACCAAAATTGCCTAGACAAGTCTTCCATCGTTTAGTTGCATTATCCATAAAGTTGAAATGGAACTATGTAATTTTATCATATTCTATCATCACAAGGAAGTTGTAATGGAAATATCCCATAAAAGCTTATTACTCCATGGTAATGCAGCTGACATATTTTTTTATTTGTAGCTTTATAATCCAGAGAATGTTTATTTATCAAAACATGGAGGAGGAGCAGGGAACAATTGGGCTTCTGGATTTGCACAAGGAGAAAAGCTCAATGAGGAAGTCTTTGACATAATAAATAGGGAAGCAGATGGAAGTGATAACTTGGAGGTTTTAATTTATTCTCTTTTTTACCAACTGAAATAAGTATTGTTAAGAAAACGCATCTTTATGCAAGTCTTCTCACACCCGCATGATTTAAAATGTCAGAGGAATACTTTTGTAAATACAGGACATGTGTCTGAAGTGGCACAGTCACTACTACCTTGCTTAAAATACCTGTTCTTATTGACTAACCTTGTGGCACTTTAGTGAACTTATAATACATTAAGTACTTGTAATAAATAAAATATCTTTTTTTGTCTAGGGGTTTGTTTTGTGTCATTCAATAGCAGGAGGGACTGGTTCTGGCATGGGATCTTACATTTTGGAGCATCTGTCTGACAGATTTCCAAAGAAACTTGTACAGACATACAGCGTTTTTCCCAACTTGGATGAAATAAGGTGAGAATATTGCTCAAAATCAAATAAGTTATGAAGCTTCTTTATATAGTGGAAAGGAAATACAAAAAACAGAAAAACCTAATAGCATGTCACTAAAAAGCCATGACTAAATTTATTGTCATAAATCTAACAATTGCAAGAGATATAGTAAGCTGCTCCCATTGCCACACTTTTAGTCATAGTCATATATAAAATATTGCTTTATGACTGTTTTGATTGTTTCCAACGAAAGTATCAGAAACACTGCATTACTACAATACTCTTTTATAATTTCACTTTTCTAATTATGTCTGTTGAAATCTCCTTTGTTTGTTTAAGTGATGTTGTTGTACAGCCCTACAACTCGCTGTTGACTCTTAAAAGGCTGACTGAGAGTGCAGACTGTGTAATGGTGTTGGATAACACTGCACTCAACAGAATTGCCAGTGATCGTCTACATATCCAAAACCCTTCATTTGCACAGATTAATACACTAGTTTCTACAATTATGAGTGCCAGTACTGCTACACTGAGGTAATAATTATGAAATAATAATGATTGTTCATATACTTATGTAGGGTGTCCATAATTTAATTCGTATTGACCTGTAATGTTTGCTTGGGACCAATAAGTAACAAGTTAAAATGTGACTCGTTTAGATTTTTTAAATTATATAGTTGTTATACATTATTGTTTCCATCTCATAGTTATGTCACTAAAAACTCATTTCAAATGGTTTACTGGTTGAACATTATGGATTCCTACTCCAACTTTATAGAATAATTGGTTTCCCATATCATCTCATATGAAATTTATCTCAAATTATATTTTGACAAGAAAAAAATGCATTTAGACTCCAGGCTGGGTCCCATCTATATTTGTATGAAAATTTATCATAAACAGGTCAGTGATTTAAATAAAAACTCATTTTATGTCAGTTATAATATTATTTTGGAACTATATCTATTATTTTCTGCTTGGGGGAATCCCTGTGGCAATCCCTGCAGGGGCGACTGGGAATAAAGGACAAAACATACACTTTATTTGTAAACTGTTTTAATTTCAGGTATCCTTCATATATGAATAATGATCTGATAAGTTTGGTAGCACCTCTCATTCCCACACCAAGACTCCACTTTCTCATGACGGGATATACACCCCTTACTGCAGACCATGAATTAAATACTGTAAGCCATTCATATTCATCACATTTTAATAGAATTATATTAGAAATCAGAATATTAATAAAATAAAATTTTATTTTACAGGCACCCAAAATACGCAAGACCACAGTTTTAGATGTGATGCAAAGGCTGCTACAACCAAAGAACATGATGGTCTCTTTAAGCCCTGATCGAACAAATCAACATTGTTACATATCAATATTAAACATAATACAGGTAGGTAATTCACTTACTTCTTTATGTCATACTTTATTTTTCTTTGTTTTGTATCCTTTGGTCTAACACCATTGTGAATTCAAAATTGTACATTATTTGACAATATTGATTGATTAACAGCGAAACTCCTGCATTCCACTCCAAAGGTATTTACATGTCATAGTTGTAGTTTTTTTAATGATAAAAGATGCTTGTGAGACAATAAAAATCACTAGCTCCATTGTCTACCCTGACTCATTCCCCTACAATGGGAAGGAAACCTTCAAGAAGACATCATTTTATTTTTAATAATAAGTAGTATAACTGCATTCACATTTTTAAACAAATCTCTCGTGAAATGTGAAACACAAAAACACACGTATTTTTTCCTAAATAATATTTTAAATAAAAGTCATGAAATTTGACTTTTTTTTAATAATTGAACAAACTACAATAAAAAAGAAACGGTACTAGGATCATATAAGTATGACTTTATTATTTTTTTCACATACTTATAGTAAGGACATTCCGTATTATTAAGTGAACAGGTACACTAGTTAGTAAATACTTTGACCTTAGCTTGTGGAAGCATGGAAAAGTAAGAGAAAAATTTCCAGAACAAAATTTTAATTTCATGATCTTCCTTTCATTTAAAATGTTATTTAACAAAAAATAATTCTTATTATTAACCCTTCTGATGGTTATCATAAAATACGTCATATGTTTATGGCGTATTTTATGAAATTTTTGAATTTATTGAAAATAAAATGATGTCTTCTTTCAGTAAAATTCCTATCTTCAATATTTAACATACTTTCCCTCCTTGGACACCTACTACCGTGTTTTTTGGGAGTCCCAGAGTCGGTTTATTGTTGAGAGCGCAATAAAAAACCAATAGGTCTGCCAATAACATCTGCCCGCAATTACTTCAGTTACTCTGTGATCAAGATGCTAGCAGTGCTGAAATATTGGAAACTCACCAAAAACAAGGTACACGGTGGCAATCCTGCCAATAACTATAATGCTGGTGACCATGGAAGTCTTGAACGATATGTTTAACTTTAACGATGTTTTGACGACCTCCGTGGCCGAGTGGTTTGAACGCCGGGATTCATGGTGTCGCTGACTCTTAGAGTTCCCGGGTTCGAATCCTAATGGGGACAGATATTTGTGTGATGAATACAAGCATTTGTACTCCAGTCAATAGATGTTTAATATGAATTTCTATATAAATATGTGTATATGTATTCTATCCGTTACCCTAGTATCCCATAACACAAGCCTTACAGTGCTTACTTTGGGGCTAGGCTAATTGGTGTGAGGTTTGGAAATATTTATTATTTACTCTTTCTACAGTTTGAGAAGGTTGCTTATTGCCTATGTACTGTTGTTCCAGGGAGAAGTGGATCCGTCTCAGGTGCATAAGTCACTCCAGCGTATCAGAGAGCGTAAGCTAGCATCGTTCATACCCTGGGGCCCGGCCTCGATCCAAGTGGCACTGTCAAGGCGTTCTCCATACGTTCACGCCTCACACAAAGTTTCAGGCTTGCTGCTCGCAAATCACACTAACATATCTTCGGTAAGTGTAGAGGAAAAATTAAACCAGAAATCAAAGCACGAATTTTTGATAGCTCCGTAACATATTGTCATAGTCATATTTTGTATGAAAAATACTAGTTTGTCCTTTATGCAATAGGAGTGCTGCTGCAGTTTTCATAAAAACTTTATGCAATAAGTTACAGAGCTGTCAAAAAGTTGAGCTTGGTGTCCCGCTCTTTACAGAAACATGTTTCAAGATTTTAAACTTAACCGTTTGCTTGCTTCCAGTTATTTGATAGATGTCTGCAACAGTATGACAAGCTGCGAAAACGTGAAGCCTTCTTAGAAGTATTCCGCAAGGAGCCTATGTTCAAGGAATCCCTAGAAGAGTTCGACGAGTCTCGTAGTGTTGTCGACGATTTGGTTCAAGAGTACCAGGCTGCCGCGACGCCAGACTATGTGCATTGGAATCCGGGTAAATAAGTTGCAGAGAACGGTGAAAGAAAGATTACATCTATGGACCCCGACATTCTCTAGCATGCCAACGTAAATTGTCCGTTTCTGTAACATAGAAGTATATTATGTTTTAAGTAAGGGAGATTGCCAAATGTTTGAAATATTTTAGCATTAGTTAATGTAAACGATCCTGTCACTGCATAACACGCCCAGCCTCCTCAAGCATGAGCACCGCAATATGATATAACACTAAGCTGTTATTAAAAACTGAGAATTAGTCTTTATTATTTATTTATTTATTATATCTATATTATTTATATAATTAATTTTGTTTAACTGATTTTTTTTTGTACTGGTTTAAATCTAATACTCACTAAATAAAATCAATGAAGTATAATAATATTGTCTACGTATCTCTTCCTTCAAGGAGAGGGCTCACTTTCAAAGAATTACATGAGACAGACAGATCAAGACATTAGCATTGCTGAATTTTTTTTTATTAGTTTGCCTTAACCCTAAATGCACTTTATACCAGCACTTCACTTGGCTATCCATGTTTGCTATTTGTGACACCAGTCTGTCCTTTTATTCCTCATTATGCATGATAAGGACAGATTGTTGAAGTTTACAAATAGCCAAGTGAAGTGCCAGTATGAAACTTTTTGGCACAACATTGTAAATTAAACATTGTGTAGATGTTAAAAAAGTAAAAATTGTAGAACTCAACATTACATTATATAAAAACAATTTCTTTCAGAGAGCAGTCAAATATAACGAATACTCTAAATTGAGAGCACCATGTATATACTAAAATTACGATAGAAGTGTTGGAGGATTTAAACTCAATACCCATTGCATTAAGTGCCATTTTTAACTCTTAATTAACATAGGTATTATGTTTATATGTGTAAGAAAGTTGTAATAAAAACGATTTGCTTTTTATCAAAGAATTTATTAATTAATCCGTAACCCTCCCGCATCCTTTCATTCTCTCCCTTACACATACCACTCTCGCTAGGTGAACATTTACAATAAATGGTGGTTTGTACAATCTTTCATCTGCTTATTAAGTACTAGGCTCCACCTAATGCCGTAAGTAATACAAAAATGAGGGAATTTTGATGATCTTTCGGTCACTGCAAAAAATGTAAATAATAAGCCTCAGGCACGTGTCCCACCGACAAGGAAGCGATTAGCCATCGACATTGATGGAAAAATTTAAAAAAGATAGTATATCTCGTCTCGTGTCTATAAAAGGGACACCTATTTCATTAATTATCGCTAGCTGTTCATACTGTTTGTTAGTTTGTCGTAGGAGCAACAGCTATCAAAAATTATTCAGTGGAACAAGTTCCCATGGGTGAGCTATCAACATCAAGCTACGCTCTATTTATGCTATGTTTTACAGACAGCGACTGAAAGAATTCATTCATGACAGGTTGTGTTCGTTAAGACTACTTCCTTCTGTTTGATTATTGGCTGTGCCCCTATGGACTTTGCCAGGTTTAAATTTTTTCCTTTTCCTTCTGCTCTTTTAATATGACCTTGAAAGTACAATGTGTTTACAATTTAATTAAAATTTTGGACTTGAAACAATGAACATGAGGTCTTATCAAAACTTGAATATTGATTATTAAAACCACCACCATTAGCTAAAGACATAGAAAACTTAATTTTACAATAACTTTCAAACAAGTAGTACTAAATGTCAGAAAATACAACATGTTTAAATATTGTCAACATAAGGAACAGCTGTCACAAACACGTTTCAATAGCTGCACTCATAGTAATCACAACACAGGCTCAGGTGAAGGCTGCTCAAGAGATTCAAGTGCAGTATGTGCACAAAATATCCTTTCTGGTAACTGCATGTTGATTGGTCACCCTTAATTTTAGGCATCACATGTCAACTGAGGCAATGCAAAAATGTCTTTTATCACAATACCATTAACATTACAAACATGAAAAAATAAAATTTCTTGAAGTATACATTTTTTTACATATTTACTGTAATGATTTTATCAGATGTAATAAAGCAGTGCACTAAAAAGCAGATTTATCATTTTATATAGTTACAATTTTTTTAAGCAATCTCAAGCTTTACAATCTCTTTTGAGTTAGAATATATACACAGTCAATGGTTTAAACAAGAGTGAATACCAGACATAAGGCTGAATTATTATGAACATGATTGATAGAACTACAATTTTTTTAAAGGTTAGGATAAAGGTGTAGTATTTTTATATCTCACAAACCCCCATCCCTTTTATAGCTAGCGAAATAATGAATTATAAGAATAACATAATACACACATTTTGAACATGCAATACTATATCTAAATCTTTATACAATAACAGGTGTTCTTAAAATAGTTTTTTTTTTAATTTCAACATATTACTAAAAGTGTTCATAGAAATGAATAGTGTCATAAATATAATGGGTTAGTAGGAAATTGTGATATGATAGTAGTAACTTAACAGGCAATTAATATGCAACTAAAAAGGTGCTACTTGAAAAATTAAAAATAATTCTCCTGTGCAATGTATAAGAGAAATCAAGTATGGAATGAATTGTTAGTCATCATTAACAATTCATTCAAACTTAATTTCACTTGGCATGGCATGTGGCATATTGCCTACAGCAGATAAGGCTAGGAGGTTTGACTTGAAGGCTGGAACTTGGGCTGGATGATAGATGTTTTGCGCACTGGCACAGTCTCTGGAGTAGGTATGGCATCACCAGTAGGCAGTTTAGGGGGCACAGCAGGAGTTTTGAATGGTGCTGCAAGATTACCAGGCCTCTGCTTTGCCATTTGATAATCACCAGAATCAAAAAATTTTTGCTGAAATAAATGACATGTTATAAAACCATTCACGCAATCTACTCTATTAAAAAATGGGTTGCAATAGTGTATATTGTATGCTTATTAAGACTAGAAGAGCTAAAAGTGACATTTAAATATCATAGATCACAAATCACAATAGGCTATTGGACAAGTTTTTAGAAACATTTATATATGTTATTTATTGGTGTAAAGTGACTTCATAAAAAGATGGATACTTAAATTTGTTGCATATATCAAGCATAAAGTGTAAATAAAATCTGGTTTTGAAATATGCTGCAGAGTATGCCATTTGAACAGCATGTTTAGCTGTGCTAATCCTAGGCACGGAATCCTCTGTCATGTGACAATAGAACAAAAAATATGTTTAACTTTCATGATTTTTAGTCATATTAACAACTACTTTTATTTGACAGAATAGTGAAATCACTCAATATTCATGTTATATACACATGCTGATAATTGGTTCTTTATTTTTCTTACTATCAAAACAGCCTATTGCTTAGTCAGAAGATTTTCAAACAATATTAAACTGAACCATTTTCTATGTAAATAAATGTAAAAGAATTAAATTAGGGAAAATATTCTTACTCCTTTTGCTAGTCTTTTTTGAAGAAAAGCTGAATGTCCACTTGGTCCTCTGCCTAACATAGCATTAGGAAATTTAGCTTTAAGTTTTGCTTCTTCAAGCTTCTCCAACTCTTTTGGCTGAAACATATTATATATTCTTAAGGAATTTATATAAAAAGAATAAGCACTAATGGATAGTAATAAATATTGAGGGACTTACATCTTTTGGGGGTTCATTTTGATCTTGTGAATCACTCATTGTGACTTCCTAAAAACAAGTTGATAAATTAGTACCTATATTGTTTAACCATTTAAAAACAGTTTCCCAAATCATCAGTTTCGATATTTCCTACAATGGACAGAGATCAAAAAATAATGCATTAGTGGTAAACTTTCACTACAAGTAGCAGTAGCAGTTACTTTATGAAAACCAAAACAAAAATAATTCCTTGCTGTTAGTTTTAATGACAAATACCGAGTTACCTGCTTAACACTAAGATAAAGGGATATAAGGAACTATCAACAAAATGTAAGCATAAAAAAATTAAATCATTACATATTAATGTGTTTTTTTTTTGGTAAAGCATGAAAATATTTTGATGCAGCTATTATAGTTGAGTCACGAAAATATGTTTTGTTTATCCTCTTTTAATCAACAACGAGATCAAAATATAACGGATAACAAAACGAAAAGAATACAACGAAGTAAAAATACATAATAGAAACAAACTTTTCAACTGTAAATGCAAAAATTTAAACGTGTTGAAAATTCAAACACGGATTTATAAAATGCAGTTTACCTTGCAAACTTTAGTTATTTTGGTTACAAAAATGTTTTCGTGAATATATAGTTGTAACTCAACTAAACTCTGTGCACGTTAAATGTATTTAATTATGTACTTTACTGTTTTTCAACAAATTCAGGGCACTGGCAAATTAAATCTCTCTCTTGAACACCGAACTTCAACAAAAATGGCGTTTTGATAACCACAGACTATTTTTTTTTATAATTCTTGCTAACTTATATTGAAGGCAAAAATATTAAGTTCTTACAGCTGCATTTTATTGTTTTTTTCATACTATAACTCTGGTTTTACATTCATCAACAATTAATAAAGGATTAATTTAATTATTTTAATGTAGTAATAGGCTAGTTTACTCATGTCGAATTGTATTAAATAAATGTTTATTTCTTAAAGTATTTGGTCTAAGGAACCTAAATATATCGATTTCACTTCATAAAAGCAGAAGATTGCTGTAGAAATTTAATTTAAAAAAATATTTTTTAGTCTATATTTTTTAAACACTAAAAACGCTGTTCGCCACATCCGCCATGATTTTGACGTCTCTTGTTGTAAACAACTAAATGTCATTCGCGTGTTACTGTAGGTGGATTCTTTCGTCTGACTAAATTTATCTTAAAACACTTTTAACTTTAGGAAAGAAATAAACAGTAAACTTAGTTTTTTTTTGACAAAACTAATTATGGTTGCCGGCTTTGTAAAAGCAGAAAGCACAAATCTGCCAAGAATTGACGCATTGATGGTTGGTGAATTTGTTGCACTAACCCCCATTTCTGCTCTGCGGAGCAGAGAAACGACAAGGCATCTATGTAAGTACAGTGCATTTAGTATTACAATGTAGTAATAAACATAAAACTGATACAACATATGAATAAGTGTAATAAAGTTGCGTAGGTTAATTTCTTTCGGCACTTTAATCCACAATTTCCTGGAGTCTTCAAGGATGTGTTTTTATATTCTCGTACAATACAGTAATGATAATTACTTTATTTTTCGTGGTATTTATTAGAAATCATGGTTTTTTTATTATAAACTCAGTTTTAAGTAATTTTCTACGTGTTTACGAGTTTTTGTTTACCACAGTTCACGTCATAGCATAGATAATCTATAGACTAAAATGGCCGACAGCGTTTTTGTATGTCCATGAAAAGTCTATTTTAAAATTAAAGATTTGTAGCTTTCTAGGTTTAAAAAAAATACAATACATTTTTTTTCGGTCTAATAGAACATTTATTAACCATTTAAAACCTTTTTCCAAAAAGGGTCAACTAGCCTATTATACAAAAAAAGTAATGCTTAACCATAGTCCAACAATCCAACAGATATTGTAAAACCGGCACTTCACTTGGCGATATGTGTATGCTATTTTTTAGGTTGACCTTGTCCGACCCTTGTCATACTCTATAGAGAAAGTGAGACTGTTGTCAAGTTAAAAAGATGCAAACACACGACACTCAAGTGAAGTACTGGCACATAAATATTCTTTTTTGCCGTAGGATAAATGTAGAACAAAAATCTTACCGCTTGGTCCTTAGAATATATACCACTAGATATGCCTTACCGTTCACTCGCAGAAAGAAAAATTTTCACTATTTTTGGAGCGCGACGAGGTACGCACGTATAGCACACTAATGGAAATATGCAATACTCCCACAAACACTAGCGTGTTGTTGCTATAGACGCACACTTCAAAAATTACGTCAAACAAACAAAAAAACGCACACACTCTCACAATTTTTATGTAACTATGCTATTGTCCGAGCGTCCGACACCAACCTAAATCAAGGGATGCGACATTAAAAGGATGAACGATATTTGAATGAACAATTCTTGATGAATGAACACGTTGTGTTCATCAATGTTTGTTTATAATGAAATCAAAAAGTTTCATTTATAAATGTCTATCTGAAAGATTATTTATAGTTTAAGTACTTACGATTTTTATGCAAAAAATTCAAAGTTTTTTTTTGCTAATTATAGTGCTGTGCAAAAAATCTTTTCAATACCCTGCCTACATTTAATTGCTTTTACACCCTTAATAATAGCAAACGCAGTATATTATCACAAAATACTGCGTAACTGACCCAAGTTTATCCATTCTTTGTTTAATATAATGGGGATAGCGAATTAAGAGACTTCAGTGAATTAAGGTTATTTATTTTATTGATAATGTTTTCCTTAGTGGTTTAAGAAGTCAAGAATTTTATCGTGTCATTAATTTAAAAAAAAACTCAATGATTCAAGCTTTCGGTAAAGATCGATCCCATACTTTCAACGAATGCTTCGCTAGGGTACGCTTAATCCAAAATGATAAAAAAAACTTTATATTTCAGAAATACGTAATGAGTACGTACGTACGGAGCTCGATAGCCCAGGTGGTTAGCGCGTTCGGCTTGCGAGCGTGGAGGTTCAGCAACTTTGGCAATGGTCGGTAATTTGATGGGAGCCAAAAAAACTTATTATCTCGAGTTCCTGTCGAAGCTTGTGCTGTACCCCTTCAGTGAGGATATTAATAGGCTAATGATGATAATTTTTTAAGCATATTATATAGAAAAAAAAATCAAGAATGACCTCCTCTGCCTTCCATTTTTTCCAGTCCTCCGCAGACACCTCTTCCACGGCCTTCTCAAACGCTGCTAGCGCTTCTTCCGGCGATGAAAACTGTATCCTTTTGAGCTGATTTTTTATTTTAGGGAATAAAAAGAAGTCACACGGAGCCAAATCAGGACAGTAAGGAGGGTGTCCCAAGACTCAGACTGATGTGCAGTCCAGGAAGTCATTTGTTTTGATCGCAGAGTGCGCGGACGCGTTGTGATGAAGAAAGATCCCGCGGAACCCGGTGAGAGGTCGCTTGTTGCTCATTGCAGAAAAAAATTCTGACAGGCATTTTGTACTATACCATTCAGCGTAGAGGTCTCGAATTGGAATTGAAATTAGGTACCAAGTAAAGAAACTAGCGATCAAAATTTTCCCTGCGCTATATAGATACTAATATTAAATTTAGTTTTAGGCTTACAGAATCATGCAAGAATCTACACCTTTGTTTGATTAAGTAGAATAAATGATTGAATATTTGTTTTTTTAATGAAAGCTGTTGATGTATATTTGTTTTATCAACATGTTTTTTGTATCGGCAGATGCACTTATTAAATCTGGTTGAATGTTTTCCAGTATTAAAAATACTATCATTCATTTTTCGTTACATCACTATGAATTTTTACATATTATTTTTGTCATTCATTCGTGCTCTCGCACCTTTTATTTTAATAGAATTTTATACCAGAATTTAAACTTTTTAGAACTTAAAAATACTTGTTTATGATGTATATACTGAAACACCCTATTTCAGCAGGATTGAAGAGGCAGATTGGTTTTTGTGTGGGAAAACCACATAATTTTCTATTTTTGTGGGGAGCTCCGACTCGCGCTGCGGAAAGAACCAAAATTCTAGCGGTCGCGCGTGAACTAGTTAAATGTATATTGCATATGGCCCGATGGCCACGTACTTTGGCGGAGAAGTCGCCCGGTCATGCTATCTCCAGTGGTATATGCTCTAAGGCTCGGTCTGATGAGATCGATTTCATACATTTGAGCCACAGTCACACATAGCGAATACTCGCTTCGAGTGCATTCGCTGTGAATAGAGGCGCTACTCGCTGCGATGTATGTAACAGGCTATTCGCTGCGAATAGATTCACTTGCCGTGAATTGGATTCGCTGCGACTTGAATTAAAAATTTTACTGGCAGCAAATAGCTACAATGTTGCCAATATACAGATTTATCTGTATCTATACAGATTTTAGCTACCGGTCCGCTGATATGTTGTGTTGTGACGCATGAGATAAATTGAGTGCTGCCATAAGGTTTACTTGTTATAGATTGCGTAGGTCGATTTGATAAATGGAATTTTCACGAAAATTTTAAGCATAATTATATATAGACATTGGGCCCAATTCTGGCGTGCCAACTTATATCTAAAACTAACTAAAATTAGATATAGAGTTGTCAAATCCAATTTGGTATTCTGTAATGATACACTATCTCTAAATTTAAAATTGACGTCGCTAAGTTATTCAACTTAGATTTAGATGATTAAATGGTATTCTGAAACGTGTTCTAAATGTCATATTTTCTCTAAAATTAGAAATGTCACACTAAATTTACGAAGGACCTACGGAGGTCCTCTCTAAATTTAAATGTGAATAATCGGGCCAAATAGAAGGTAAATGATTGATGTACTTAAGTTTTGAACTTGTTGTTAAGGTTGGATACAAATATTTCGTTAAAAAAAGCCATAAATTTTATTTTTACAATAATGAACTACGACGGTGATAATAATTTATTAGCTAGATCTTTTATTTTTTTTAAAAGGTATATAAGTCTATGTTACTATGCGGATTTATTATGAGCCTATTAATGTGTCATGAGCCACCACGCAGGCCTAATGCGGCTTAGTGGGGGCTAATGACTGCAGATGCAGCGAGCAACAACATAGAAACTCGATTTAATACATGTTTGGTTGGTCACCATCCTAAGATCGGCCATTGTGATAGTTGCTTAACGTTCACGATCGCAGAACGAACGCGTTACACTTGCGCTATTGTGGTCCTTCGTAGGTAATGTATACGTATATCCTGTATAAAATACTAAATAATTTAAGGTAAAATCTTTTTTTAACTTAAATAAAAATCCACAACATAACAAAACATGAACAAGCTAAAAACGTAAGACATAAATTATGTGCTAATTCCTTGTAATACCTACAGTCCCTACTTATATCTAAAGTACATAGTCAAATAATTAACAAATAATAGGTATAGTGTCAGTGATATGCATTTCAATCACCAATTCCAATCCAAATGTTATTTTGACTTTAATGTAGGTACTTTAGACTTTAATGTATTATTTGTTCCTTTGTTTTTAGTGGTTTAGTTTTTATGAAGCAATTTTTAATATTTGTTAGAAATATTTTTATTTCCCACTTTTTATAAGCTAATTATAACGAAATAAGTTCCTACGATTTGTAATTGAGAAGTTTGCTTGTATATATCCGAAAATACTTGGCATTCACCAAATGAATAATTGGGATTTGGGACGATATCGCCAAAAACTGATAGAAATAAAAAAGATAAAAATAGGTTACGCATCTCGGATTATAAAATAAATGAGTACAAAATCTTCACAAAACAGCCGAGAGGATAATTACAACCTCTGACCGAAACCGAAATCTAAATCTATAACCGTAGGTACCTAGGAAATTTTCAAGGATGATTTACCTATATTAGACCGTGTCGGCCGTAGCAGAGTTAACTAATCATCATCATCATCACAGCCTATTAATGTCTCCATTGCTGGGGCACAGGCCTTCCCTATGAATGGAATAGGGAGATTGGCCCATGACCCAAAATGCGGGTTTAGTGCGGATTGACGGGTGCTAACGACTGCAGATGCAGCCGGGACCAACGACATAACGTGCCTTCAGAAGCACGGAGAAACTCCGGATAGAAGATTTTTAGTCACCCATCCAATGACCGACAACTGTAAAAGTTGCTTAACTTCAACTTGCGCCATCGAGCTCCTCTAGTTAACTTATATTATATAATATATTTTTTATGGATTATGGATACATTCACGCTATTCCGTGTGGTAACCCACTGACAACCGAGCACCAAATGAAACAACGCTCGGAAAAAACTTGGTCCCGCTTCGGCTCGGCCACGGCCCGTTGCATGAATACAGCGCGCTGGCGCGGTGCCGCCGGGCAATCGTAGTGATACCTCAGACAAAACAGAAACGTTTTCCTCGGACGAGTACACTAACCTTGTTTACTTTATCTGAATGATAAGACTGCATCACAGCGCAACGGTACCTACTTAATTGCTCGGTCGAGGCAAGTCTTTGTAAATTACAGGTACGGGACCGGCTCGGTGACCGTGTTACAGCTGAAGCTCGGCTCGGACTCGACACGGTCTATCGTCACTGATCATCCTTAATAGTTTTGTTAGGTAGCTACCAAAATCTTGTCGGTAACTATATTTAAATTTAATTTTAAAAGTGGCGGCTTTCCCCATCCTTTTGCCAAAAAAAAACTTCGGCATGCTCTAAGAAAAATATGATTCCTGAAGTTCTCCCCGCAGATTTAATTTCTCCAAGTTCATATTTTTCACCAAAATACGGATAAACACTCCCAATCTAGAAACCCTAAGTACCACAGAGTAGGCAAGTATTGACTCTTTAGAACGATTCATAATATCTCATACAGTAAAATAACAAACTTATGTTAAGTTTTCATATTTCAAAGTTGATGAAGAACAACAAAGAATTACTGAAATAAGTCAAAATCACTGAATAATAAGTATTTATGGCTAATTTGAGTAAACCGATAATTACCGGTTCAATGCTTTTACCTAATCTGTGAATTCAATTTAGATGCTCGTTTTCAGCTGTCACTTGTGATTTTAATTTAGTTAGTTCGCAATTTCAGAATACCAATTCACTAAACCTAAACTAAAATTAGCTCTCTAATTTTAAGTTTAGGTTTAGAGAATGTATCGTCAGAATTGGTCCCATTGTGTCAATTCTGGCATGATTCTCTAAAGTTAAAAATAAATTTGATAACAGTGTATCCTTGTGATTCGCTACATAGGATGGAAAGAGTGACTTACGTTTAGTTTAACGAATCATGCCAGAATCGACACCATTGCTCAACTTATAATTTTATTAATCTGTGTGTGTGCTTTAAAATAAAGTGGAATCGACAGTTTCCTTTGCCCCAAGGGTTAGGAAGAATATTAAAAAAAGTAATGTCACAATTTATGGCGAGTTTCTTGTGTTGATTCTCAATTTGCTTTTTTAGCAATGGAATTTTCGCGCAAAATTTAGTTTTTAAATAAAAAATTACTAAGCCATACCATAATGGAAGAGGAATTTATTGAAGAAGAAATTGATGGATCCATTCATAGCATTCATGTTCGCAATTTCTTCTGTCACGAGAATTTGGAAATAAATCTAAATAGAAATGTTAACTTTATTGTTGGTCGTAATGGTAGCGGTAAAAGTGCAATATTGACCGCTTTGGTTGTTGGTTTAGGTGGTAGAGCTTCAGCCACTAATCGAGGAAACAATCTTCATTGTACGTACACATAAAGCATGGTTTTAAGTTATTTAACTGTATGTTTTTTTATTGTTAATAATATAATCCATTTCCTTCTTCCTTCCATCCATTATCCCTTCTCCCAGCTCTGTATCAATTTTCATTAATTACTGTTTCTAAATTATCTTAGTAATTTAACTGTGGGTTCATTGAGTTACTTCTATAAATATTTCAGCTTTTATAAAGAAAGGAGCTAATTCAGCTACAATTGAAATAAAAATAAAAAACAGCAGTCCTAAAGCCTATAAGCATAATGAGTATGGAGATTTTATTACAATAATTAGAAACATCACTGCATCAGGAGGATCAAGTTATAAAGTTAAATCTGCAACAGGTAAGGTTAAACATCGTATCTCACTTCTGATTTTGGAAAATAGAAATTACATTGTGAGCATCATTTACATAGCTCATAATATTTTTTATGAGAATATATCTTCAGCAATATCCAAATATATTAAACTTAAGAAAATGTAACTAGAAAATCTTATCATAATATCATAAACTTATAAACATAAGATATTAAACTTGAGCTCTCCTAAACTCATCTCTCTAAGGCTGACCTGATGTGACTGAGAAATCATGATAAATAACATTTTGATTAATTTATTAGGGGAGGTAATATCAACAAAATTCGAAGAGGTGAATGCTATCATATTAGCTCATGATATTCAAGTAGACAACCCGATATCAGTTCTTAATCAAGATGATGCTAGAAGCTTTCATGCTTCTGATGCTAAAAAGAAGTACTCACTATTCAGAAAAGCAACAAACCTGGATCAAACAGAAACCAATTATGTCCGAGCCCTTGAAAACTGTAACAAAGCTACTGCTATATGGAACAGAAAGAATGAGGTATCCTTATAAATAAATTTGCATTAAGAAAACCTCAGACAACAGGGTACCATGCATGAATTTTGACAGCTCCATACTTGTATTGCATCATCAAAGCTTCTATGAAAACTACGCAGTGCCCTTACCTGATGTAACTAGCTTTTTTCATACAAAATTTGACATTGACAATACAATTATGGAGCTGTCAAAATTCATGCATGGTCCCCAGTTGTCTGAAATTTATTAAAATTTATATTTGTTATACTAGGCAAGTTTAGTGTTAGAAAAGGAATACAAGAAATGGAAAGCTAACCATGAACAACTTCAGTCTCGTGATGAAATTGAGGCCCAGAAAAAAGCTTTACAAAATGAGTATTACTGGAGTGAAATAGCAGATTTTGAAAGAGAAGTTACAATGGTACAAAATCAGTATGACAAACAAAAAATTAGAATTGAACAACTTGTTGAGAAACTTAGTAAAATGAATCAGCATTATGGTGATAACACTGAAGCTATTGAGTAAGTACACAATTAAAATTCACGACTAAAGATATTTTTTTAAACATGTTAAATATCACACAATGGATTCTACAAAATAAGTTTATAAATGATAGGGACTTTTATACACTCTGTGCCTCACAGAATTTAAAAATATTTCATAAATGGAGTTAAGGCTAACAAAAATTGTACCTATTTTAAGCAAAAAAATGTTGGTGAAAATGAAAAATAATTTACCTACTTAAGTTTCACAATAAAGAACATCGGTTTCTAGAACAGACTTATTATTTAATTGTATTACAATATCTACAATATAATAGTTGCAGCTCTATATATCTCTAGCTCTTTAAAGTAACAGAATATAAAATTAACCAAAAAGAAATAGGCAGAAATAAAAAGGAAGACTTTATTTTACGTGTTTTTCCTTTTTTCTAAATAAATGTGTGATGTTGATTTTGTATACGACTTTTATTTATTTTGAAATATTACTGCTAACATCTTCTTTAAACTCTACCATCCTTTCGCTGTCATTATTTAGGTTCATGTTTTTTCTGTATTTTTTGTATTATGTTTTGTGAACCAGGCTAAATTTTCTAGTGTGTTACGTTTTCCAAAAGTGTTTTTATGTGTGTTGATGTTAAAAAGTTTCTGAGTCTTAGCTAAATATTGAATAATAATCACTTAAACCACCTTGTCCCTATCTATTGCCAGTGAAAGTCATGGTGGACTCTCCTTCTCTATTTATAGTATGTCTTACTAGTTTAAGAAAATACTTTTTTGAGTTGAGGTTGTCATTTTGATCTAAACAATTTAATTTCTTTGTTTCCACCCAGTGAACTAAAATCGCAACTGGATGAAAAGACGTTGGAAAAGACAAATCAAGAGCAAGAGTTGCGAGCTCTAGAGACGGAAGTGCGACGCGAACAGGCCGAGTGGCGATCACAACAACACGTGGCCAGCAAGCACGCCGACCTGCTGGCTAGGGAGACGCGCAAGGTTGACGACCTGGAGAGAGAGATCAACAATATCGGGTGAGTGTATAACGCACACAAATGCGGCCAGCAAGCACTCGACCTGTTGTCTAGGGAGACGCGAAAGGTGGACGACCTGGTGAGAGGGAGCAACAATATCGGGTGATTGTATAACGTACACAACACGCGGCCAGCAAGCACCCAATCTGCTGGCTAGAGAGACGCGCATGGTGGACGACCTGGAGAGAGAAATCAATAAAATCGGGTGAGTGTATAAAGCACCCTACATGCGGCCATCAAGCACCCGACCTGTTGGCTAAGGAGACGCGCAAGGTGGACGACCTGGTGAGAGGGAGCAACAATATCGGGTGATTGTATAACGTACATAACACGCGGCCAGCAAGCACCCAACCTGCTGGCTAGGGAGACGTGCAAGGTGGACGACCTGGAGAGGGAGATTGCCAATATCGGGTGAGTCTATAACGCACACAACACGCAGCCAGCAAGCACCCAACCTTTTATTATTTCATTAATTACATTATTTGTACATTTTACTGGGGTGTTCATAATTGACACTGATATGATAATTTCATCCAACTTAGCGTAACATACAAATTCATTTGCGCATTTATTAGATAGGATATGATGCTGAACAATGTGTCGAAGCGGCAAGCGACTAATACGAAACATTGGTGTAGGTCTGGGCAGTCGACGCAGCACCGTGCGGAGTTGGAGCAGCGCGCAGAAGCTGCTGCGGCGGCGGCGGCTGCGGCGGAGGCGCGGTACGCTACCCTGCAGCACGACTCCACGCAGGCTCGCGCCGCCGCCGCGCACCACGCCGCCGCGCACGACCGCGCCGCCGCCGCCGCCGCCTCGCACCGCGACCGCCTCCGTGAGTACAGTATGGGCCGAAACACATAACGCAAACTGCTTATTTTTGCGGCGCCGCAACGCCAAAATCGGCAGTTGCGTTGCCGCGTTGCGGCGTCGCGAAACAGGGCATTATGGTAGGGTAACCATTTTCTCGTGATTTTTGAGTGTGGATAGACGTCTCTCTGCGATGGATCGTAATAAACTTATTGCTTATTTGTTATTAAGAAGACATTATTCTATCTTAAAAATACGGCAAAGAAGATACTGGATACATCCATTAAGTAAGGGTATGAATCCAAATGGCGAGTTCTTTTCTAAAAAATACGAAGCATTAAAGATAGACGAAAAAAAATTTGTTGCCTACTTTAGAATGAGTATATCATCATTTGAAGAGCTATTAAGCGAGTTATCAAAATATATACAGAAGAAAAAAAATAAAGGAAGGAAACCAGTTACTGCTTTGGAAATGCTGGGCTTAACTTTAAGGTAAAACAAATAGGTTTCTTATTTTTTTTTTATTGATGTTTATGGCACTCGGAATCAAATGTTTAGTTTTATTTGTACCCCTGGCTTTATACACCTGTGGTACTAGCGGGGTGTCGATAAAAATTTTGCATCACTAGTGTTCATGGTTTGGGGGTACCTAGTGGTACAAAGCCAGGTTCAAATGAAACAAGACAGAATCAAATTAAGCTTTTTGCATTATACAATTTTCTTACTTTAAGAATACTTTAATAGGCCTTAAAAAATGTAACACATAAGCGCGTTGCGGCGCCGCGCCGCTGAAATCGGCAGTGCGCTATAGCGGTGCGGCGCCGCAACGCACGACGCGAATTCCAGCGTTATGACGTCATACTTGTTGACAAGGATGCAGTTTGTTGCACTCTTGCAAACAACACGTGTCAACCGAGAAGCAGTTTTAAAATTAAAATGTCTGACGTTGACGTCGATCTGTTTATATCTTCGGTTCAGGAACACCGTTGTTTGTGGGATACTAGTGACGAAACCTATAAAGACAAATTTATGAAACAAGAAGCATGGAAAAGCATTTGTGAGATCGTTTATGTTGATTACAAGGAAAAAAACTCAACCGAAAAATCAAAACTGGGTAAGTAGTAACATAGTATTGTCTTAGGTTTACGCGATCACTATTCACAATAAAACTACAATTTTTACTGTAGTAAAAACGTAAAAATCTGATCCGCGGTTTAAATTGTAAAAATTGTAGTTTAATGTAAGTAGCATGTATCTTTTTTTTTTTAATCATATGAAATACACCATTTATTTTAATGCCCTATGCAAAAGATTTTCTCTAAGTTAAAATTATATTTTTTCTCGCGCTCTTATTCAAAAAGGTAAACAAATACTATAAATAAAACCAAATTGCCATTTAAATTGTTTATTCGCAGTTCACAACATGTTAAATAGTTTGAATCAAATGTATTAAGGTATTATTTGTATTTTGAACTGAGTAGGTATACGAACATTCATATTTTGTTTAATTGCCAACTTAGGGCGCCAACATCACTGGAAAAGTAATTACAAAAATCATTCCGTATTAGATGTGGGCTTAAATTATTTTCATTTGCTGTGGGCAAATGCAACATTTGCAGATCAGAATCATCAAAGATAATGTCATCGGTCGCTTGTACTCCATCTCGATTCAAAACAAAGTTGTGCATTACACAACATGCCTTGATAATGTCTGTCGCAAATTCGTATTGCACATTCATAGATCGATGAAATATGCGCCATTTATTGGCTAGGATGCCAAAAGCGCACTCGACATATCTTCGGGCACGACTCAGTCGATAATTGTAAACTCTTTGTTGTACCGACAAATGTTTCCCTGAGTAAGGGCGCATGACGTTATTCGAAATTGAGAATGCTTCATCTCCTACAAAAACAAATGGAGTTTCATTTTGAGAACCTGGTAAAGGCTTTGGTACAGGAATAGGTAATTTGCGTGTCATAATCAAATCATAAAGTTTAGAGTTCTGGAAAACGGTGGAGTCACTTTCCTTGCCATACGCTCCTATATCGACAAAAATGAATCTATATCTAGAATCTACAAGAGCTAATAAAACTATTGAATTATAGCCCTTATAATTGTAAAACAGTGATCCACTGTGCGCAGGACATGTAATACGGACATGTTTACCATCAAGAGCTCCTATGCAGTTAGGAAAATTTGCTTTCTTGTCAAACTCAATAGCGACATCTTCTAGAACCTGTTTTGTTATAGGAGGTATATTTTGACTTGATAGATGTTTCCATATGGCGCGACAAACTGTCCTTACAATTTTTGCTATTGTACTTGCTCCTCGGAAGTAATTCGTATGCATGGTTTTAAAGTCACTGCCGGTTGCTAGAAATCTAAAATGAAATAATAATTAGTAGGCAAATAATAAAATAATACAAATGTAGGTATAATCAAACTCAAACTGCGCAGGTAATAGTGTTGCTAAAGGAATAGATTTTCAAAGATAGACAGGTAGTTTTTCAAAGAAGTACTCAAGAAATATTTTACATTATGGTTGTTCTAGGCAAAGTCAATCAGTTTTTAACTTGCCTAAGTCAAGAAAAAGCAGAAAATTGTTCTTTTTCGGCGGCCAGCCATTTATATGAAATTGGATGGACCGAAAGTACTTATGAAAGTTATATCAAATTTTATATGTAATTTTATATGTAGTATAAATGGAATCTAGGGAATTTTAGTCTTTATTACTATTTTTCACTTGTGAAGTTATTTGTTGCAGGTAATAATTTAGTCAAGAAGTGGAAGGCCATAAAAGATAATTTTGCTAAATATCAAAAAAAACTAAAAGATGCCAATCGATCAGGAGCTGGAGCTGCAAAAATTAAAGAATATCACTTGAATAAACAATTACAGTTTTTGAAAAAGGTTTCACAAAATGCAACTGATTCCAGTTTATGTGTAGCGGAAGGAAATATTGAGAATGAAATAACGGCATTGCCTCGTTATAAAAGTCAACCACGAAAACGAAAGGCAGATGATAAGGATGATATTGAAGAAGATTTATTGGCAATATTAAAAACACCGGAGAATAGACATTTGCATTTTTTCAAGGGGATTTTACCATCTCTACAATCGTTAAATGAGAATCAAACATTGATATTTCAAAGTCGGGTGCTTCAAATATTAACGGACATTCTTCAACCTTCAATTCATCAAAATACACATCACGGCTATAATCAAGAATATCAGCATCAGGGTTATAATCAAGGATATTCAACTATGAGATACGATAATACGGTTCAGAGTGGCTACCACACTTCTACTCCTGGAAGTTCGATTACTGAACAGAGGACTACCTCATCATCAAACCAACGTCCAATAAATTCACCATTTTTACTGGACGAAACGTCAGCTACTTCCTATGTTTCACAAGATGAGGAGTTTGATTTTTCTTAAATTGATCATTACATTTTTTAAGGCCTATTAAAGTATTCTTAAAGTAAGAAAATTGTATAATGCAAAAAGCTTAATTTGATTCTGTCTTGTTTCATTTGAACCTGGCTTTGTACCACTAGGTACCCCCAAACCATGAACACTAGTGATGCAAAATTTTTATCGACACCCCGCTAGTACCACAGGTGTATAAAGCCAGGGGTACAAATAAAACTAAACATTTGATTCCGAGTGCCATAAACATCAATAAAAAAAAAATAAGAAACCTATTTGTTTTACCTTAAAGTTAAGCCCAGCATTTCCAAAGCAGTAACTGGTTTCCTTCCTTTATTTTTTTTCTTCTGTATATATTTTGATAACTCGCTTAATAGCTCTTCAAATGATGATATACTCATTCTAAAGTAGGCAACAAATTTTTTTTCGTCTATCTTTAATGCTTCGTATTTTTTAGAAAAGAACTCGCCATTTGGATTCATACCCTTACTTAATGGATGTATCCAGTATCTTCTTTGCCGTATTTTTAAGATAGAATAATGTCTTCTTAATAACAAATAAGCAATAAGTTTATTACGATCCATCGCAGAGAGACGTCTATCCACACTCAAAAATCACGAGAAAATGGTTACCCTACCATAATGCCCTGTTTCGCGACGCCGCAACGCGGCAACGCAACTGCCGATTTTGGCGTTGCGGCGCCGCAAAAATAAGCAGTTTGCGTTATGTGTTTCGGCCCAACTAGCCGCAACCTAGGCCGCGTCTGTCTGTGAGACGCTTGCAAGTCAAAGCAGCGAGATACAGGCGGAATGACCTCCACCGCGCGTACATTCTTGACTCCCTACAAATGATTCTTTATTTGTCTCCTTTGTCTCTATGCTCTTTATCCGCTTTCTGAAACGAAGTTTCCCCTGAAACAGCCATGTCATGTCAGCAATCGTATTTTATAGTCAGATTCGACCCAAGTGTCCTTGAGTCGGGCCTCCACTCCCGAGTAAAACCGATATAACACCCTCCCCTGGTCCGATGTGCACCAAGGCCCTTGCCATTCGGCAAAGACGAACTCGGCGACCTCGGGTTAACGCTCTGTAATTCCTCCTTGGAATAAATAAATAAATCGATAGTAGATAGTCGCCGATACTTCGCCTTCGACACCGCATGTTGCACGAACGAAAGGACAAATGGACCGACACACCCAACACAGTGGCCGACGTCACGCCTTTATTAAAGTCCCCCTGAACCGGATTTGCAAGAGAGCAACCATCTGATGACCGACCATTACGAAAGTTGCTTAACTTCCACAATCACCGTCGTTCAAAGGGCCACAATATCTATACAAAAATTTTATAAAGAGGTAATGTTTGTGATATTGTAGAAGTAATGTCTGGATCTATTTAACCGATTCAGAAAATTCTTACACCATTAGAATGCATGCTACATTATCCCTGCCCCCCTAGTATGAGCACTGCGAAAGTACATATATATAGCTCGTTTTTATCACACTTGACAAATTACTTTGAAGTTTTACAGTAAGTCGCGATAAAAAACGTGATTAAATGTTAATTGTGGAGCTCATGCAACGGGGACTGAGTGACAAGTTATATTACAGCGTTTAAAAAAAGTGCGCCCGTGCAAAGCCGGGGCGGAACGCTAATAATAAATAATGTAAGAATGATGTGTTCTTATGTGACGATCTCCGTGGCCGAGTGGTTTGTACGCCGGGTTTCATTGTGTCGCCGACTCGAGAGGTCCCGGGTTCAAATCCCGGTGGGGGCAGATGTTGGTGTGATGGATACAGAACGAACATTTGTATTCCAGTCATGGATGTTTAATATGTATTTCTATAAAAATATACTTATATAATGTACAGTATATGTATTCTATCCGTTACCCTAGTATCCCATAACACAAGCCTTACAGTGCTTATTTTGGGGCTAGGCTAAATAATTGGTATGAGTGTTGGAAATATTTATTTATTATTATGATAGGACAACTAAAGCAACAGCTGCGCGAGTTGGAGTCCAGGGGGAACGACTCGTTGGCTGTATACGGCGCTAACATGGTGGAGTTGTGCCAGCGAGTGAAGCAAGCCGTCGCCAGGGGAGAGTTCAGTGCTCCGCCGAGGGGGCCTGTCGGTAAGTTAGTGTGAATAAAGTCGCGTTGTTTCATCGATAGTAGAATACTATAGAAAATAATTACCGTTTAAAAAAAATACACATTTACTATGTATTTGGCGTGACATTGACTATAGTTACATTCTATTGTTTATGAAAAACGCGGTCTAATTGAGACAAACGGTTACATACAAAAACCTTATACAATTTAATGAGGTACTCCAAAAACTTATTTTCCATAGAAGTTACTTAAGATTTCATAGGGAAGCTTCTTTGCTTATAAAATAAACATTAGTAAAATCTCAGGAAAACTTTTGAATACTTGTATTCACTTAAATATGATTTAATAAATATCAGGACAGGGAAAAAGAAACTTCAAAGCTGTTCTGGGAATGAAAGAATAACAGAATGCACAGGGGCGTATTTTAAAATCTGGCGCTCGGGCTACTTGGAATTTGTGCCCCCGCTCCCCCTAGCTTTCGTATAGCAAAATCAAAATATACTCGTAGGTCAGTAACGAATGCCTTTGTATGGCCATGGATGGCCCTCTTGGCCCTAGGATAAATGCCCCAGCTGATTTCCCGTGCCTATAGGCAATGTTTCAGGTGATAGGCAAGGAAACTAAGGATGTTTTGACGTGATAACGTTTTGTAAATCGATGAATACCAGATGCACGCACGAAAAAGTGTCACTTTCGGCCTGAGCTTGAGCGTGCAAGCGAGAGCGCGGAGCAAGCGATAGAGAGGCACGATCGGCCCAAGCGTCGGCTTGTACACATTTATCTCTCTTCTCCCGTGACGTCAGAGCTAGCAATTATGCAATTTTTTCATCAATGTTCCTTTATGACGTTATCACGTAAAACTATCGTCCGTAAACCGACTTTACAGACAACCAATGTTTTAGGTGATTGTAGGCTGGCACTCAAACACACACACACATCTTTATACCATGTGCGGTGTGTAGGGACAAGACTATTAAGTCCACTAGCAGCAATTTTGCTAAATCTCAATTTCACTAAAACTAGTTATAACCCATAGGAAAATGTCACATTGAAATTTTTATATGGGTTAAAGCTAGTTTTAGTTGAGTCGAGGTTTAGCAAATTTGTTGCAAGTGGCCCTTAGAATTCGTATTATTAATGTGCTGCTCTCTGAAACACAGGTGCATATTTGAAGGTGAAAGAAAGGAAATGGGGCGGTGCAATCGAACATATAATTGGAGGGTCCGTATCGTCGTTCTGTGTCAACTCCCCGGAAGACTCGAGAAAACTGTTCGAAATTATGGGACAAGTAAGTGTTTTACTGTATTCTTAAATCAATGTGGATTGTTTTTTTTCATTTTTTTTACACTCATCGCACCCGGTCAGGTATTTTGTTTCAGCCTTAAGAGAAGGACGGGCGCCTCCTATCTTGAACCTTTCCCATAAACTTTTCGTGTCAAATGTTTCACTTTTTTTTCGTCAATCGTCTGTTTATCTATGAACACTTAACATTCGCAGCAGTAAAGAAAAACTCCGTGACGACCTCCGTGGCCGAGTGGTTTGTACGCCGGGTTTCATGGTGTTGCCGACTCGAGAGATCCCGGGTTCAAATCCCGGTGTTTGTGTGATGAATACGAACATTTTGTACTCCAGTCTGTATATCGTGTTGTTTAAGATGTATTTCTATAAAAATATACTTATATATGTAAGCATTATGTAAACTATCCGTTACCCTAGTATCCCATAACACAAGCCTTATAGTGCTGACTTTGGGGCTAGGCTAATTGGAGTTAGGAAATATTAAAAAAAAAAACGTGTAGCGTGCGCTGTAATGATGTTTTCTTGTACAATAATTTTGAATATTATTAGGAACGTTTTCGACGTTCGTATTGCATTTTAAATAATCTGGACGCCTCCCCAGGTGTACGGCAAAGCGAATAAGCCGGGCGTGACTTGCAGCAAGTTCCTGCCTCGTCAGCACGACGTGAGACGGAACAAGGTTCGCGCCGGCTCGTACATATCCGCGTTGGACTCGCTGGACATCGGCGATCCTGTCATCGCTAACTTCCTCATAGATAATGTCCGCCTGGAAGCTGTGCTGCTTGTGCCGGAACATGGTGAGTCCATGTTATACTTTGACAGTTTTTTTTGAAGTAAAACTTCTTTACGCATGCTTGACTTTGGGAGTAAGCTGGCGAACGCGTTACTAAAAGTGTGATCGGGCGAGGCGAACGGGAGTTGAGTGGGGAATATAAGAAAAAGAGAGCAGTGCGCGCGTACATTTTCTTTCTCTCTTTCACTTATAGCTAGTAAATGAAATATGTATGTGTAACTTTATTGTCATAAGAATCTATGTTTATTAAGTTCATTTTGGTATATAAATGGTTACTTATGAATAAACTTGCTTCAATTATTTTAAATTAAACATGTGACAGAATTTATGACCTGACTAGGTATATATGAAACTAAAGAAGTTTCACTTCAGTCGTGTGGTCATAAACACACTCGTTTTTTTGTAGGTAACTCTGAGAATAGGAACTGGAGCATGGAAGTAATGCCATGGCGTTTGAGCGTACACTCCCATAAACGAAAAGATTTCGAAGCAAAAATTACCCCACCAATAAGTGTTAGTGACGTGTTAGCAGGTTGCATTTGACATTAGATCGTTTTTTAATTCGGTATCCTAAAGGTAACTAAGGTATCCACAATCCATACAAGGGTTTTTAATTTGACGTTTGTATAGGGGGCCGTTCAAGTATTACGTAAGCAGATTTATTACAATTATTTACCACATCCTCCCCCTTGTCAGCAAAAGTAAGCAAAGTCTTACCCCTCCCCCCCATCCTTACGTAAAAATTGGTACCTATATGCATTTTTCCTTTAATATATTCTGTTTTTTTTATTGATTCATGAGCTTTCATGAGCTTCATGACCAGCAGTATCTAAAAAGGCTTAATCGATGATGCTGACGTAATCACCATCTCTACCCCCACCCCCCAAGTCATCAAAAATAAGCAAAGCAGAGACCCCCCTGCCCCCCTATAGTGCTTACGTAATACTTGCACAGCCCCTAGTGTACGCTCGCTGTTCATAGTATGATCCATAGCAACATATATTTGTCCCTTGATTGGTCTGTGTGTAAAAATATGATAACTCTATAAGTCGACTTGATGAGTTGAATTTAATTCTTTCCATGCTTTAGTTCTTGTTCTGAGAGGTAACTGTTTGCGTGTTTGTGTTCGATTCGCATGGTAGAGAGCGAGAATGGAGACTTTAGGTGTAGGAAGCACAGAAAGCAAATGCCTATTTACTTTGGTTTTAAAAACACCTAAGCTATAATGAGAAGGGAAAACAGACACTGGTCGAGTTAGTCGTTCGAAAACTCGATAGCTGCGTCCCAAACCTACGTTTCCAGTAGAACTTTTCAATGAAATGAGGATTACTTAAGTCTGTTTTTTAATCTCGGAGACAAAAATGACACATTCAAATGTTATATTTGCAAATAATGATACCAGCTTTTATTATGTAGTTTATTTTGTTTTCAAAAATTATAGCACACTATCAATACATTATATAAAGAAAATATTACTAGAAAAAAAAACAATTATATATAATACTACGACAAAGTGAAAGATCACTGTCACTTCACCGGAATATACAGAGGTGCTTCCCATTCATTTTGTAATCGCAGATTTCAAATTCATTCCTATATTGCTCAGCCAGCGAACTTCGTATCGTCATAAAAATATGGGTGGTAGAAGAGTGAAAATTTAGGGTTATATGTATTTTTGTATGATGTATCATAAAAAACAAAATATTTTGTCCAAAAAAAAATGGTGGACCACCCTTATAATTTAGGGGGATGAAAAAAAGGTGTTGTCCGATTCTCAGACCTACTGAATATCCATATAAAATTTCACGAAAATCGCTCGAGCCGTTTCGGAGGAGTTCAATTACGCATTCCGTGACACGAGAATGTTATGTATTAGACAGGGCCGCGGTAGCATAATGGTCAGTGTATTCGCCCGGATAGCGAAGTGTAACAAGATCTTGATCACAACAACGCACGTGATATTCTTGTGTGCACAGAGGACGCTGTCCGTTTATCCGACACGGTGGAGAACGTACCAGAGAACTGTTCGCGCGTCGTAACTCTTGACGGCAGCGAGTACCATCCCGCGCCCAACTACCGCAGTTACGGGGGCGCCGCGCACCACAGCCGCTACCTGCAAGTCAGCACCGCCGAGAGGAAGAGGTGCGCACTCTCTCTCTCTCTCTTTCTCACACACACACAACAGCCTACAACTTACGGCTACGAGAGGCAAGTCTCCTCGCGTAACTCTTGACGGCAGCGAGTACCATCCAGCGCCCAACTACCGTAGTTATGGGGGCGCCGAGCACCACAGCCGCTATCTGCAAGTCAGCACCGCCGAGAGGAAGAGGTGCGCTCTCTCTCTCTTTCTCTCACACACACAACAGCCTACAACTTACGGCTACAAGAGCCTTGTCTCCTCGCGTAACACTTGACGGCATCGAGTACCATACCGCGCCCAACTACCGTAGTTACGGAAGCGCCGCGCACCACAACCGCTACCTGCAAGTCAGCACCGCCGAGAGGAAGAGGTGCGCTCTCTCTCTCTCTCTCTTTCTCTCACACACACAACAGCCTACAACTTACGGCTACAAGAGCCTTGTCTCCTCGCGTAACACTTGACGGCATCGAGTACCATACCGCGCCCAACTACCGTAGTTACGGGGGCGTCGCGCACCACAACTGCTACCTGCAAGTCAGCACCGCCGAGAGGAAGAGGTGCGCTCTCTCTCTCTCTTTCTCTCTCACACACACAACAGCTACAACTTGCGGCTACGAGAGCCAAGTCTCCTCGCGTAACTCTTGACGGCAGCGAGTACCATCCAGCGCCCAACTACCGTAGTTACGGAGGCGCCGCGCATCACAGCCGCTACCTGCAAGTCAGCACCGCAGAGAGGAAGAGGTTCTCTCTCTTTCTCTCACACACACAACAGCCTTCAACTTACGGCTACGAGAGCCAAGTCTACTCGCGTAACTCTTGACGGCAGCGAGTACCATCCATCGCCCAACTACCGTAGTTATAGGGGCGCCGAGCACCACAGCCGCTATCTGCAAGTCAGCATCGCCGAGAGGAAGAGGTGCGCTCCCTCTCTCTTTCTCTCACACACACAACAGCCTACAACTTACGGCTACGAGAGCCAAGTCTCCTCGCGTAACTCTTGACGGCAGCGAGTCCAACTACCGTAGTTATGGGGGCGTCGCGCACTACAGCCGCTACCTGCAAGTCTGCACCGCCGAGAGGAAGAGGTGCGCTCTCTCTCTCTCTCTTTCTCTCACACACACAACAGCCTAAAACTTACGGCTACGAGAGCCAAGTCTCCTCGCGTAACTCTTGACGGCAGCGAGTCCAACTACCGTAGTTATGGGGGTGTCGCGCACTACAGCCGCTACCTGCAAGTCAGCACCGCCGAGAGGAAGAGGTGCGCTCTCTCTCTCTTTCTCTCTCACACACAACAGCTACAACTTGCGGCTACGAGAGCTAAGTCTCCTCAAGACATAACTATACTGATTTTACATTATCATCATCAACATCAGCCTATTAATGTCCCCACTACTGGGGCACAGGCCTGCCCTATAGATGGAATAGGGAGATTAAGGCATGACCCACCATGCGGGCCCAGTGCGGATTGGCGGGTGCTTACAACTGCAGATGCAGCTGGGACCAACGGCTTAACGTACCTTCCGAAGCACGGAGGAACTCGAGGTAGAAGATTTTTGGTCACCCATCTAATGACCGACCACTGCGAAAGTTGCTTAACTTCAACGATCGCAGCCGAACGCGCAAACCACTTGCGCCATTGAGCTCCTCAACGCACTAAAGACTTACTATTTAGTAAAATGGGGATTAAATACACTCATCATCAGCCTATTAATGTCCCCACTGATGGGGCGCAGGCCTTCCCTATGGATGGAATAGGGAGATTGGACCATGACCCACCACGCGGGCCCAGTGCGGATTGGCGGATGCAAATACACTCGATAGCAAAATCATCTCAAAAGTTAATTCGCCATTTTTATCTACGCTCATACAGACAAGTGCAAGCCGAAATACAAGAAGCGGAAGTAAAACTTAAAGCGCTTGAAGCCAAAGCGGAGGAGTTGAACCAGGAAGTGCGCTCCGCTCGCGAGAACGAGCGGGAAACGTCACGAGCGTTGCAAGCGCTAGTCGGCGAGCGACACGAGCGAAACGAAGCCGCTAGAAATGCTAGCGCTGCGTTGGCCAATTATCATGCGCCGCATCATGCTGTGTTGGTAAGTATAATATTTATATTTTCTGCCTATCTTATACCGTGTTGCCATATGTATAAATAAATATTTCTAACACACACACCAATTAACCCAACCTTTGGGGCTATGCTAATCACTGTGATAGAGCGTCACCTTGTAAGCACTGCGATATGAACAGGCCAAGTGTTATATACTTGTGTGCGTGACACGCAAAACAAAACACGCGAATCTTGTATCTTACACTCGCGAAATGTCATTCTTTATGTCTTGTAGCGCATCCGTTAGATTATTATTACGCATGCGCACGATGATTGTTTGTTAAAAGGTTAGGCCACATTCTCCCAAGAAATGGGTAAACTTAATGAAATCAAAATAAGTATACTGTTTACACAAAACAGAAACATCTTTAAAACGTACGAATTTATGCTTGTTTTTTTTTGACAAAATTTTATTTACTTGAACATGTTTATTAAAGAAATAACAATCATGATATGTATATCGATTACGCCGACAAAATGGTATTTTTTTTTAGTTTTACTCCCATAAAAATATCATTTGTTCCACAACGCGTCCGCGGGTACCAACGGCAACGGCTCCTGAGTCGCGTTTACGTTACGTTTTTATAAAATGTATATAAGCACTTGAAAAGATCGGCGGCTCTACCGCATCATCCCCTTCTCAGGGGATGCCGTAGCCGGATAACACAAAGATGCGATTATAACTCCATTTCTGGGATATTATCGTAACAAACCTCTTTTTCCGTACCTGGATAGCTCAATGATACAATTATAATTCCATTCCTATGGCATTATCGGACCAATCCTCGTTATCCGTAGCTGGATGACACAATGATGCAATTATAGTTCCATTCCTAGGACATTATCGTAACCATCCTCATTTTCCGTAGCCGGATAACACAATGATGCAATTATAATTCCATTCCTAGGACATTATCGTAACAATCCTCATTTTCCGTAGCCGGATAACACAATGATGCAATTATAATTCCATTCTCAGAACATTATTGTAACGTGACAATCCTCTTTTCTCGTAGCTGGAAGAATTAAACGTGTCCAAGGAAAAGCTTCGCACATTGAACGAACAACTGGATGCGTTCAAGCAAAAGGAGCGAGAGTTCAAACGCAAAGTAGACGCTCAAGAGGCCGACATGAGGCAGGTGAAGGGAAAACTGGCGCAACTCACCGCCGCCTGCAGGACACTTAGTGTAAGTTTACAAATGTTTGTTTTATTTTCCTAGGGTATTATTTTGTTTCGTTTTCCTTAGTTTCATAATTTTTTTGGAAGTGAAACTTATTTGGGGAGTAATCTGGTGAACGCGTTACGATAGTATGATCGGGCGAGGCGAACGGGAGTTGAGTGGGGGATTTAAGCAAGAGAAAGCAGTACGCGCGCACATTTTCTTTCTCTCTTTCTCTTATCTAGTTAATGAAATATACATACATGTACATACATGTATATATTGTACACACACATATATTTACAGATGGAGCTAAAGTAGTTTCACTTCAGTCGTGTGGTCATAAGCACACTCGTTTTGTTTTCTATGCACATATTAAAATATCTGTTTCAACTGTGAGAATCGATCGAGATACCGCTTTGGATGAAAACATCATAAAATTGTGATCGATATTTTAATACTAGTGTCTTCCGCCTGCATTATACTTTTTTTTATAATCCTTCAAGGACCTAACCATTTAACGGTATTTACTTTAAATAGTTTTTAAAAGCTAGTTGTAGCGAGAAAATAACTTTTTGACCATGATCTCATCTTCCCTTTCACGTTTTCACATATTCACGTACACCTGAAAAAAAATTGTACTTAAAAAAAATCCTACCAAGTGCGAGTCGGAATCACGCACCGAGGGTTCCGTGCAAAACTATTTTAATAATTATTAAAAAATATTTTTTATTATATGATGTAACTAAAAAGAACAATGGGCAAAAATGTTTGGACACTGCACCCACGTCCGCCACGGCGTAAACTACATTTGTTTGAAAGGTATTATAGTCATGATCATCTGTGCCAAAGAGCATCAAATTCCATGCCGAGGGTCTTTACTTATTTTAAGTTAAATAGGTACAAGTACTATAACGAACGAACATTAATGAAACAAGGGAATTCATTTAGTTAGTTCGACCCTACATAGAGGGCTCTGGTATTATGGGAGTACATCACAAGGGTTTTCCCTTATTTTATTATGCCGCGCTAGAGTAAATCCAAAAATTCCCGTATGGGTTGGGGTTTTTTCAAACATTCTGTTCGTTATAGTAAATTGTCTTTTATATAAAACCACAAAACACCCAAACTTGTCCACGCTAAGGAGGAAACATGATTCTAGTCATCCATACTAATTGACAAAACTGATAATCGTGTTCCAATGTCCAAAGCGTGTTAGATAAAAATCAATCAAGTGACAGGGAGCGCACAATCACAAAGAAGTCGACTATTTGCAACTGCAAGTCCTTCAACCCCCGTAAACCGTTTTGAGGTGGCTCAGTAAGTGCAAGCACAGGATGATCGACAGGCTTTGTCGTATATCTGGTTGTATAATACGATATGGCATATTATTATGGTTACTAATAATATAAAGTAAAGGTACTTTGAAATGCTACTTCAATATGCCCATGTGTCATATCTTTTGACTACCAGGATATTTTTTTACGGTGTCATACTAAAAAAAGGCTAGTTTTTCATAGATCTATCGATTCATACTAATTACATTGTTGGCGGAGCTGGGTGTGTTTTGCCCATTGTCCTTTACGACTTTCGCAATTTTTCCTTTATCTGTACTATAAGACGTTCGTTCGTACCAAATTTCAAGATTCTAATTTCACGGGAAGTACCATGTAGGTTTTGATTCCCGTGCGAGTTTCAAAAATTTGCGGCTGTATGTTTTGATTGCTTTGGCTTAGAAGTTTCATTTTTTCACAGCTCCTAAGGACAGTACACCTGAGTATTAGATATGAATTTCAGTTTGATACCTTCATGCGTTCCTGGGAAAAACGGTCTTGACAGACGGACGGACGGACAAAAAAATGATCCTATAAGGGTTCCGTTTCTTCTTTTTGAGGTACGGAACCCTAAAAAAGACTAGATTTAATGATTTGTTTTATTTTAGAAGCAACAAGTATGTACAGCAGAGTAACGTTACATTCTTATAATAAAATCTAGTAAAATAGACAGCATCTTAAGGCGAACAATACCCAAAACAATTGTTTTATGTGTCATAATTATCTTGCCAACTCCACAAGTTATAGATAGCGGCAAACTAAATTAAACTACTTGAGTAAAACCACAGAAAAGTAAACTAGCGCAGTAGACGTTTTTGTATGTAGAATTGTTACTGCGCAGGCAGTTTTGTCTATGGTCGTTGTTCAAGAAGTTTGCCGGGATGTATACATAACTATATTATTCACATCACAGGAGGAGATAGAACAAGAGCAGTTGAAGTTAGAACGTGGCGTCTCAGAGCGGCAAGCTTGCGAACTAAAACTAAGAGAAGACCGAAGCAAAATAGCTCAAATACAATCATTATTGGAAGAAAAAACCGCGCACGTCGATAAACTGACGCAGGAAGCGCTGTTGCTGTGTCCGCGGGTCGTTAACGCTAGGTGATTAAACACTTTACCACCATTTATTGTAATTATCATATGAGGAGCTGGCGAAGTAAACGGTATAATTACATAAAATTAATTTTTACGAGTGCTGTATAATACTGAATCACATACTGCAGGTATGTCTGTACTGTGAGCTTTTGGCATGGTTTTAAATTTAGTTTTTTTACACTGTTTTAGTCGGTTGATTGAAAATTATTTGAGATCCAAATTCAAACTTATTACCACGAAAAAGTCAAACCGAGTTTAAGAAAAAAATGTCATACTAAATTTGCCTAAAAAGGATTTAAAACTTTGTCTAACTTTATTGTAGTGAGATAAAGACCGTAATAGCCAAGCCAAGTGCCGGCATTAGACATTAAACCAAAATAATTTTAGCACTATCTTCAGTAAATTTTAATTGTTGACTTTGCACGTAACCTAGGTAAGATAGCAAAACTAAGGTATTTCACTTTTTTCTTATTATTACTCAAAGTCTAATGACTGCTTTTCAAACAGAGACCGCGCAATAGTGACGAACGAACTGAAGAAGACCCAGCTGAAATTGAGCTCGATGCGAGTGGAGGGGCTTAGTAAGGCGCAGGTGGCTGAGAAACTGCTCAGCGTCGAGAAACACTACCGACGCACCAAGCTCACGCTCGAACGGCTCAAACGGCTGATAGACGAGGTATGGACGCGCTACGATGCAAGTGCAGGGGCTCAGTAAGGTGGCCGACAAACTGCTCAGCGTCGAGAAACACTACCGACGCACCAAGCTCACGCTTGAACGGCTCAAACGGCTGATAGACGAGGTATGGACGCGCTACGATGCAAGTGCAGGGGCTCAGTAAGGTGGCCGACAAACTGCTCAGCGTCGAGAAACACTACCGACGCACCAAGCTCACGCTTGAACGGCTCAAACGGCTGATAGACGAGGTATGGACGCGCTACGATGCAAGTGCAGGGGCTCAGTAAGGTGGCCGACAAACTGCTCAGCGTCGAGAAACACTACCGACGCACCAAGCTCACGCTTGAACGGCTCAAACGGCTGATAGACGAGGTATGGACGCGCTACGATGCAAGTGCAGGGGCTCAGTAAGGTGGCCGACAAACTGCTCAGCGTCGAGAAACACTACCGACGCACCAAGCTCACGCTTGAACGGCTCAAACGGCTGATAGATGAGGTATGGACGCGCTACGATGCAAGTGCAGGGGCTCAGTAAGATGGCCGCCAAACTGCTCAGCGTCGAGAAACACTACCGACGCACCAAGCTCACGCTCGAACGGCTCAAACGGCTGATAGACGAGGTATAGACGCGCTACGATGCAAGTAGACAGGCTCAGTAAGGTGGCCGACAAACTGCTCAGCGTCGGGAAACACTACCGACGCACCAAGCTCACGCTTGAACGGCTCAAACGGCTGATAGACGAGGTATGGACGCGCTACGATGCAAGTGCAGGGGCTCAGTAAGGTGGCCGACAAACTGCTCAGCGTCGAGAAAAACTACCGACGCACCAAGCTCACGCTCGAACGGCTCAAACGGCTGATAGACGAGGTATGGACGCGCTACGATGCAAGTGCAGGGGCTCAGTAAGGTGGCCGACAAACTGCTCAGCGTCGAGAAACACTACCGACGCACCAAGCTCACGCTCGAACGACTCAAACGGCTGATAGACGAGGTATGGACGCGCTACGATGCAAGTGCAGGGGCTCAGTAAGGTGGCCGACAAACTGCTCAGCGTCGAGAAAAACTACCGACGCACCAAGCTGACGCTCGAATGGCTCAAACGGCTGATAGACGAGGTACGGACGCGCTACGATGCAAGTGCAGGGGCTCAGTAAGGTGGCCGACAAACTGCTCAGCGTGGAGAATCTCTACCGACGCACCAAGCTCACGCTCGACCGGCTCAAGCGACTGATAGACGAGGTATGGACGCGCTACGGTGCAAGTAGAGGGGCTCAGTAAGGTGGCCGACAAACTGCTCAGCGTCGAGAAACACTACCGACGCACCAAGCTCATGCTCGAATGGCTCAAACAGCTGATAGACGAGGTACGGACGCGCTACGATGCAAGTGCAGGGGCTCAGTAAGGTGGCTGAGAAACTGCTCAGCGTCGAGAAACACTACCGACGCACCAAGCTCACGCTTGAACGGCTCAAACGGCTGATAGACGAGGTATGGACGCGCTACGATGCAAGTGCAGGGGCTCAGTAAGGTGGCCGACAAACTGCTCAGCGTCGAGAAACACTACCGACGCACCAAGCTCACGCTCGAACGGCTGATAGACGAGGTATTTTCCAGTATTTGAATACAAACTGAGGCATTGTAACGCGTTAGAACAATAGCTTACGATATGACAGCATAATCAAATGACACAATATATCGATTTATTTGCTATAGTTTCAATATTTATTATTGCACAGTAAAAATTAATTTGTTTCATTTAATAGTGCGTAGTGCTCTTAGAAGATGATGGCTTTCTGATGTCCTCTCTGAAGGGGGGGGGGGGGGGCTCTGCCGCGCTGTAATGCTCATTTAGCTCCTCGGAGACCAGAAGGACTTCTAACTCAACCAATCAATACTTTATTGCGTTCTACAATGTTTTCTTAGATCTTAGTAGGTACATTGCTTTGATCATTGTAGACCCTGAACAGGGCATAGCAAATAGAAAATAGTCGCGTGAGAGTTTGTTAGGGGGGTCCGTTGGACGTTTCTTGGCCTGCGGGGCCTGTACGCGTGGGGAGCAACTGAAAAGAAAGCAGAAAATCACCAATGCCTTTATATCTTAACAATAATTGTTGCAGATCAAGAGTACGACAGACAAACATCTCAACTTCTGCCATAGAGTACAAACTTATATAGCCCGAAGAGTTCAATACTGTTTTCAGTCTATATTGACACTGCGTGGTTATTCGGTAAGTTTATCCATACTAATATTAAAAATGCGAAAGTGTCTGTCTTTGTATCTGTTACCTCTTCCCGCTTAAACCTCTGAACTGGTTGAGATGACATTTGGTATACAGATGGTTTGTGTAGTTTTTGTCATTGAAATCATCTTTTAAGGGGTAGAAAAGGGAGGTGGAAGTTTGTAAGGGAAACAAATTTTACCATGCAGATGTTTACTTATAATTTAAAAGAAAGGTATATGATCTCATAATTTATTTATTTTAACTACAATCATATTTTTAGACGTTTTTGTACTCAAAGAGTAGTAACGAAATCATATTGCAGTCTCTGGTGATCCTCCCATCTCTTAGAAAGCTTATGCCAAGAGCACGTCTTCATATCATTCAGATTCCTTCATTGCAATGGAGGTCTTGTGTTATTTAACATCTATATCAGGTTCATTGACAAAGGCGTGAAACGCCTATAACAAATATGCTGTACTATGATTAAAACAACGAAATTCAGTTTATCTTTCTTCCATTGCATCGCATTATGTATACCATATTTTATGAAATGAATTATTATCGTAAAGCTCTGCGCAGATGAGGGACTTGTCAGTGGAAGACAAAAGTCCCTTAATCGTGAAAAATGTCCTCCGAGGATTTCTCAAGGACTCAACGCACACGGTATGCGGACTTTGTTGCCCATAGATTATAAGTCGCGGCACGAAACTCTAGCGCTGACCGTTATTGCGCAGAAGTAAAAATTAAGATGTGTTGGAGGAAACGAGGTGCGCGGGTGGGCCGATTGTCTCTCCAGTCGTACCCATGCGCAGTTATCCCCTACGCGTTTTGTTCAGCGCTAGAGTTACGTGCCGGGACTTGTACGTTGTGTTGTAATTAACGTAAAGTTTAAGAAAAAGAAAAAACTCGTTTCAATAGAAAATACTGGGTCCAACCCTTTTTATCGAATCGAGCATGTAACGCAGATCAAAGTTCGCTGTGTTTGTTGCTATGCCTAGTACCATGAGTTCCATATTTTTCGGGGACTCTCGCGTACTTTTATCCTGTCCGGTCTCTCGGTGTTCTCAGATGTATGAGAGACTTTTTGTACGCGACACTTTTAATCCGTCTTGTCACTACTGTATGCCGTTGCAAGCGATCTATTTTAGCAGACAAGTCTCTGGTCTGCGCAGGCTATTACAGTCAAGTATGCATCTGCGAGTGAGTGAGACGCTTGCGTGTGCGTGTTGCGTCGCGCCAAAGGATTATCCAATAAGCGATCAGTGACCGCTTTGTGCTTAACCTGATATTCGCGCTTCCATAAGATTATTAAATCTTTGATTTGTAAATATCGGTACCTTTTTTCTAATTTGTGAATATTTATTTTGTACGTAGGGTCGTATGGAGATAGACAACGCTCGCGGTTCACTAGAAATAGTTTGTACGGGACGGGAGAGCGGTAACAAACGGCACGCGGCCACAACCTCCTCGCTGTCAGGAGGGGAGAGATCCTATTCCACCGTAGCCTTCATTATGGCGCTGTGGGAGTGCGTGGAGCTGCCCTTCTACTTCATGGACGAGTTCGATGTGTTCATGGTGAGATATGACCCGTCCAGGGGGGGGGGGGTATCCAGTGTTCATGTTGAGATATGGCCGTATCATTGCTGGCTGATTGATATTATTCACCATCATCATTGCTGAGTTCATCATAGCGCTGTGGGAGTGCGTGGTTGTGGTAAAATAAGATGGTAAAGAGCTGGAGTGAAGTAAAAAATGAAATAAAAGTTAAAATATACGTGTAAAGTATATTGTTATGAAGTATGTCAAAATTTGAAATCAAATATTTACAAAGTGCCAACGTCAACTTTAAGTATAGAATTAAGATTGTAGCAACCAGTATTACAACAGTGGAGCTGCTCTTCTACTTCAGAGACGAGTTCGATGTGACCACGCTGTCAGTGGCGGGGGGTAGATCCTATTCCACCGTGACCTTCATCATGGCGTTGTGGGAGTTCGTGGAGTTACCCTTCTACTTCATGTTTATACTACTACTAGCTGACCCAGCGAACTTCGTACCGCCTTAAAAATAGGGGCAGGTGGTAGAAGAGAAAATTTAGGGTTGTATGTATTTTTAATACCATATTATAAAAAAAAAACCCGTCCAAAATAACATTCTTCCTAACCCATATGAGAACACTACGTTACAATTCCCAGTAGTTTGAATTTTGGCGCGAAGGCGCAAAAGCAGGTTTCAGAACACTACGTTACAGGTGGACAACCATTATCACTTAAGGATATGAAAAATAGATAGTAGCCGATTCTCAGACCCACGGAATATGCATATAAAATTTCATAAAAATCGATCAGGCCGTTTCGGAGGAGTATGGTAACTAACATTGTGACAAGAGAATTTTATATAGGTACTAGCTGACCCAGCGAACTTCGTACCGCCCTAAAAAAATAGGGGTTGTCCTGCGGACAAAATTGTGAATCTAAACCATTCTCAGATCCCCTTGAACACACACAAAAAATTTCATCAAAATCGGTCCAGTCGTTTAAGAGAAGTTCAGTGACATACACACTCACAGAAGAATTATATATATAAAGATAAGATATATTGATAACAATAAAAGAAAGCACGTCACTTTAGATAAATATTTAATTTCATTATTGTTCTTTTGTGCGACCGTAAGGTTAAGTTCAGATGGTCGCGCATCGATGTGCGTGTCCGTGTGCCTACTCAGTGATCCCGGGTTCGCATTCCGGTGGGCCAAATGTTTGTGTGTTGAATACGAGTATTTGTTCCTACGCCATGAATGTTGTGTTTCCAAGTTTGTATTTCTAAATATACTTATGTATGTATCAGTATGTATACTCTCCGTTACCCTAGTATCTTAAAACACAAGCCTGCCTTACAATGCTTACTTTGGGGCTAGGCTAATGGGTGTGTGTGTGTGTTAGAAATATTTATTTATTTTTATATACAGGACAACGTAAACCGCAAGATAGTGATGGAGTTGTTGATCGACCACGCACTCAAGAACACGAGCCGGCAGTTCGTGTTTCTCACGCCGCAGGATGCGTCAGCCGTCACTGCCGGCCCGCAGATCAGCATACACTTGTGAGAAATCCTACTATATTTTCCTAACTATAATATACAGGGTGGTCCAATTAGTGACGTCAACAATTTTTTTTAGATTCTTCGCACCTAGGGGTGGATCTTTGTGGTGAAACCGAAATTATTGTAAAATTACACATGCTAAAGTTATTTTACAGGAATTTCAATTAAAATTTAATTTGAAATTACATTTTTAAGTTTAATTTACCATAACAATGATAAAAAGTAGATAAAATAATTTTTAATGCTTTAATCGTGTTTCAATGATTTTAGCATATCCGCGTTCGAAGGTCAATTACAACAAAAATAGGCTGATTAAGTACAATTTTTTTTTTCATGTTTTTTGGTAGTTTAGAAGCTTGCGGAGTTTTTAATTCTAGCTTGAAGCTGTGGAAACTCCTTTTTGTATTTTTAAATTGAAGTTGAATGTTTGAGTAAATCCTACTAAAAACTAAAGTTCCAACTTTCAAGCCTTTTTTGAGTAACTTTAAGTAATTTCAAGCCGAGTTATTTTTTTTCAAAAACAACATTAAAGACTATTATTATGTCATAAGAAAAAGACTGCAAAATACCTATTACGAAAAAAGATATGAACTTTTGAAACCTCGCTGGCAGAAAAAAATAAAAATACACAAATAAAATTATAACTCGAAAACGAAGAAAAATCGCGGAACGTACAGGGTTAATTTTAAAACACGAACTACCTCTTAGAGGGTGATTCTACCCATCAACAGGAACAACTTTTATTATGGGACAAACTACGAAATCGCGAAAAAAAATTTGCTGTTTCATACATTTCGGTCGATTAGCTGATGCACTTTTGTATAAACAGCAAATTTTTTTTCGCGATTTCAGCGTTGGTCCTATTATAAAAGTTGTTCCTGTTGATGGGTAGAATCACCCCCTAAGAGGTTGTTGGTGTTTTAAAATTAACTCTGTATATATATGATAGATAGTCGTGGCTGCCGCTCGATCGAAAATCGCGTTCAACAAAAAATAAATTAAAACCATATTAAAACACAATTTTGTTTTTTCTTTGTTACAGAATGGCTGATCCTCGCCCTTAGCGTGCAAGTTATATTTTTTTTTATTGTTCATGTGTTTGTTATTATGTCACAAACCAAAGACAGCATAAATTACTTTTTACGCTGTTTCTACATTCCGCACATTGTGGCAATTGAAATATCAAAGAAAGAATTATCTTTTAAAATTGTTTATATTTTTAATAAAACCAGAAATACAATCAACACCGTATTTTATTTAATACTATAATCCTTGAAACATTCATACATCGGAAATACGCACATCAATGTGATCTATGCATATTTATTGCACAAGGGACAAAGATTACTCCGAACAGATTTGTTTATGGCTTTCGGTTGAACTGTCTATGAGATCACACACACTTTAGCAATGGAAATACAATTAAAAATATCAACTAAATTAGGTTTTATATTAGTTTTGAATTATTTGATATACAATTACTTAAATCTAAAAGTGCACTAAGCTTATCTTAAATGAATATAGTTACATTTTAATTCAGTATAACAAGTCTTAAGTCTTATTTATAAGGCGAAGTGCCTTAAGATATAAGCGTAATCGTTGGCCTTAATTCTACGATCAATTCTCTATGCCTACTGCGTCTGGCTTACTAGCAACTACAAACTGTTCATCAGAGCTTATTATTCCCAAAAGACGTTTTGAGAATAAATAACATCAATATCTATAAAGTATTTTATTAATGTAATTTTGTTGATCGTAGTCGATTTACAATCTGCAATTCTGACAATCTAAAGCAATAGAAGAACAAAGTAACAAGAAAAAGTTAACAGTGATGCGTGAGTTTGTTAATAATGTATAAAATTTGGTATTGATCTGTTTTCTTTATTCCTTACCACTACAGGTTGTGGTGTACATGTTGGATTTTTCAAAAGATTCAGCATTCCAGATATCTTAAAGTAGCGAATATTTATTCTTTGTTGCATAAAAGTTGCATTTAAAATATGACAAAGGTTCCAATTCAAATTATAATGAATTTTATTTCTTTCATATGAATTTCAACTTGTTTTTTTTTACATAATACTACTGTGCCGTGAAAAGCAAGCAGTTTTTATCATCATGAGCACTTGGGACAGATAGATTATTAGATGTGCCTAGGGTCACAGATCTCTGTCATATTAAAGTGTTTATGTCTAATTTTATAACATCAACACCTTCAAATTTTATAGGCTTATGTCTTTGGTTAAAAGGACAATCGGCAAAAAATTTATTCCACTTTTGTAATACCAAGAAAAATAAATTTAATTCGACAAAAAATAAATCAGTCTCATGAACAATGTGTTCATTTATCATCATCATGCTATAAATTAAGATAACGTTAATTTTTATTTACATTACAGAATACTAAGAAAATTGAAACTAAATTACTATGGTGTACTTTTCTACTACAATATGAGTTTAGTGTACAACTTTCGATATTCCACATGGATTTTGGCTATTAATTGATTTCAAAATAAGGTTTATCCCATAAGGATTCAGCTAAAATAATTTATAGATCTTTTAACACTTACGTTTACACCTTAATAGTTCGAAAAAAATAATAGTATAATGAGAATACCAGTAGAAGCTTATCTGTAACAAGGTGAAATTTCAAAAGTACAACATTATAAAAGAATAAATAATATGCTTATTAGATTTACAACAATGAAATATACAATTTGAATATGTTATCCAGTTTATAAGTTATTTTTAAAAAAATCTCACCCTGCAATAACTCAAATTAGTTTACTTAAGCTAAAATGATGAACAGATACTTTAAACTCTTATTTTTTGAAACTTAAATGATTAAGGTATTTGCAAATATAAAAGATGATTAAGTGATTGGATTGCAATGCATTCACTTTTATATACAAAAATATATATGACGAAAAACAATATATAAAGATTTTAATGAACATGCAATATCTATTTTGAATCTGTAAGGGACTACAGTACAGTATTGGTTACGTTTTCTAGTTTACTTCGTTAGTAACAATATTTTTTAACAAAAATTGTACAAACTTAAGTTTGGAATGTTTACTCAATAAGAGAAATATTGTTGTTTTGGTCGAACAGATTCATAAGAAACTTTTAGAAAAGAAATGTATTCCTAAAAAATTACTAGGAACAATGTGTATTAGGATTTTACATAACTGTAAATAACAACCATGGGTATTCAATTCAGTCTTGAAAACTGCTATATTGTTGAAAAAAAAGTAAGGCTCCCCTTCCTTTGTAAATTCACAATTTGTCTATTGATAATAATTTGTAGTGGTATGATTTCTAAAACATGTCATAGTGGTTGAATATTTTAATCATCCTGTTTTTGTAACTACCTATATGTATTTGACAATTTATAAGTCAAAAAGTTAAAATCATAGCGTCAATCAAGTAAAATCAAATATGATTTTAGAAATCCTCTCCAGTTGCTGCTTTTCAATCATATTAATGAATTAGTCACATGCAACATGCACAGCTGTTAGCCCGAATTCAGTGTATTAAAAGCTGCTAGTTATTATACAATCAGTCCTAATCAGTATGTTAGAAACACACCTCGTTAGCATAGTAACGCAGGAGGAGAGAAGTAAATAGCTAAATTGTTATATGAACATGTTCTTCAAAAATCATAACTTCCAAACTATAAACAAAGTAGATCTACAGAAGTAACAGAGCCTTACTTTTAGCAACATTTAAACAATTTCATTGAGTGCATAATCAATAAAATTATGCAATGAGACAAACGCGGATCAAGCCAAAGCAATATCCAATTTTCCTTATAACCCGCAACGGTGTTGACTAGTTTCGGTATTTATATAGTAACGCAAAAATCTAAACCAACTTCGACCAAAATTAGGGAAATATCGCTTAGAAAGTCTCGGCCCGGAAAAACATTCGAGAGCAATAAATTCGAGTCAGTTTTCCTGATTAGCACAAAAACAGCTAAACAATTTAAAGTACTAAAAATTTCACAAATTTAAATACTTTAATTGATAATACGGGCGGACTTTTCATACTAGAAAAATAAATTTTATCCACGGATTGTAGTATCAGCCTTTAATTTATCAATTTCATTGCATTGTCTTAACTGAATCTATGCCGGAAAAAAGAGAAACCTAGGCGAGTCCATTTCCTTGATCTCAAATGTAAATCTGAACACTATCACGGGATATTATTCAAGTTTTCGAGTGAGGCAACAAGGGGTATGAGAGTATGTACTTAATGAAAGGTATAGTGCGAGAAACTTAATGGCGGCTGTGAAGTAAGCGCAATTGGTGCATAGAGGTATAAGAATAGCGTGGGGAAGGCGGCTCTTAAAGTGTCCGTCTAGTAGAAAAAGAAAGAAGATAAGAGACCGCTAGCTATCTCTCTTGTGACGCATGGCATCCAATGGCATCACATCAAAATAGTAAGATGCTTACGGTTGCCAATGCGCATGAGCGATTAGAGAGAAAAGCTAGTGGTCTCTCATCTTCTTTCTCTTTCTATTGGAGGGACACTTCCACTTGTAGTAGTCTATATCTCCCCTACGCTATTCTTATACTTCTATGAATAGGCAGCGCAGTATATGAAATATACATGAGCGTATTGACATAAACAATGGACTGAGCAACACTCGCATAAAATTGGCAAATCTTTAAGGGCTGAAACTGCGGTAAGCAGACGTCCGCGCAGATGGTTTCAAACAAAAATTGGCCCCAGACGGAGAAATTTTGTACGATACTGCGTGTACGTCCGCTTAACGCAGTTACAGCCCTAAAAAGATAATAAACAGCTATAACCTATACAAATTATGGACTGCCCGAATGCTTCGTCTCTCACACTTACTTGTGTTTTATTTTAAAGCGACCAGAGAACATTCAAACCATTCAAATGTTTGTATGAATACGATCATTTGTATCCAAGGCCTATGGCTGTTTATAATAATTATATTTCTATCAAAATAGTACTTTTTCATCTTTGTTGCATTATATAATATGTATTTCTATCCACTAGAATCCCATAACACAAGCTTTATAGTGATCACTTTGGTGCTATGTTAATTCATGTGTTAAGATTCTTTTATTTATTTATTCCGTATGTCTGTTGATGCTCGCAAGGTTTCGGTGAAACATGCGCATTGTTGCACTCATTGCTAACTCGAAAACATCCCTAAATTTTGAATCGGACTTTTAAATTTTGGCGCTCAGTTCATTCTCTATTTCGCAAGGATTCACTTATAGTCCAAGGCCCGTATTACAGAATGATAACTAAGTGTTGATCTTTACTTGAGTACAGTTAGAAAGGGATTTCGCTATATATAGCGACATCCCTTTCTAACTATGCTCAAGACTAGATCAATCACTGAGAATATTTCTATAATACAGGCCTAAGAGCCGGTGGGAGATCGACCTTCACCGATCTGATAACTCGATGAGACATATTTCATATCAAATTCTAAGGCCCGTATTACAGATTGATAACTAAGTGTTGATCTTTACTTGAGTACAGTTAGAAAGGGATGTCGCTATGTGCTATATATAGCGACATCCCTTTCTAACTATGCTCAAGACTAGATCAATCACTGAGTATCTTTCTATAATATGGGCCTAAAACTTTATAGCTTGGCAATAATAATTTGTGAACGATTTTTTGCAGGCAAGCCTATATGATTGGTTTTGTAATTAAAATATCTCACTATTGATATAAATTTCGATTGGTTAACAGATCGGTGTAGTTACCTATATTGATTAACCTGTTCACATCCGCTTGCTACGTAACCATGTACAGAAATAAGTAGGCGAGCCTACCTTGGCATGTTCTGTGTGTTAAAAAGTATCAGTTGAGATACTACGAGAACTATCATTCGGTTATCATAAGAGTGAAGGTGATGAAAGAAAATTGATAAAAATTAATTAAATTAAAAATAGCTATGAACACTTTTCGATAGGTAAGTAATCAGAGGCATATTTTTTTATAAATTTTAATTGATAAAAAATATGTCTCATCGAGTTATCAGATCGATGAAGGTCGATCTTATACGGTCTACCCTACTATTATTAAAACCTCATTGCTGACTTCACAACTTCCAAAAAGTTCGTATCGCACTCTATATTGGCTACTCTTGCGCTTCGTATACTGTGTGGGTGTGCCTGGTGGAAGGTGTCTTCGTGGGTGTGGTTTTAGGGCTCTTGTGTCCGGACTGCGGCGGCGTCGGGGGGAAAACGTGCGAAGTACTAGCGGTCTCACTCTGCGACTCTTCTTGTAGTAACTGGTACACTTTGTCCTGTGTGCGAAAAACGTAACTTTTAAGTACTTTTGTCGAGTCTACATTGAGACGGTTGATAATTTTCAAGAGCTGATGGGGAGGCCTGTTATTGTTAGTTTAAGTCTTTCTGCGATCCCTTTTCAGTATATACACTATACACTGCAAAGAAATTAGATGTCATATTGACATTTTCGCCAGTTGAATGGGGATCGCGGAAATAATGAGATAGGCGATCAGAATTCTCGTAGGTAAGACTTTAACTGGTTTCGATTTGAATTTAACATTTAAAATTTGAAACACATCAATCGATAGAACTTTTATAAATGAAGTTATCAAAACATTTTATTAATGATATCGGTGTAGTTAAGAGATGACTCCACTACAAACCGTTGGCCTACATATTATGTCAGTAACATAATGTCGACTTAGTGTAATAGGGACTTGGTCGTCCATGTTGAGCGCGGGGCATATGTCCTGCACGAGCTGGCCGTATGACTACACTGTACTCACAAACATGTCGAGCGACACGTTGTGCGACTGGATGCGGTGGCTCTCGTCCATGTTGAGCGCGGGGCATATGTCCTGCACGAGCTGGCCGTATGACTACACTGTACTCACAAACATGTCGAGCGACACGTTGTGCGACTGGATGCGGTGGCTCTCGTCCATGTTGAGAGCGAGGCATATGTCCTGTACGAGCTGGCCGTATGACTACACTGTACTCACAAACATGTCGAGCGACACGTTGTGCGACTGGATGCGGTGGCTCTCGTCCATGTTGAGAGCGAGGCATATGTCCTGTACGAGCTGGCCGTATGACTACACTGTACTCACAAACATGTCGAGCGACACGTTGTGCGACTGGATGCGGTGGCTCTCGTCCATGTTGAGAGCGAGGCATATGTCCTGCACGAGCTGGCCGTATGACTACACTGTACTCACAAACATGTCGAGCGACACGTTGTGCGACTGTATGCGGTGGCTCTCGTCCATGTTGAGAGCGAGGCATATGTCCTGCACGAGCTGGCCGTATGACTACACTGTACTCACAAACATGTCGAGCGACACGTTGTGCGACTGTATGCGGTGGCTCTCGTCCATGTTGAGAGCGAGGCATATGTCCTGCACGAGCTGGCCGTATGACTACACTGTACTCACAAACATGTCGAGCGACACGTTGTGCAACTGTATGCGGTGGCTCTCGTCCATGTTGAGAGCGAGGCATATGTCCTGCACGAGCTGGCCGTATGACTACACTGTACTCACAAACATGTCGAGCGACACGTTGTGCGACTGTATGCGGTGGCTCTCGTCCATGTTGAGCGCGGGGCATGTCCTGCACGAGCTGGCCGTATGACTACACTGTACTCACAAACATGTCGAGCGACACGTTGTGCGACTGTATGCGGTGGCTCTCGTCCATGTTGAGAGCGAGGCATATGTCCTGCACGAACTGGCCGTATGACTACACTGTACTCACAAACATGTCGAGCGACACGTTGTGCGACTGGATGCGGTGGCTCTCGTCCATGTTGAGCGCGGGGCATGTCCTGCACGAGCTGGCCGTATGACTACACTGTACTCACAAACATGTCGAGCGACACGTTGTGCGACTGGATGCGGTGGCTCTCGTCCATGTTGAGCGCGGGGCATATGTCCTGCACGAGCTGGCCGTATGACTACACTGTACTCACAAACATGTCGAGCGACACGTTGTGCGACTGGATGCGGTGGCTCTCGTCCATGTTGAGCGCGGGGCATATGTCCTGCACGAGCTGGCCGTATGACTACACTGTACTCACAAACATGTCGAGCGACACGTTGTGCGACTGGATGCGGTGGCTCTCGTCCATGTTGAGCGCGGGGCATATGTCCTGCACGAGCTGGCCGTATGACTACACTGTACTCACAAACATGTCGAGCAACACGTTGTGCGACTGGATGCGGTGGCTCTCGTCCATGTTGAGCGCGGGGCATGTCCTGCACGAGCTGGCCGTATGACTACACTGTACTCACAAACATGTCGAGCGACACGTTGTGCGACTGGATGCGGTGGCTCTCGTCCATGTTGAGCGCGGGGCATATGTCCTGCAGTCCGGCGGAGTGTTGCACAAACTCCCCGTCTCCACCGCGCACGATGCTGACGGCTCCCTCGGCCCGCACCACGCGCACGAATGGCTCCAGCCAAGCATAGCAATCGCTCACGCTCGACCAGTTGTATCCTGCGCGACAAACGATACAATATATCATCAAAAAAACAATAAACAAGAAAGAACTGATGAAAAATCCTGCTACAAAAAGCGGGAAAAGGAAAAAAAAAACATACATTTTAACCATAAGCATTATGTTATCAACCTATCAATGCTTCAAGTGCTGATGTAGCATAGGTCATCCCTTTGATAGTATCAACATCACAGCTGATGCACAGGCCTTCCCTTATCGATATAGGTAGATAGAGGACCCATGACCCACCATGCGGATTGGCGAGTGGTAGCGATTGAAGAACGGAGGCTTCAGAAGGCACATTAAGCAGTTGGGCTCGACATTTTATGTTTTGGTTCCAATGACCAACCATTACGAAAACTGCGTAACTTCCACAATCGCAGATCGAACGCGCTATACACCTGCGCCATCGAGGTCCTCTGTCATTATACATCATCATAAAGACAACAAAAAGCAAGAAAGAACCGACAAAATTTCTGCTACAAAACGGGAAAATATGATAAAATCACATACACTTTTACCATAACCATTATAATCAATCTATTAATGCCTCAAGTACTGATGCAGCATAGGCCATTCCAATGAATGAAATAGGCAGAGCGAAATTGTCATGCTGACGCAATGAGCATTGGTAGTTTTGTTGACGACTTCAAATACAGTTGGGACAAATAAATGAATGCACTTTCCGAAGCACGAAGAACGCGCCATTTAACTTTGCCATGCTTAACAGTGAAAAATAAAAAAGCCTACTTCTAATATTATTATAGCAAATGTATCTTTGTTTCTAGTGCTTATTTTTATATAATAAACATATACATAAATAAATAAATATACATTTTTATTCATGAAATGACTGCAATACTTACATTCATTAATGATTAGGTTCTCACTATCAAAACAGGTAAAGGACATGGCTAAGAAACTGCCCTTAACGTGTATAAATATTTCGCAGTAGCCCGTAACTTTACAATATTTTTTATTATTTATTATGTGTTTATTATTTACATAGAACTTTCGTGACATAATCAAATATTAAAAAGTATAAAAATTGACTTCATGTCTGTTTCAAAAGCAAAATGTTCCGTTTTACAGAATAAATGTACACAAAAAAATATTTGTGTAAGTATATCGAAATTAACAATATTATTTCTAAACTCCTTTAAACTATGACATATTTGGCCCTAATTTTTATTATAACAAGTCACTGAAGGGCTTAAATAATAGCATTGACTATTCTGATCAGGCTTGAGACAAGGCTGTATGATAATTACTCCTTTAATATTTGCAAATGGACACAATAAAACTTCACAGTTTTCCTGTCAGGCCGACGATAACAAATTATTTGTACTTATTTTTGCTTTAAAAACTTTTTGTGAAGAGGTAATCAGAGAAATGGGAAGAAAGATTCTAAGAAAATATTAAATTGATGACTCTGTAAATAATTGGCAACATCTTTTATCAACTGTAAGTAAGGTAATGACATAGTAGGAGTTTTCATAATTTTCAAGATTGTGACTTTATCAAAAGTTCCTGAGCCTTTTTTCATATAAATTATAAATATTTAGCCATTTACTAAGTACAGTATTTATACATTGCCAGGGCAGTCGCTCATACAAAACTTTACCATGTCCTTTAGATATTTTTAACACTAGTAAAGCGTCGATTAGACGTATCATTGCTCGTTTGGTTTTTGGAGATTATAATTAACAGGTGCGTAATTTTGTTATTCTGTTATTTATCATACAGACCTCATTTATAAAACTATATTTAAGAGTATTTTTACATTGGACAGTGCAAAATAGTTTCTTTTTAACTTTAAGTTATGTCTAGATGTGAGGACCTGTAATTGGCATTTCTAGTTCATTAGGATAAGCTGTTGGTCATCCATGTAACCAAAATAAATAAATAGCGGATTTTGACGAGTTCGATGGCGACGCAGTGCTTAATCGGTTTGGTCTACGATAGGGCAGGTTAAGCACTTTCGGTCACAGGGTGGATGACCAAAAATATTTAAGCTAGTGCTTCTCAGCGCTTAGCACATTTAAGCTACTGGCCTCGGTTGCATCTCAAGTCATTGGCACAAATCAACACAAGGCCCGCGTGGTGGTTCGTGGCTAATTTTCTCTACTCCAACCATAGAGAAAGCCTTTGCCCAAGCAGTGAGGACATTAATGCTGATGATGGTATGGAGATGTGATGTCACGCCAGTGTTATGATATTGATTTAACTAATTAATGAACGCCACACTACCAATCTGTAAAGGCAAATTGCATAACAATGTGACATTTTACCATCGTCACTGTCGATCAGTGTCAGAATAATGAAATTACAAATGTACTAGTAAAAAAACTAAACAACAGAATAACTACCTGATACCCTGACAGCCAGATCCTTGGTGAAGGAATGCGCAATCGCTGCAGCGGCGACCACACTGTAGGAAAATGTGTTTACATCCACGTGTAGAACTGCCAGGTCGATCAGCTGGCCGCACACTACGAACTCCAGCGAGGAATACTGCGGGAACACGAACGTGTACCCTCTGAGTTCGTTCGCGCCAATATCGCTCTCTCCGACGAGCCTGCGCTTAGCACTGCGCCCCTCACTAGCCAGCTGCATGTAAATATTCAACCAGCTGTTGATCGTGATAGGCGTCAAGTTCCACGACAATATCTTCAAGATTAACAACTCCTGCTCCAGTATTTCCTCCGTGGTGCAAGCTCCGTCCGTCACGTAAGCGAACTCCCCGATCTTCGGAGGGTAAACTTCTTCCACTTTCGCAGCAATGAATAAACATGTTATACCTATGAAGAAACGAAAGTTTTTTTTCTTTAAATGAGAAAGCTTTTGTTATCTTAAGAATCGGGAGTATGTAGGAGCTGCCTGTTTTAATAACCGATATTGTTGCGCGGCAAACGGCCTTATCGATTGAATGGGCAGTCAATGCGGTAAGCCTGATAAAATTTTGCTATTTAATACACTACAAATGATAAGTCGGCGTATGTAGAGTGGAACAGTAGATACTCTTGATTTCTTCACTATTTTATTATTACTGTATTTTGTCCCCGATTGACTATTACTATCTGATAGAAATAATTACGTATTACTTGGTTTATTAAAATAATTTATCTTTCTGGCTCTTGAGTAAACGTTAAACAAATATTGCATTTTAATTAAGAGATAACATGAATTTAATTCACTATACGTAGGTACTTTACAACAACGGATATTTAGAGTGGCATTATGTTAAAGTTGGGTAGGAAATGTGGTTGACCGCAATTTAAAATGATTATGGTCAGCAGCAGCAGGTTAAATAATAGGATGGAAACAGCAGAGGACTAAATAAATCTAATAAAACTCGACTAGAGTATTGACGGCTTTTCGCACTTAGTAAATACCGACGCATGGCAAACTGCAAGGGCGTTTAAAATGTACATTGTACAGACATAAACAAGCCTTAATAAATGATATTCGAATTAGTAGTTTTCGATTGTTCGATTCGAAAAGTTCTCGCGCTTCAGGTGGTTTAGCCATATTAATAAGACTGCGTGGATATGAGAAATAGGATGAATACAGAATTGCACTTACCAATAAGCTGTAACCGACTTTTCTGTAAGTCTTCTGTGTTTGTAAGAAATCGGTCTATGTAATCTACTGTCAAGTGAAACGTTTCTCTATGCAGTTTGTACACCTCGCACACCTGTGAACAAGTCAATGTAATTAAATTATCTGTAGTATAAACAATCAATGTAAGTACAAATTAATCGTCAGCTTTCGAAAAGATTAAGTCTAGTCATATATGATAAAGTCAGATCTTTATAGAAGAAGAATTTTACTGGTCGATTTATAAACGCAGAATCGAAACAGATAGATCTAGAAGCGAAATTGATGGATGGCAATCTACGGCCATACAAACAAATGATTTACAGAACAAAGCCAAGTCGCAGATATAATTAACCATAGGGCAACGTCGCCGACGCGGCTAGGAGAGGAGTAGTCATACACAGCTTTCCCCTCTGTCGAGTTGGGCATACAAACGATACATGTGTACAGGATTTGGCGATGTATTGTGTCGTTGTTTATGTGCGAGTGTCGCAGTTACAGTTTTGTTTTATATGAGTGTACTTTAAACTGTGTTTGTTGCATTGCATATCCCTCCGACCCGCGCAAAAAATGGAAGAATAATTTGAATAGTATCATGTAGCTATAGCTCAAGGCTGCTCAACCTTTTCAAGAGTCGGGCTAAAAGGTGGGTTTAGTCGTTAACGACGGGCCCCTTACATATCCTATTTCAGTTACTCTCAGAACAAGCGCAATAAAAACTCAATTATTATGAATATAAAATTGAATTATTGCTTATTAGGAATAGAGTTACAGATTACAGAGTATCTTATTCTAAATATTATCATTATTAAATAAAGAAACAAGAATTAAGTAAATACCTTCTCTTTGCCTTCTCAAATCTAAATCAACTTTTTGATTAAAAGTCAAAGTCTAATTATTTATGAAGTTTCGGTAGCGACATACTCTTATGAATGTCAAATTATGCCAACCGTTCACTAACTACCAGGAGGCCTATTTCTAAGAACGGGCAAGAAACTCAGCAAGTTGTTTCCTCCCTTTACAAAAAATATTTGTTTGCAAAAAGATTTTTTAACATATCACGATTTTGCAGTTCCACTAGATCTAACTGAATATTGACAGGATAAGTAACTATTACAGCCAAACTTATCAATAACAATAACTTATCAAGAAGTAAACAATCTTTACCCTGTAATTTGAGATTAAAAATATTGAGGTAATTCGTAATGTCAACAAGAAATGCAAGATCACTCAACCAGGATGTATTCTTCAGTAAATCAACTTCCAATGGTAAAGCCCCTTTCTGCTCTAAAAATTGCAACACCTGTTCTTGCAAGTTGAAGAAATGTTTCAACATGCTGCCCTTGAAAGCCATCGCACAGCAAACCATACTTGCGCGGGCCTCTTAAATTTCTTTCGCGGGCCACACTGTGGCCTGTGGGCCTGGTGTTGAACAGCCTTGCTTTAGCTTATTCCCTTCCATGTTCTTCTTCCATTTTAAATGTAAACGGGATTAGATATGTTGCCAAATCGGTAACTCGAACTGAAAACGTTTCCTCAGATTGAAAAACCACTTGGGGCAAAATGCTCCTTCAGCAGATCAAAAACCCACAGGAAATATACTTAACTGTGGAAAGAAAAGAAGACCGCCAACTCCAATAGGACGCAAAATCTCGACGACAAGGAGGTTGAAAAGGGTTAAAGAAAGAGATATGAGAAAATGAGTTTATCTGCGTGTTACGATATTGGTTATATCTGATATTGTCAAATAGTCAAATTGACAAATAAGAAATTAGACAAATTAATAATTTGCTTATTTGTTTCTTAGGTTAGGTTAGGCAATAAAATCATTATTCTGACGATGCAGACCTGAAAAGGCTGCGAAATGTCAATAAATAAATAAAGTTTCGTGCATTAACCCGTAAAAACTAGTTTTATTTAATAATTTGCTGTAACACCCAAACGAACATATAGTTCGCCTAATAGTAAATAGCCGTCACAGTTTGCCTAGACGTTTACGTGCCTAATTATGATTGGTAGGTATGCCGGTTAGCAACAGTAACAAATATGTACACTTGTAGCAACAAGTCCTCATTACTGACTTTATCAGTGGAAACAGATTGCGAAGGCCCCCAAAAATAAGGTATCTAAAATAACCGACCTCCTGAAAAAACCAATGCACATCTGAAAGATCATCAATTTCTGTGTAAAAAAACAGCGGCTGCATCTTCCAAACACTGCAGAAATTGGTGTGGTTGCTGCAACGATCAAAGGACCCTCTGCGCAGCTGGATTTGGCGGTTCAATCCAGTTTTGTCACCGATCACCCGGTTCCTTTTGATTTGTACTGATTGAACACGCAGGCCCGGATGGAGTAGCTTTTCTACTTCTAGCCAAGAATAGATATTTAATAGAAAGGTATTTTATGACATAAAAGTTGAGGTATACATTTTGCATCATCAAATCATTTTAGTTCTTATGTTTTTTCTTATGAAATTTGTGTACTAGAGTACACCAATTTCAATACTCCGTACGTGTGCGTGGCTTTAAATTGTATATGCTTTTGATAGAGTAGTGTAGTCCTACCCCCCTAATCCTAAATCGAGCAACAAACGTAACTAGGAGTCTTATACTAAGTTTAGTGTCGGTCTTGGGCTCTTAGACTATTAAGTCTTTTTACAGTACTTTTAAATTGAAGATTTTTGATTCGTATTTCTCATTATGGATTTCCAATGTGGTTGAAGATCATCCCTTAGAAAATGAGTTACTCGTCCAAATGATCGCATGGTCGTGCAAGTTAAACAATGGGTAGAAGTTGCGTTAAAGGTTGGGAGACTCATTTTTCTGTCTTCTTCTTCTCAAAAAAGTTGATTAAGCAAGTATAAAGCTATTCTAAATACATTTCTTTTTCCAGTACAGGATAAATTATATATACTCTTCAATAGCAACTTTAAATTTTTTGTTTAAGTAGGTATTTAAGTTTTCATTATAGGTTAAAGCTTAATATTTGGTTTCATGTTATTTTTGTTTTTTTTTCAGGATTCCTTACCAAAAGCAACCCTATCACATGGAACAATAGAGCTCTATCACTTGAACAGAAATGGGTAGACACCTGAAATTTTCACAACATGCCTGATATACTTTGGCCGATCATAACAAATAATGAAAATAAATTATTAACGTAATGCGAGTTTAACATGTTGTTTTTTCGACTTATTCTTTCGTATGCAAGGAGCACTATCACAAACTCGTGGTTTTTTCTGTTCCGAACCAGTATAAAAAGGCGAACGCCAATCTAGTCACCAACTTCTTTATCACGTATGGTATTTTGAGTAACCTACCTTTATTAGATAGTAGAGTATACGCAGATATTATACATACATACATTCAGCTACGAAGTCATTCAATATCTTTCATCTTAATAATTTCTAAGGAAAAACATGCACCGATAATAGCTAAGTAGAAAGGTTTGTAAACAGCGATATTAAAATAATGATAGCTAAATACTGTTGACATCTGTCTTCGGAGGGCTCTGGAATATTTCGGCCTCATAACAAGAAAAGATGACAAGAATCTCGAGAAATTGATGATCACTGGGAATATTGAAGGAAAGCGAACAAGAGGAAATACAGACCACAAAATACAGTCTCTTTCTTGTGCACACACAGTGCATCACATCCGGCGACACAGAAACATTTGGCATCGCATCTCCTACGAAAAACTGTTCCCTACAAATGACCACGACCCCGAGGAATGAGGAGAGACTCAAGGGAAGCTAAATACTATAAGTCATCGTTTAAATAAGTAGCATGGCAATGGGATGAGAAAATGCGTGTTTAATTTTTTAATCGTGAGAAATTCCGTTACTTTAATAAATGAGCTAGGTCTTTTTTTTAACAAATCAGTCTTAATGTTTATTGTATTTTGGGTCGTGGTAATTTCATTAATTTGAAAGCACATAGTGACCACTTTCGAAATGAAACACGAATTGACTTTTGTTGTCAAATGTACACATTACAAAAGATTAATGATGATAGTAGATAACAAGTTTATTGTTTTCTACAATATACGCCTATACAAAAGGAATAGCTATTGTTATAATAGCACAATCGTGCGAGTAGTTATAGAAATGGTTTCGTATAGTATTTCATTTACCACCTAAGTCATTATATTGCCAGTCCAATGGTTATTCTTATACATAAACTTAGTTTTAGACTTTTACTTCGTCTGCGAAAATCTCGCGTTTTCGGTATTGTTAGACATAAAGAAACAACAGATTACTACCTTTATAATATTACAAGTGAAGCATCCAGCTTTTAAAGTAGGCACTAGATTATTTATAGGAGCAAAGTTTCGATCGATATAATACACGCATAAAAACTTGAAACATAACCCAAGTTCTACAGAAGAGCTATAAAAACTTAAAGTCGGCGTTGGTTAAGTTAGTTACTGCTTAAAGACAATAGAAACAATACAGATAACATATTTCGAACATTGTATATTTTTTTCATGTTGGACTGGGAGAGAATATCAGATACCAACTTGTTCGCGTAGAAAATAAATGTCTAATGGTGTTTGTAAATACTTCTTACACGCTCCCGTCCCTTTCATGCCCAGCTACCTAACTAAAAGTCTAATTATGGCATCGCGTGAATGCATATAACTTTCGCGTTGCATTAAAAGTAGATATTATTATAATAAGGGTGTGTATTCTTAGCGTATACTATAAATTTTATCTAGTCAGGCTCATTTGCACGAAAGTTCTTTACTCGAGTTAAGGCTTAATCGTGTTTAGTACATCATTCCATCATTGTCAATTGTTTTTAGTAAAAAGAAAAGATCGAATTCGGCTTAAACCTGATTAGCTTTTAAACTTCAATTAAGAACTTTCGTGCAAGTGTAGTAGTGTCGTTGCTCAGTGTTTTCTTTTTTTTATCAAATTAATTAAACAAAACACTGCGCAACTAATCCAAGCTTAGGAGTAAAATGGTTTACACGACAGCACTAGGGTCACTAGACCCAGATCATTGGTGATCAGCCGTAACACTCAAGACAGCGTAAAGTCTGCTGTGAGCTGTAACCAGGCCGAAACATTGGGTAAAAAAACGCCAAAGAGCATTTCTTCAACATGACTAGCTTAAGTAACAAGCTACAGACGTAATACGACGGACGGTCTCACATTTAGAGAAGGCAAGCGGCCTTAAAGATGTTCAAAACCACGGGAACGACCTCAAAATGCATAAATGTAGCATTTCGTAGCCGGATTGAAATCCAACTGAATACTTATCAGAATTTATTCAAATCGATAAAGCACTGAGGCCCGTACAGGGGCAGGCAAACGAAACATGGAGGCGTGAATAAAAAATCGTCAGCACTAATGATATCCTAAAAATAACGGTCGCACAGACACTAGACACGGTCACAGGTTTACCTACTAATGACGCGAAAATAGTTACTAACCCGATACTAGACTTGGGTCAAAACGAAAACTGAGAAGGAGGAAAACAGCTGTAGGTTCAATTATTCCATTATGCTGTTCTAGTTGCCATTCGTGTATGCAATAGATAAGTTTTTAACAAGTAAATAACAAAAATAAGTTAAGAATCAAACTCTGTTTATTGCAGTGGATGCTTCGTGATTTTTAACTGCCAGCAATTTAAGAACGGCGCTTTAAAAGCGGCGTAATTCATTAATCAGCTCGTATTTTGGTTATAACATAGGAAGGTAAAACAACTATTATTTGAATGCAAGGCACATCTAAAGAGAAGACAGTAGAATTTGCAGCTAATCAAACGCGTTGGCTCTGGAGAGGTCATTGAACACCACAAAAAAGGGGTCAGTGACCTTCTATTACATCACTTTTAACATGTAAAATCATTGTCAGCAAAAAAATGCTCTATGTCTACTATTTCAGTCAATTATTAAACAAACAATCTTTTAGGTAAAATATACTTACCTCAATCTCTAGGGAGCAGCATGTAAAATAATAGCATACCATTAATTATAAAAATACCTGTATTTTTTTTCTAAGTAATTTTCAAATAAATGATTTCAACCAAAATTATATAGATCGTACATGAAGTGTATTATGGTCATAAACCTTTCATTACGTTATTAATAAATAAGCAGAGCTCCTCTTTCATAATATTCAAACTTACCTCATTCAACCAATCTAGAAGGATTGCTCTCATACGGGGTTGAAGATTAGGGTGTTTCTCAAACATATTAGGGTTCTTCTGTAGCCTTGATTTAGCATCACAAGCGCATAGGCTGTTCCAAACATCTGAGGGGTCAGCCCAGGAGAGTCCAGGGAGAGGGCACTTGCGTTTGGGTGGTAAGGGACATTCTGATTTATTTGTGCTGAAATAAAGATGTTGCTATACGCTACATGTCCATAAGGTAGGTACATAGAGATTTCATACATAAACAAATGAAGATCATTAAATATCCTAATGAAAGCTTTTACTAATGATCATGAGGAAATAAACTAATCTTTCTTATTGTTAAGGACTAGTCATTATGAGTCTATTATGTTATTACACCTTTAAGACCTTATTATGAGACTTCTATAATGCTAATTAACAAATTAATGAGGAATTTCCATTAAAATTAGTGATAAGTAGTCATTAGTGTCAAGTAAACTATGTCCATATTGAGATGTAAGAGTTTGCTATTTATATTTCTTCGTTGTGAATTTGATTGGATTAAAGCACCATGGAATGGTAATGTTGTTTGTTTGGGTATAAGTATAAACAGCTTACCTGGGCCTCTTGTTAGAGTGTGGGGTAGACTCTCCTCTTGCCACATTTTCTAAAGGACTTAGTACACAACTGGACAATTCAGTTATGCTTTGCGGACTTAAGAAACTATCAGGATTATAATCTAAATCAGTGTATACACTTTGAGGTTGTTCAATGTTCTCATAGTGGGAGCCTTCATCATCACTCGAGCAGGATGAGGATTCGACTACCACATTTTGTGCTGGTTGATCATTAAGTTCTTCTTCTAACTTCGAGGATATTTTTAATGGTGGGACATTTTCTACCTACAAATAAGAACAGGGAATGAAGAATGTTTAATAGGATACTTTCTGTATGAATTGGACACTAGAAGGGTACATACCTCATCGTCACAGGAAATTCTTTTCCTTTTTAGGTTCACACGTCTCTCATTGTCTTCACTGGAAGAGTATCAAAAAAATATATAATAATACTATGTAAACAAAGATGATCAAGGTCGTAAATGTGAACATGAGTAGTATCAGCTGGTTACATACCCAGTTTGTTCCATTGTAGGTGGGACAAATTTGCTGGCACCTTATCTCCAGTGCCTAAAAAACATTGTATAGTCAGTAGGCATAATCATTTTCACATTAGAAATTAAAATTATTGCCAATATCGTCCAAAAATTACCGCATGTCATGTTCGATTTGCAAATTAGGGTTATGTTACTTGACAACCGTATTGAAGCAAATTTACGAAAAATATTGTGGAATTATGTGTTCTACTGTAAATAGTGGATATCTGTGAATGTTTTTCTTGGTCATTTGTCCAAATAATCATACAATTAGGGGTGCATCAAAAGGGTGAACATACAGCGTGCCCCCTGCTGCTTGGCGGGAGATTTTTTTCTAGAGCTCGTTTGGTAGTCGAAAATTGATAAATTTCATTCAATATTATTTTTTACAATTAAAAGAGTGAATTACGCAACTAAAACTTTAATCTAAATAAAATATAAAAGTTAGTCAGCTGTCTAAAAAATGCCACGAATCCGTCACAATCGCGCGCGAAATCCTCCGTCAGCGCCATTAGACACGTCGATAGCTTGGGTTTCTCGACCCATCCACTTTTGGATATTGTTAAAAATAGCACTTACATGATATCACATCTACGTAATACTAAAATACTATCACAATAGCACTATAATTTTCGAAATAAAGGCATCGTAAGCGATACAACGGGCGACAGCATAATTGGCTTTGCTTATCGCCCCCCTAAGCTTCATAACCTATTTTTTTTGTGAATTATCAATAAATCACCATGTTATCACAATAGAACAAAAACTTCATTACCTGAAGTCTAAAATTTAATCACATAAACATACCTGGTCATTCAATAAATAGATTCAAATCCAAAAAGCAAAAATTTCATATGCACTAGATATGAGAGGACGAGTTTCTACAAAATTAGCACAAATTTAAATAAGCTTTTTACACTTCTGGTACTACAAACACTTGTAATAAAAGAAAAAATTACACAAAATGTATTTTTTTATATTTCCACATTTCTATTAGCTTTTCACGGCTCGATAGCGCCCGGCTTTCCGCGCGAAAATGTCGCGGTAAAACATCGGCACTCTCCAAGTAGATTAATGCCTAACTTCACTGTTATTTTCTATTGAAACAAATGTCAACTGTCATAATTGTTCGACTTACGCAGAAATTAAGATTTAATGAAAAAAAAATATTTGCATATTTTATATATAGTTTAAGTGTAACACATTTCTTTAATTTAAAATAAATTATTTATTTAATTATAAGAGTATGCGTTTAAACTTTTGTCTTCTATTTTATTTACTACTAATAATGTTATCACAATTTCAAGGAAAAGTTTTCAGTTTCATTAAATCATTTTTATTAAGTTTTATTTTGTTTTCAAAATATATTTAAATCAAAAAACAAGAAGTTATTAATTCTAATTCAACTATTATTTCCAAATTATTATGTGAAATGGAACTTTTCATGTGAAGAAATGCTTAATTGTGATTGGTTGGATAGAGACGTTGCGCCATATTTTGATGACTTGACGCGCAGCTAACTTCAGATTGCTTTACAGCTGTGTGCCAGCTGATATAGAAAAGAGCGAAAAAGTCAATAAATGTGGTGCGCTTGTGCTCAAAGATAACGTTAAGGCAGATTTTAAATTGGATCAATTGCGACAATTTAATTTCTTAAAAAAATTGGAATGGCCGTACAAAATATTGCTGTGAAACTATGTGGAATATTACAAGCACAATCAGAAGAAGGTAAAGCAAATATTCAATTCCATCTGTTTGTTGTTATTGGGTCATTATCAATACTAATATATAGATTAATATTTTGATAAATCGTTTATTTTAGATGTAACAGCACGTGAATGGCGATTAATAGGCCAAGAACAAGATGGGTCACAGATGTTGTCCTGGATTTCAACTAATAAGTATGGCGAGGAAGTGTTAAACCTTGGAATGTATACAAACAAGACCAAGAACTTAGTTACTCTGCACACTTTTAAAGAGAATTTGAATATAATACAAGCATCTGTCAATATCACTCGCAGCCTTTTGGTGTATGTTGTTAAAGAAATTCCAACTGAAGAAAATGATTTCATGGAACCTCTTTATTGCCCATACTTGATTTGTCTTTTGGATCAAAACGACAAAACACCTGTGGAGGTTGAAGAAAAATCAAAGAAGCAGATCATGGTTCAATATGTTCACGGCAAGAGTAACAAATACAGTCCTGGAATCAGGAATGACCGTTTCCTGCTTTTTAAACATCTAGAGTGTATGTAGTCCACTGATTTTAAACAGTTAATAAATAATAATTGATATCAAACAGAGATTTTCTCTGTAGAAACAACTGACAGTGTTAAATCATTAAAAATAAAATTGTTTAATCTTAGGTATAAAGATCTACAGAACACCAATGTTTCTGAATGAATGTGATGATGGCTCAGAGAAGTGGGGCTTTGATGGCATCTACCCAGAACCTGAGACAATAGTAAAAGTTTTCTCATGGGCTCAATGGGATTGTGTTAATCAGGTAAATTGTTAAACCTTTGTTATTTTTATGAATTGAAATATTAATATGTAAGTATTGGTAAAGTTAGCAATGGAGATACTAAATATTACATGTGGGTATGCAATAATGCAATTATGGGAGATCTATGCCCAGCTTTATTGCTATGGAAAATGCTATCGCTTATGATTTCATTTTGTTATTTCTGACCGCCGAAGGTTTTCAAAAGCCTCACGTTCATTTTTTTAATATCGTTAATACCAATGCCAAAGAAAAAAAAGAGTGCGAGGTATTTGAAAATAACAAAATGAAATCATAGGCAATAGCATTTTCCACAGCAATACCATTAGGCTAATGACCCCCAGCAGTGGACGAACATGGGTTGATGATGATGATGATGCAATTATAACTGCAATAACTGATAAATGCATATTCTAACATTCATTATTATATTTTTTACAATTTTGGTATGATTTATAAATTTTTAATGTACCAAAACCTAGTCCAGCCATAAGTTCTGTTACAAATGAAAATGCATTTTTTTAATGAAGTTATGTAATATTATTAAAATGTATACCTACATATTTATTCAAGTCACAGCTAAAAATAAAAAAAATATTCTATTCGAAATGGCCACCTGTGGCTTTTATAGATAAACTTTTTGGCCACAAATCTATGGATTGATGCATTGTTTCCAAGGGAAATTTCACCACTGCTTGCTCCAAAGATTTTTTAAGAGACTCAATGTCGCCTTGTCGTTTAGAGCAGGCCATGTCCTCTAAAACTGACCATAATTTGAAGTCTAAAGGGTCTGGGCTAGATGAGGGTCAGTCTTCAGCTCTTCTTATGTTCGGAACGTTGGTTTCAAGCCAGGCTTGAGTAGTTTGTGCCTTGTGACCAGGTGCAGAAACCAGCTGGAAAGATCACAGTATATTTTTAAAAAGTCTATTGCTGAGTGGTTTCACAACATGATCCAAGACTATCTAAATACACTTTGGCTGAAATTTTCACTCCTTTTTCACAAAGATGTCACATGACGCGACACGCCCCACCAAAGCATTACTGACGCAGAATGATGACCACTTTGTACCTTTCAGACCACTTGAGCAGCTTCTTTAGAACTGTGAGCATACACTTTATCATTTTGCTTATTGTAGTGTTCTTCAATTGTGAAATTTTTTTCATTGATAATGAGGATATTTCTGTGCTTTTCGCCTGCGGATTTTTAATTGTAAAGATTGATTTAGGGCATGCCCTGTATATCGACGATAAGCACCGAGCTTCAGGTCTTGTTTTATAATACGTGACAGAGACCTAGCGCGAATCTTCATTTCTCGTGATAAGATTTTTTGCTTTTTAATGAACGTTTCGACGAATTCTGGCTTTCACAACATTAACAGCCTTTGTAGTTCTAACAGCACGCGCCCGCCCCGATCTTTGCTGGTCTTCGACAGACGAAGTGTTGTTGTATCTGTTGATAGTGCGATATAAACTATTTCGATTTAAACTATTATTTAACTTTAATATAAATAACGAAAAGCCAAAAATATTTAACAATACCCTGTTGAACATTTACGATGTCCACGCGCCCATCAGAAAAGTGAAGCTAAAGCGTGAACCAGCTCTTTGGATGACAGCAGGTGGTCAGATGGCGATGAGACGTAGAAATCGTACTTATCACAGTTATAGAAAGGATCGTTCTGACGAAAAGTGGAAACTCTTCAAAGCTGCTAGAAATCAGTTAATCAGGTGATACGTAACGCCAAATGCCGATATATTCTCAACAATCTTTCTTCCTCATCTTCTGCATATATCTGGAAATTCCTTGGAACACTAGGTATCGGCAAATCGCGACATTTAGACCTATCTAATTCAATAAACTTAAACGATCTCAATTCTCATTTCACCACAACTTTTAAGTTAGATCGTGATTCTACAGCAAGCAATGTTGCTTCCATAAATGGTTTAACGCGTCCTAACGTCGGCCCTTTCCATTTTTCACCAGTCACACTGGCAGAGATTAAAAAGATAATACTTTCCATTAAGTCAAATGCGATGGGGTGTGATGATATTAGTCGTCGCATGATCATTACTATTCTTGATCCTCGTCTTTGTGCTATAACGCATATAATGAATTCTTCTCTTGAAACCGGCACTTTTCCTATGCTATGGCGAAAAGCTTATGTACGGCTTCTTCCCAGTCTCCAATCCAACACAGTGACATGAATTTCGGCCGATTTCTATCCTCCCCTTCATGTCAAAAGTGCTAGAGGCCTGCGTTCACAAACAATTATCTTAATTTGTCCACAAAAATTCATTGATGAACCCCCTCCAAACCGGAATCCCCTGTTCTCTTTGCTGGATTCTCCAAATGCTCCCCCTTATCTCACTTCTCAATTTCAGTATTTATGTACCTCTCATAGTTAAAATCTTCAATCTTCCTCTAATCGTTTACTTATCGTTCCATCACTCTGCTCCGATATTAGTCACTCTTCTTCATAAAAACGATACTTTTGTGGAATGATCACCCACTAGATATCAGAATGTCCCCCAGTAAATATACCTTTAAAACCAAACTGCGAAGCTTTGTATTAGCACAGGCGTTTGATTGAGTAATTTTTCGTCATTATTTTGTATTTATTTTGGAACTTTGTATGTATTTGTGAATTTATTTAAATATATTAACTTATGTATGTGTATGTTCATATATTATTATTTATATTTATTATTTTTATAAATATTTCTTTCAATGTAATTTCCACCTCAGTTGTGCACCCTACCACTAATAATCTCCACAACATCCTATGGTTGACTGGTAGAGAATTCCTACGGCATTAAGTCCGCCGTTGTACATTTGTGCATAAAGAATAAATAAATACATATACGAACATATGGCTGATACCAAGCTTTTGAAGTGTCTGGAATATGACCGACGGCTGTATACCCACTTTGTGCAAGGCGATCACTGCAATTCTATTTGCTTTAACACCCCGTTCCATATTGTAATTTGATAATGAACACGAAAAAATATGTGAAAAATGTAAAGAAGTTTTTAAAATAATATACATGTACCAAATTCAAATCAATTAAAAAGCTGAAAAAAAGAAAAGCGAAAATCGTAATTCTGACGGCCCATCCTAAAAAGGATGCGAAACGTCGATAAATAAATAAATCAGTGCATCTATACCGTTGAAACTTGTTGTACCAAAATGTGTTTTTATTTATAGATATTGTATTATATCCATCATCGTGCACCAACACAGAGTTTTGCTGAAGGTGAAGAAGTGAAGTCACCCACAGAAATGACACCAACACTGTCAGCATTACAATTCCATGCTGACTTACCACATGAGACTGTTGTATGTACTAATATTATGAATATTTATTTCTCTTTATCATTTTTAGCCTATTAATGTGAAACTATGGGTATTGATGACCTGATTCACAGACCCAGTGCGTGGGTGCTAATGATCCAGTCGGACCAGCGGCTTAACATGCCTTCCTAAGCACGCTGTTAAGCCGTTGGTCTTCCCTTTGTGTGGCATTGCCGTGCGAGGATGTCACCCGAGGAGGTAGTGTTGCTCTGAGCTGTTTACGTAGTAATTCATGAGAGTACGAGTATGAGCATTGAAACTTGGTAATTGGACCACACTACTTCTATGTTTAATTAAATCTGTATTTTTTTGTTTATACACAAAATTTTTCGAATTGCTCTCCATTCAGAGTGGAGAACACGTACCTGAAACATGTACCAGAGTGAGCGCAACCCGTAATGCAACTAATCAGCACGCTTTGCGGCGCACGCAGGTCACTCTCGCATGTTAAATGTTATTTGATCACGAGCAAATAGCTTGCGCAAGTAGTCCGTGTCTTTACTTGCTCCAGTCACTTACACTATGTACAAGAACCAGCGAGTAACTGTAGCTGGTGCACACTACTCACGCGAGTAACGCGCATCTTTACTTGTTCCAGCTACTTGCATCGCGTAGAAGCACCCTAATCAAATGTTGCCTAAGGATTACGCAGAAAAAAAAATGTTTCACATTTTCATGACAATTATGAAGCTGTTAAATAAAGCTCAGCTTATGCTTTGTGTGCTAGACGCAGAACAGAACACATATAAACATGCGTAAAGCAACATTATCCTACTGCGGAATTCGATCTCTGGGGCTACTGAATTCTCAGTTAGGATCGTCGCTTCATTAACCAGCACACCTTCAATACCCAACATTGAAAATAATACTACCAATATTTTTTTGTCGCGTATAGCTAAATATTCCGCTGAGCTTGCCTCACGTGCCGAGCACCAGCGATGGTGCCGCTTGCGGTGCATACGAAGACGACCCGGTGCCACTGCGCGTGCACGACTGCAGCATCGACCTGCAGATCCTGTGCGACCAGCGCGGCGTGCTCTGCATCTGCCACCACTACCTCTATAAGGTGCCACCGGGTAACTAACAGGGGCCGGGTACGAGGACAATCCGGTGCCGCTGCGCGTGTTTAACTGCAGCGTCGACCTGCTGATCCTGTGCGACCAGCGCGGTGTGCTCTGCATATGCCATCGCTTCCTCTATTAGGTGCCATCGGGTAACTAACCTAACGGGGCCGCGTATGAGGACGATCCGGTGCTGCTGCGCGTGGACGACTGCAGCATCGACCTGCAGATCCTGTGGGACCAGCGCTGCGTGCTCTGCATCTGTCACTAATACTTGTATAAGGTGCCGCCGGGTAACTAACGTGGCCGCGTAAGAGAACGACACGGTGCCGCTGCGCGTGCTTGATTGCAGCAGCGACCTGCAGATCTGCCACCACTACTTCTATAAGGTGCCGCCGGGTAACTAATGTGGCTGTACACGAGGACAACCCGGTGCCGCTGCGCGTGCAAGACTGCAGCATTGACCTGCTGTAAGACCACCGCGGCGTGCTCTGCACCTGCCACCACTACCTCTATAAGGTGCCACCGGGTACCTAACAGAGGCCGCGCACGAGGACGCGGTGCCTTCGACAATTTAGAAGAAAATTCGACCTTTTTGTTTCTTTGTTTTGTGTTAAAAATGTAATTTTTTGGAGTGAAACCATCTTTAATCGCGTTTGGCATTTTTGAGACGGAGAAAAAACCCTACGACTTGTTTTTTTAGTTTTACTTAGTTCATTTAAGTGAAAAGGTTTTGTACCGCCGCCTGCAGTTTTTTATTTATTTATTTTCTAAGAAAACCTTCGATAGAGGTTTCGACCATTATAACATTCGATAGAGTTTTTGTATTGACTATAAAAAATTGACAGCCGCTAGACGATTCCATGACGTCACTAGTGTTGGAAGACAGCGCCGATCTGAAGGATTCCGGCGTGAACTTCGCGTATTCTATCACTCTGCTGCAGCACGGCTGCGTGGTCCACAGCGTGGTGCCTGACTTGCCGTGGGCTCGCGCCAAGTCTCTCCGGCCTTCCTACACATTGTATGGAGGTGAGTTCTTACTTCCGTTGATCTGTTTCCGTTGATAGATTGTGTTGTAATTCATATGCGACACTGATGGTTCTGTGGGAGCATTTTAGAGGGTTGTCGTGGACGGTCGGTTTATGGTATTTGCCCGTTTCGGTTTTTGTCGTGCGGCGGTGATGTATATAATTTGTTTACAGATATCCATCACTTTTATGCCGCTTGAATATAATAATTTTTTTATCAATTTATGGTACATACTTTAGGTCTATTTGTAAACACACATTGTGAAATTGTTTGTATAAGACTGTTTGTTACCTGAATTAAATAAATAACTCTACTATTCCAGTACATTACTGGTTTTGAAAGACAGTGCAGATCTGCAGAACTCCGGTGTGAATTTCGCGTATTCCTTCAGGCTGCTAAAGTACGATTGCATTGTGAAACATTTGGGTTTGAAATATCATAATTCACATTGTGTTAATATCAATGTATGTAGTTACGTGATAAAGGGGTACAAATAGCAATGAAGCGTGCCTATATATGCCACCATCATGAGACAATAAATCTCCATCGCACGGCCATACTCAGAGACGCCAATAAATAAATTTAATGTTATTTAGAGTCACATATTGTCTTACTCTATTGGTATAGCAAAGAAAGTGACAGCAATAATTTTAATAAAGTTAATAGACCTCTTTAAGTACGGCCGTCACTATAGGAATAACATTTTGTGCTCCCGATTTTATTTCTTTTTTATTAAATTGACATAAAAATACTCTTTCTCAGACAATCATCTATTAGTGAAAATACCAATGCTGTTCACGCATCTGATCGACATAAGCTTATATCATGAGCCGTGTTGTCACGTCGTCATACCCCTAGAGGATAGCGAAGACGGGCCTAGCTTGGCCCCCTTAGTCGGATGGGGGCCCCATGTCATGGTGGATTTGAAGACCCTAGATGTTATCACAATGACGGTACAAGAGAAGGACTTAGCCAACACCTTCAAGAGTGGCACTATTCTGGAGAATAAACTGGCGATCATGCACTACTTGGTCCTGCATGAAGGCAACATGGACTTAGCTGAGGAGGTGAGTTCTCTATTAGAATACTAACGAGCGCCCGTAACTTCGCTCGCGTTAACTTTATTTTTTTAAAATCTCTCAGGAACCTAACAGTTTTTAGGGATAAAAAGTATCCTATGTCACAATCCAGGTCAAAAACTATATGTGTACCAACTTTAATCAAAATCCGTTCAGTGGTATTGGATTTGATTTAAAGTTTAAGAAAAAAAGTGTGTTACACTTTTGTGTTTGTTTGTTTGTCAACAAACAATCAAACACAAACTCACTTTCACATTTTAATATAAGTTAGGATGTATGCGGTGTGTGCTATATTAATATCCCATATACACTTCTGGACACATCTATTGGCTCACCTTAGAGTTTAGGTATCGATGGCCCCTACCGAAATATGATTGCTAGATTGAACAAAAACTGTTGATGCAGTTTTAAACCTGATACATTTTACCATCTTTTTCGATCGTATTGTTTTAAATTTGAATTCAGAATACTATACGACATGGAGGAACGCCTAACAAGTCCGATATGCGCCTTGTTAAAGGCAATGATTTTTGAATAAAAAACATGTTTTATCAAATAAAGGTTTAATTTAATAACGCGCGTTGCCTCCATGGGCATCTACCACAGCTCTCATACGATTAGACATAGAGTTTATCAACCGCTCTATGAAATTTTGAGGGATCATCTCCCATTCCTCTTCTATGGCAGTTTTCAACTCCTGCATCGTCTGGGCAACTGGCTGACGAGCCCTGACACGTCTTTTTAGCTCGTCCCACATGTGCTCAATGGGGTTCATGTCTGGGATTCTGGCTGGCCAGTCCGTTACTGTGATGTTCACATCCCGAAGATATTCCCTGACGATGCCGGCCGCATGGGCTCTTGCATTATCATGCATAAAAAGGAAATTTGGGCCCACATAGTCCGCGTATGGTATCACGTGAGGTTCTAAGCACTCACGAATGTACCTTTCAGCATTTAATGTTGGCAGCCGTGGTCCTGTAACAACCTCAAGTTGAGTTTTGCCGCTCGCGGACATACCGCCCCAGACAGTCCATGACCCACCGCCATAAGCAACCCTCTCTTCAAAGCAGCATTGTGCGAAACGCTCTCCCTTACGTCGGTAGACCTTCTTCCTTCCATCTTTGCCATGTAACACAATTTTAGACTCATCAGAAAAGAGTACACGGCTCCAATCTTGCTGTGTCCAATTTAAATGACTGCGTGCGAAATGAAGGCGCTCTGTTCGGTGGGCTCGCGTTAGTTTGGGCCAATTAGCTGGCTTGTGTGGTACCATATCGCGTTCTTTTAACCTTCTCCGAACAGTTCGAGCGCTCACAGATACTCCAGGAAGTCGCGAATTTGTTTTTGTATCTCAATGGAGGATGGTGATGATTTCTCAAGCTGGGCGTCACGATGAATCGATCCTGCCTTTCAGTTGTGACCCGAGATCGTGGCCTTCCTTGGCGACGAACAAAGCCGCCAGTCTCTAGGTACCTCCGATAAACATTTCGGACCGCAGATCGACTTAAATTAAGTTGAGCACTCACGTTTCTTTGGCTGTGTCCGGCCTGAATAAGTGCCACAGCTTGGGCGGCGACTTCAGGTGAAGTATCCATAGATTATTGATAGAACCTCACCTTAATGTTAAGAATAAGTAATGTTTGTTGCAAAACCAAAGATATCAATCACTTTTTCAAGAATTAAATCCAAGTAAACACCAATAAAACCAAGTTCTCTTAGTATTGGATTGTTTGATATCAACAAACAGGCTCCAAATTGTCTTTTGTTTCTTTAAATTCTGTGTTCGAAATTCAAAAGAAGACTATTGAATGAAATTGTGAATGTGCCAGGTTCAAAACTGCATAAAAACTTTTTGCTCGACCTAATATAAAATTTTAGCTAGGACCAAACGAAACTGAAAATACAAGGTGGGCCAATAGATGTGTCCAGAAGTGTATAATGCAAACGCAACCAAATAGATATGGTTGCGTTTGTATTTTAAAAATAATGATTTGGAAGAAAGCTTTTGTTTTTCTAGAAAATAAATTTTAAAATACTGTAATGGAATAGTAGGTACATAATTATTATGTTGATTGCTTGGCTAGACTTGTTGTGAGAACGCAAATCTTCGCGCTATCGATATAGTATGGCCTCAACAAAAGTCCATCTAGTATGGGGGGACGTTATAACAGACTGGCTAATGATGATGGTTTTAATTGAATTCCCGCCTGCATGTTTTGTGTCAGTTCATCTCGTGGATGTGCGTGAGGCAGTGCAACGGGCTGGGCGTGTTCCTCGCGTGATACTTGGTGGGCGCCACTAATGCCTCTGTTACCGCTAAGGACGATAGTTTTGATTGAGTGCCTCGTTTTATGTGAGTTGATATCGTGGATGTGCGTGAGGCAGCGCGACGGGCTGGGCGTATTCCTCGCGTGATACTTGGTGGGCGCCACTAATGCCTCTGTTACCGCTAAGGACGATGGTTTTGATTGAGTGCCTCGTTTTGTGTCAGTTGATCTCGTGGATGTGCGTGAGGCAGCGCGACGGGCTGGGCGTGTTCCTCGCGTGATACTAGGTGGGCGCCACTAATGCCTCTGTTACCGATAAGGACGATGGTTTTGATTGAGTGCCTCGTTGTGTGTCAGTTGAAATCGTGGATGTGCGTGAGGCAGCGCGACGGGCTGAGCGTGTTCCTCGCGTGATACTTACTTGGTGGGCGCCACTAATGCCTCTGTTACCGCTAAGGACGATGGTTTTGATTGAGTGCCTCGGTTTGTGTCAGTTGATATCGTGAATGTGCGTGAGGCAGCGCGACGGGCTGGGCGTGTTCCTCGCGTGATACTTGGTGGGCGCCAGTAATGCCTGTTACCGATAAGGACGATGGTTTTGATTGATTGCCTCGTTTTGTGTCAGTTGATATCGTGGATGTGCGTGACACAGCGCGACGGGCTGGGCGTATTCCTCGCGTGATACTTGGTGGGCGCCACTAATGCCCCTGTTACCGCTAAGGACGTTGGTTTTGATTGAGTGCCTCGTTTTGTGTCAATTGATATCGTGGATGTGCGTGATGCAGCGCGACGGGCTGGGCGTGTTACTCGCGTGATACTTGGTTGGCGCCACTAATGCCTCTGTTAGTGTCGCCGTACTCGGGCCACCGACCACAACCACAAAACGCGCCACCGGCATATTTCTTGTAGTTTTCATACATTTTATATGGACTCGCCACACACGGTACCCTGGTGGCCGCCACACGCTACAAGTCGTGCTCGCTTCTTGTGGTCCGCACCGGCCATTTAATGCGCCGATACAAAAGGCCGCCACATGTCACTCGCGCGATTCCCCACCCTCTCTCCCTTACTTTAGTCGGCCGCTGTCGCGCGCTTCAGCCACTTTAGTAGCCGCTTCTAACTTCTCGTGGCGGCGTTTGTGGCTGTGGCGTGTGGCCCGTGTGCGGCGACACTTACCGCTAAGGACGATGGTTTTGATTGAGTGCCTCGCTTTGTGTCAGTTGATATCGTGGATGTGCGTGAGGCAGCGCGACGGGCTGGGCGCGTTCCAGCGCGTGATGCAGGAGTACTTGGTTGGCGCGACGTACGCGCTCACGCGGCGCACGCTGCCTTCTACAGCGCTCGCGCTAATGCCTTTGTTACCGCACTCGCTGCACGCCAGCTTCGCCGACGTTAAGGTAAGCCTGTTTCTTTCAACTACGTAGTAATGTTATCATCAATCACTACGAAATAGATCACGAAGGACTTATTTTTTGCTTACAACCAAACTGTTATATGATAACTAATTATTGCACAGTTTTTAACGAATGCACTTTTTTATTTGCCTGTTTTCGCGGAGATGTTTAAGGCACGGACAGAGGCGATGGCACGCGGTGAATGGCTAGTCCCTGGGGAGTTGGCGCAGATTCTTCGTCGGGCGAAGGAGAACCTGATGGGGAGATGGCAGCTGATGCTGCAGTCTCCTACATACGGACTTCGAACCCTAGACGCGCTGCGCCCGCTCCTCAGTGACGGGGCGTGCTGCAAGTTCGGGTCGCGTACCTTCCGTCTGGTGTAGGTTCTTACAAGGCATGGATGCTTCGGTAAGTTCCTGCACCGGATTGGTCTCTCGCTACACAGCGCGGTTCAGGCCATGCTGGGAAGCGACAGATCCTGGCAGGTGGTGGTCTCCTTCTATGAGGAGTTCATCTCACGGAAGGAGGCAGCGGAGAGAGTTCGCGAGGAACAAGCCTAGGCGAAATCTCTTTGACGTAGGAGCGGGTGGACTGGTCGGCGGCACAGAACCCGCCTTCTAGCCCTCTCGCGGAACTATCTATGACTACCAGGGTGGAGGTGCTTCGCGGCACCATCGCGAGAGGGTAGGAACCCAGGCGTGGCAAGCGGCGACTCATAACTGGATCCCGCGGCGACTCATAAATGGTCCCAGTACGCCAAGAGGGTGAGGGGTAGTTCGAGGAGTTGGTTTACCTGATAGGTACAAGAGCAGGTCAGCTGGCTAGCCGCTCAGTCAGGTGACGCTGTGAGCGGAGATGCCCAGGATCGGCTGAAGCGGGTACGGGCTGGGTTGCTGGTCGGAGGCGGGATGGTTTCACGTTTGCGTGAGCGCACGTCAAAGTATACCTGTACCCTTAGCACGATTCAAAATCGAATTCGCAACGTTTGCGAGTCCGAAATGTCATTGTCAAATCTGTACTGATTTATAGTTCTCGTTACGTTCTTTGTGCCGCTGCTGTTCAAGTTTCCATACAAAATTTGGCATTGACATTTTGGTTTTGCAATCTTTTCGAATTCAATAATGGTTCGTGCTAGGGGTTCTGCACCGACTAGTAGCCCACGGGCTGCTCGCCGCTGGCCGAATGCACCACGCAATTATCTGCGTCGCAAGGGTTCGTTTACAGCAAGCCAACGCGACGTTGTTCATTGTCGTGGATATAATGCATTATTTCTCCCCATCATTAAAAAGAAAAGGTACTAAGGTGGATACTAAGGTAGTAGGAAGAAAAGTAGATTACGTACTTTGTGATTAATTAATACACTGCGCTCGATGCAATAATCTACTTTTAATGAGCAATAACAACTAATAAAAAATATAAGTATGAACTAATAGATTCATGTTGTGTTAGAACGCTAACTGGTGTTTACATGAAAAGTTATGAATAATGTGTGATAAAAGTAATTTATGTTTGAAAAAGTATTTGTTACATCTTTCTTTTTTATCGTGCCACTGAGAATATATTGAAGAAGAAATAATAAAGTATTATAATGGCCCTATTAAGTATCATCAATCAACATTGTGCTGTGATGTGCTCATTTTAGAAATGAGTATAGCCACAAAGCGAAGTGCAGTACAAGCCGTTTATATCTTCGTTAAGTTCTAAGAGAAGGGAGTTTACTAAACGGAGCACACCTCTCGATTTAGATTGGTCGACTTTAATTTAGGGCACAATGATTACGTGTCGTCTGTGACTAGTGAAAAGCTACACATGTAGTGAAGGCGGAGCTCAATGGCGCAGGTGGTTAGCACATTCGGCATGCGATCGTGAAAGCTAAGCAACTTTCGCAATGATCATTGGATGGGTGCCAAAAAACTTATTATCTCGAGTTGCTGTGTGCTTCGGATCACTGTACCCCTGGGGATATTAATAGGCTGATGATGAATGAAGCACTACCTAGTCAGGTCATAAACTCTGTCACATGTTTAGTATAAAATAATTGAAACAAGTTTATTCATTATGTAATCATTTATATACCAAAATGAACTTAACAAAACATAGATTCTTATGACAATAAAGTTTATTCAAAATGACCTCCGTGATTTTGAATACAGGCCTTCAATCTGCGCGGCCAGTCGTCTATCACAGCACGAACGAGGTCCATGTCAATATCGGCGGCTGCCTTAATCAAGGATGTCTTGAGTGACTCCAAATTGGGATTAGGCTTTGAGCACGCCTTTTCCTCCAAGTGTTGCCATATCTTGTAATCTAAGGGACTCAAATCTGGACTGGAGCAGGGCCAGTCTTCGTGCCGGATGAAGTCGATTTCACGCGCCGCCAGCCAGTCTTGTGTGCTCTTCGCTCTATGAGCTGGCGCCGAATCTTGTAGGAATACCCAGTGCCTGTTATTAAACATGGTATGAGAAACAGGTTCCACAATGTTCGTTGTTCGTCAGGACTGTATTTTGATATACAACTGCATTCGTTTTTTCCCCTTTCTCACAAAAATTTACCTCTGTTAAGCCCCAATAAGAAACTCCCAACCATACCATGAGCGAGGATGGAAAATGACCTCGTTGGACACGCGGAATACGGTTGCTCGCTTCTTCACTACTGTGTGCGTACACCTTATCATTCTCTTTGTTGTAGCTCTCTTCTACGGTTATATTTTTCTTCGATATGCCCGAAGCCCTAAGTCTTCATTTAACACCCTTTTCACCGTGGTTCTGCTTAACCCCATCTGAAGGGCCAACAGTTTCTGCTTACGTTTGGGATTTCTTTGAATTCGCGCCTTCACAGCTTTTATCACTGCTGGAGTCCTAACAGACCGAGGGCGACCACTTCTTGACCTGTCATCTACACTAGAGTCTTCATTGTATCGTTTGATGGTACGATAAACGAATCTTTTGGTTATATTCAAATTTTTCAGTATGTCAAATATTTGAATTGGCGCGTAACCGCAACGATGCAACGCAATAACTGCAACACGGTCTCCTTTAAGCGTCCACTCCATATTTAAAAATGAGTAAAATTCTAAAAAGTATACATTTTTATTTTCATGAACAATTCGAATTCAATAAACTTTTTTGTGGCCAGCATTCTAAAAGAAAAGTTTTTACTGTGTGACAATACTTATGACATGACTGTGTATATGGTCTTGTTTAGGATGATGAATTCGCTGTGATGTGCTCATGTTAGAAAAGAACATAGCCACATGAAGCCAAGTGCAGCACAAGCTGTTTATTTCAACAAGCGAGTTTACTATATAGAACATAGCATAACTTGATTGGTCACCTTTAAGATAGGGCAAAATGATTACGTATCGCGTGTGGCGAGTGGATAGCTACACGTTTAGCGATGTAACAGTGATGGGTTATGGCAGGTGGGCGGCACCGTGGTGTCTGTGAGCCAGGAGCAACTATGGGGCGGCGCGGCCGTAGTGCTGGCGCCTCGACAGCGCGTGCTGCAGTTCGCCGAGGACGTATGGACGCGCGTGTGGCACGCCCTGCACGCGACGCGCCCCACGGCCCTGCACCCGCGCCACGTGCTCGACAAGCTGCGCGTCAGCCTGCACTGCTACCAGGTACGTGAGGAGGCGCGGCCGGAGTGCTGGCGCTGAGACAGCGCGTGCTGCAGTTCGCCGAGGACGTGTAGACGCGCGTGTGGCACACACTCCACGCGCTGCGCCCCATGGCCCTGCACCCGCGCCACGTGCTCGACAAGCTGCGCGTCAGCCTGCACTGCTACCAGGTACATGGGGCGGCGCGGCCGTAGTGCTGGCGCTGAGACAACGCGTGCTGCAGTTCGCCGAGGACGTGTAGACGCGCGTATGGCACACACTCCACGCGCTGCGCCCCATGGCCCTGCACCCGCGCCACGTGCTCGACAAGCTGCGCGTCAGCCTGCACTGCTACCAGGTACATGGGGCGGCGCGGCCGTAGTGCTGGCGCTGAGACAACGCGTGCTGCAGTTCGCCGAGGACGTGTGGACGCGCATGTGGCGCGCCTCTATCGCCAGTGGGTGGGGCCGGGGCAGCCATATTAGGCGGAGCGATTTTATTCGTGTTGTTGTATCAAGAGTATTTAATATCGTTGCTTTTTCGGGTAAAATATTATGTATTTTACAGAAACAGTTACGTCAATCATGCGAGACATTAACACTTTTCTATTATCCGATAGCCGGAGGCGCTGTCACGTTGCAGCACGCCCCTTTCGCCAGTGGGTGGGGCCGGGGCGGGAGTTTTAGGTGGAGCCCCAGCCCGCCGGCCTTCCGCCGTGGAGCTGCCCTTCTACGAGCTTGATGTGTGTACCGCCAGCAAGCAGGAGCACGTCATCGCCGCGGTGAGTCCACACACTAGCGCCGTCTCGTCGCAGCACGCCGCTATATCTATGCCGCTCCTATGAGCTCGGCGTCTAAAAACTAACGAACTGTTTTATTTCAAAACTGAAGAGACCGCGTCCGGCTGAGAGATCGCCCGAATCCCGCTACGTCTACGGGAAATCGCGTCCCGCGCGCGCCCGCAGCGTGTTCCGCAAACACCCGCGCGTTTTGCGAGCGCAAATCGCGCGCTGATATCTGCTTTTGTTTTTATCTACAATTTCACATTCTATGCAAGTTGCGGTCCCGCAGTTGCGGCGGGCGCGGGAGAACATCCAGTTATCCAGTTACTCTATGCCGACATGATACATATTTGCAAAGATACAAGTCATTATAATTTTGTCAATTCATTACACCACCTTTGTTGTACCTACGCACAGACAAAGGCTGCGTGACCTCATCATATCTGACAGCACTTATGGCCCACACCTGCTAGTCCGCGAATGGTACATCTTTCTTATACGCTTTTTAAGTTAATAAAAAAGAGGTGTTTTTATTTTAAATAAAAAGACTCTAGTATTTTAAAGTGGTTGAGAAAATACATACTTATTTTAAGCCGAAAGTTGTTCTATATTTAAAAATAAAAAACAAGCAAGCGAGTGTCGTGGAACACTCGATTAGAACAAAGTTAAAAAGACAGCTGACGATTTTGTTGGAAAAATCGTACACTTTTTTCGCCTATTCCCCATCCGCCATGTTCTTACAGTCCGAAATGGAACTACGTTCTACTAAATACGGTTTCCTTCAGGCTAATAACTCACGGAACGGGTTTTTTCTCGCACCCGCTGCGGTGGCCGCAGAACTGTTTTATTTCAAAACTCACGAGACCGCAGTTTTCTGGGCGCAGCTTTAGCGGGTGCCGCAAACACCCTCGCGCCCGTTCTGTCTGATGGGGTCTTCCAACGTCTAGGTGTTCTATCTCTTTACCAAATGCTCAAGAATTTATGTAAAAAAGGAAGTAAATGCAGCATCCAGTCAAACTTTAACATCAACGTGAAGACCATTTCATGCAATGGTAGCGTAAGCGCTCCTTCCTTCTGCTCCAAAGTCTCTGGGTTCGAACCCCGGTAGGAGCATTTATTTTTGTGTGATAAGAATGAATGAAATGTGGTTGTGTTCGAGCTGGTCCGATGAAGATTAATGAAGAAGAATAGGTGTTGGTCGATATGAAATGAGGTATTTGAGAAAAAAAAAATGTACTCAGGTAACTCGTACAAGTTGTTTGCATAGGTTCTATTTAATGTATGTAATTTAGTTTCCACAGTATAATCTCTGCTTCATTTGGGACTAAATAATGGCTGTGAATTATCTGGCATTTAGTATTTTTAATGCGGATGCTGGCAATGAAAAGGCCTTCTTTATAAAGCAGTGGTTCGTAAGCTTTTAGTGACGCGAGACGATTTGTCAAAATTTCCGTCTTGCCACGGACCACCACTTACTAGGATTTGTAAATCTATCAGCCTTCTTACTTTACATTTTTTGGAATGGCTTCGCGGACCGCTTCGGGTCCTTCCACGTATTACAGTACCCTTAGTACGAGTTTTACAATTACGAAAACTATGATAGTTTTCGTGAGCTCGCACTCGTACTAAGGGTACTGATTTTATTGTTTTCGTTACATCCCAGGAAATACAAATAAGCAGTGTTTAAATTCTGTCATTAAATCATTTGCGTCTTCTTAAATTTTAAGTATATTTGGTTACTTTTCACCAAAATGGACGTAGAAACATAATTTACAATTACGAAATCTATGATAGTTTTCATGAGCTCAAACTCGTCTAAGGGTACTGATATAATGAACAAGGGTGGATCCAGAGTACAGACGGACCAAACCCAGGGGTATTTTATTTTAGTACTTTCAATATTTAATATGACCCCCCCCCCCCCCCTTGGCGCCAAAGCTAGATCCGCCCTTGATAAAAGGATGGTTTCCAAACCGCGCAGAACTTGCGCGAGGTGAGCGTTCACCTGATGCGTTCGACCGCCACCGCCACCGCCACCGCCGGCGGTCGCGGCAGCACGGGCGTGGAGAGCGGCGTGCACGCGGTGGCGACGCGGTGGGCGGCCGCGCAGCTGGACGCGTCGCGAGCCCTCTGCCGCGCCGTCACCAAGGCGGTTGCCGCAGTACCGCCCAACAATCACCAGAAGGGGTTCTCGTTCATGTACGCACGGGGGACATTAGCTTGTTTGTTGCGTTTACGGCGCTCGCAGACGGCACATTATTGGTGTTAGATTTTTGAAGTTTTTTTTTTTCTGCAAATACAATAAAATTGTTTCCGAAACACCAGTTAGCCAGTACCTTTAGCTAGACAGCGATATATCTCCTATAATATAAAAATGAAAAGCTGAATGTGTTGCTAAGCGCAAATCTCGAGAACAGCTAAACCGATTTCGATAATTATTTTTTTAGAATATTCCTTGAAGTACGAGGATGGTTCATGCGCAGAGAAAAATTAAAAAAAATTGCCTGAAAAAGTCCAAAAACAACACTTTTCTGTACTCCCATACAAACGAGTCGTAATAATACTTAAATATTATTACGAAAGTTTGTTAAATTTCAAATGTTAGTGGAGAGGTTCCGGGAAGGCAAAACAATTGAGTGATGTGATGTCAATAGAAGTTTGGAAAAGGCAAATAAATACATATACCATTTTCAGGTTTTTTTTTATATTTATATGAAGAGTCATTTTAGTCCACACTACAACTCTACACTGAAGCGAAGCGAGGGCGGGCCACTAGTTTTAATATAATATTTATTGTTCCAAAATTTTTCACGGAGCATTGCATTTTGACTTTTCAACGATCCGCGCGTGACTGTGAACCAAGAAGTGCTTTAGTGGAGTTTAAGCACGCCTTAATTGGGACACATTTTGAGCGCATATTATCAATCGTTGATCTTGTGGAACGAAATTACAGAATCTGTATTACAGCCTCCGCTTTACAGGCCATCAGTCCGATTTTACATCATGAAACAAGAAAAACATACATCTCAGTTGTATTACTGACCTACCTCTTTTAATGTAATACTTAGAAAAGTATGATTTCTCTGTTACCTACTTCCATCGTAGACGTTGGCCTAAGAGTCGGTTCTGCAAGTACAATAGGATACAAGCATAGATAAATCGATCTTACATACAATATGTCGTCTGCGGGCACCGCTTTTCTCAAATCCACATTGTTAGTAACACAATAGATTTTTTAGCACGGTCACATTGGCACGCTACGCTAACTAACTGATATAGTGATTTAGTAAATAGTATGATAACTTCACGCCATCTCATTTGCGCGATTATAGAACTGCAAAGATGCCACAATCTGAGCCAGATATCCACTACACTACAAAACAGCATAAAAGTTGTGAAAGTGATATTTAGGTAGAAATGAATTTCAATGAACCCACGAAATAATACCAGGTCCTGGGTCCTATAGTAAGTGAGCTCAAGCAGGGATTTTGGACTTACTCGAGCGCTACAGAATAATATAAGGGGGGCAACCTTGCAACTTGTGAAGAACTCCCACCTAATCTGAGCCCTTTATATATATATATATATATTATGCTTAATAGGCAGGCGTTTGACTACAATCTCGTCTGATGGAAAGCGATGATAAGGCCTAAGATGGTACACACCTGCCTAGAAGATGCCTGTTCACTCTAACCTTGAAGATGTCCAGATTATATTGGTCCGTGAAAACAGACCTCGGCAAGGAGTTTCACTTCCTAGCCATTCGCATAATGAAAGCGGTAGCAAATCGCTTCGTGCGAATGGGAGGAACTTCGATAACATAAGGCTGAAAGCCGTCGCCGCGCCTGGTAGTCCGATGGTGGAAAGGAGGGACCAATATAGGCCCGAAGGTAGCAAAAAAAATTTCAACAATCAGCTCTGACTTTTGGCCGAATCGAAATTGTCAGTCTTTTGGTGGCGTCCAAGTCGTCAGTCTTTTGAACAGGAGATACAAGAGGGTTCAAGTAATATCCCTTCTCAATTGCAGACGCGCTCGATTTTTTTTTTATATTTTCCACCCCTTCGTACGACCACTCAGTGTATGATTCAAACGGACAGATAAATATTTTTCTGTCGTTAGAAACGTTACGTGAACCATCGTACCTCCTATTTATGAGACTAACGATTTGGATGCGACCAAAATATATATTTGTCTCTCTAGACGTTCGGCCTGTTATAAAGGAATCAGGTATGGTGTGAGTACTACAAAAGGTGCACGGTTTCCCCCCTTATGTTATTCTGGCATGCTCATGTAAATCCCAAAATTCCTGCGCGGGGTCCTCTACTATTAGTTTTTTTTTTTGTTATCTTTGAGTACTAACGAGTGGATTTGAGTTTAAAGTCGCAATGCAACACGTGTCTTCTGTGCGTCATGACGGTATAGTTTGTTGTCGTAATCTGTTGATTTTCTTGTGTTGTTTTTTGGGTTCTCTTTGTGTTGGTTGGATTTTCTAGGCATTCTTTTGAGTTTCCTCTGAGTGTGTTCGTTACTTAAGTTTCGTATTCTTTGGTTGCTTGCATTACTTTAACAATTTATTAAGGAAACAATGTATTATGGAAGATCTCCAGTTTCACAAATAAATTGTTATAATGGCGTATGTAATGGTTTTTTTAATTGTGAGTCATATGCTGATGCTTTGTATAGCTTTTAAGTTTTATTTTGTGATTTTTTGATTTGACCAGGTATACGGGCTTTACTTTTTTTTTAGCCACTGTAATAGGGATGGTGACGGGTTAAACGAAATTATATTTAGTTCGTCAGTTATATTACCAAAAAAGAACGTGTTATATCTTTTTTTTTATCACCCAAAAATTTAAAAGTTAAAGCGCGTAAAATTTTGGGAGTGAGGGGCTCATGACTTCATTTCACACGAGTAAAAATTGTACCAAGATGTGACGTAATACGACATTTCAATTCAATATAATATGTATCTCTGTAATGATGTCGATTCTGGCATGATTCTCTAAACTTAAAACTAAATTTAACATCGGTCTGTCCTATTCATTTTACATAGAGAATGACAAGGATACACTGTTGTTGTTAAAGAAGGATGCCCATTTGTGACCTGTCAAATCTGTAAAAAAATTTTGCATGTATAATTATGTGACATACCTCAAAAAAAAGGTAATTATTCGCTTATTACGAAATCAAAATATCAACAAAAACTACAATACAGTTTTTTCAAAAATAATTTTTGTAAATAATCATTATGTAGGTACATTTTTTGCTATCACACGAACGCATCCATTAGGGAAGTGTATTGTATCAAAGTAAAATGACATAATTATGAACGCAGCTTAAATGTAGATTCGCACTCTCCTTTCCAATGTTGCCAGCCATGCGGTAAATACCGTATTTAAATGGTAATGTAATACTTAAAAGGCATGGCTTTAATTTAAAGTTTCTTTCCGTTCTTAACAAAGACTGGCCATTTTCTTAGTGAAACATGACCGAAATAGTTAGGACTCCATCATCTCTTCGGCTGACTACATGAGAAGGAAATTCGTTCCGAAAAAATGCCAGCAATAATGACAGCTGCTCATAGTACCGATCATCTCAATTAATGGAAGGTATTGTAATTTTATTTTAGATTATTACCTACTTATATACTTGTCTACCAGAGATTTAAATAATACATAGTTAAATGTCTTAGATGTCTATAGATATAATTAGGTAAAGGTCAAGATTATCATTTATTCATTCGCTTGCAGAAACTAAGACATTAAGTACCTACTATTTCAATAAAATAATTGAAACTGAATTATTGATTAAATATAAAAAAAAACTTGTTTAATTCCAAAGACAATATTATAAGGATGACACCTCAGCATGATACATGTTATGATATTAATCCTTTTTTCTTCAATCCTCAGATCAAGCTTCAATCAAACAAAACAAGCGAATTGAAATAAATACCTAGCTGGGCTAAGACACCACAGCTGTGACAGCACACAAATGAATAATCTTATGCTGGCACTTCACTTGGCTATTCATGTAAACTTGACTTCAGTCTGTCCTTTTCTTTCCTTAAAACATGATAAGGACAGACTGTTGTCAAGTTTACAAATAGCCAAGTGAAGTTCCGGCATTAAATAATCTATAATCAATCTCGTAACCACAGAGTAAGTAAATGACATCTTCAGCAGTTGAATAACCTCAGAATTAGTTTTCGTTATAACTTCTATTCCTCATTGCCAAATCAAACCAAATTAGCAACATTATTTCAGAAGATTGTAATAATTAATTAACAACCTCAACAGTCAATATACATCCATAAAGAAAAAACCGAAGTGACAGGTTTTCGAATGTATGGGCAGTGGGCATTGTTCTTTAAGTTTAGGTTTAGAGATTCATGCCAGAATCGACACCAATGTTTCGATTATGAGATTAAAGAAAAAATACGTGTGCAATACTTTTTGATTATCTAACTGACAGACAAAGAAA